CAAAAGTTTCATTTACTGTACATGCAAGATGAAAAGTCTAAACAAAATGTAGTAAAAGATAGCTAATTCATCGAGAAATTTCCCACAACTTGTTTGGCTTTTATTTTATTAGAAAAATTATCAAGTTCTTATTTTATGTTCTTGATTTTGATGCCTCGGGACGTAATTGGCTTAGCCACCCGTATCTGGGATTTCAAGCCTTTCATGACGTTAAGATTTTTATCCACTCTGGAGTTAATTATTTTCCTTCTTTAATAAAGTAGCTATATATTTCTAAAAACCTAAAAAATATTTAGCTAAATAAACTATATTGATAATTAACCATGGTGGAAACTTTTGCAGCACTTTTCGGACGGCACGTCACTGACACTGAGGGATTTTGCATCATTCCCCGTTGCAAAATTCAATTTCTGTAATTCATTTGTAGTCTATAAAGCAATCATACTATTCTTTTAAAGAAAATCTAAATAACCCTAACGTCTTATCTTCCTTAATTACAGTGGGCATGACGTTGGCACATGAGATAGTGCATGGATGGTTGAGGCTTCAAGGTTTGAATATGGATTTAGGCATTATTCACTACAAATAATTTGCATGAAAAAAATAAAAAGTTTTAAACTTATGCCTACCCTCAAGAGTGCTTTAAATTTTTGTTGGTCCAATAGGTTTTTGTATAATATTGTATGAAACTCTCTATTTCCGTGTTCTTAGTTTTCCTCAATAATGAGTTCTTTTTGTAGGTATAATTGGTGATAGGAAACCGGAAAGATTGGTAGAAGAAGGTATTTGTCAAGTAATGTAGGGGAAATGGTCTTGTCCTAGAGGTTTTAAGTACTCCTCATTCAATAAAATCAATGAGCAACTTTAGTTTACAAAATATTTGAATAAATATTATGCAAATCTTAAAAAAAATCGATTCAGATGAAGGTTATTGCCAAGGGTTTAAACAGAATATGCATTCTGTGAAAGAAAATGGCTTCAAAAAGACATTGGATTGCATCGTTAAAAAAGGACATCTGGAAGATGAAGATAATTGTGAAGATGCAAAAGGAAGTCTTTCACTGCACAAAAATAACGCGGCACCACCACAAAGGCTACAGTGGGCTATAACCTAGTGAGGTTTTTGGGTTAAAAATAAAAATAAACCTATACATTTGCCTTCTTTTAAATGTAGTCCAGAAATGATATATTAAGAGATGGCAATGTTAATTTTAAATCGGTGTTAGTAATTTCTTCCTTAGCTAAAGCGTGCTTTGTATGTTCCTTGGAATTAATTAATTTAATAGAACAATTTCTCCTTTGATATGACATTTTTGTAATTAACAATGTCTATTACCATTTTTGTAATTAAATCAGACCCCAGGAAAAGAAAGCAGATAATATATCACAGCGTTACAGAAAATTACTGATGTATAATTTTACTACCTGAAAATTAGATAGTTAAATTCAAGAAATAAACTTGCAAGCGCACAAGGTTAATGCAATATAGCCAAGGCAAGTACAAGGTCGTTCCCACAGAGACTGAATAAATTCTCAAGTTGTTGTGAATTATAAACTAATTTAAATCCTAAATTACTCTAGACACCCTAATTAATAAACTTAAAACTAATGACTCAACTAAAACTTAATAGAGGATTTTTGAAAGTTGGTTTTGAAAGATTTTCTTTGAAAGAACGTTGAAAACAAGAAAATTAAAAGACAAGATAACGAAGAAAAACGTGAACTAAATAAGTTTGTGAAAGATTTTAAAGAAGCTTACCAAGACAACAATTTCACCACAATTCCTCTTATCCAAACCTTAGCATGCATACTATCAAAATTCCCAAGTTATGTTGATGATTAGTTCTCCAAAATTATGACTAATTCTTTTCACAGCAATTAACCACTTCTTCTTACATGCAATTTATCCTTGGCGTGAGGCATAAATATAAACATATAAAAAGACCTTAGGTTCAATGAGAACTTCACACAATCACACAAACCCCTAAGAGTATAGTGTTTACCTTAGGCGCATTCATGAATTTAACCACAAAAAGCAAAACTCATATTAGGCATGGCGTATACCCTAACATGCTTCAAATTACTTAACCAAAAACCTAGATGGTAGCTAAGCATCAAGATCATTAGTTAGGAAAATAAGCACAGTGATTAAATTTCAACAACATGGAAATTCTAATAGCATGACATAACTAAGCTTTGAATAATTAGAAAAGGGTTACATTGTGTCTTAGTAAAAGAAAATTAGTTACTCATAATCATGGTAACAAAGCAAAAATAAAACATGGAGAAAGAGATAAGGAAAACCCTTAGAGTTTAGAGGCACGGTGGCTCTTCCTTGCTCCACGGTTGAAGTCTGAAAATTTCTCGTCCCTGAGCCTCTACGACCTCCCCTCTTAAAAGAACCTAAAACCTAGTTAGAATGGGCCTAAACAAGTGGCCTTACACGAAGACTTGATTTCCAAGTCAGTTCCTAACTAGAAAAGCTAATTAAAACTAAGTTTCCTAAAACATCCAGGAAACTGCACGTGATCCTCATTGCGAATGCGATTTGGACACGTTTCTGACCTCCAAAAATTACGTACGACCACTCTTTGGAAAGCTCTGGATGTCTTCTTTTCAGCCATATATCATGTGCCTCAATCCGATGTCGTATGAGTGAGTTGTAGCCAAAATACCCCTGCTGACTCAGTATTCTCCGGGAATTGATTTATGCTGAATTGTCTAATTAAAAATGGGCACCTTAGCAGTCTTAAAAAATTATGAAAATATTCATGGATAAACTTCAAGATGCTGTCTCCCATCTCCAATTGGAATCATGTCGAACTCTATTACGATGAATATTTGGCGAATTTATTCATTCTGTGGCTCATAGGCTGAAAAACAGGAAATAACTCAACTCAGCATCTTTAGTCCAAATTTATTCACAAAACTAAGTAAAAAGGATATAAAATCATGTGAATTTATGAACACATCAAATACCCCCAAACTTGGATTTTGCTAGTCCTCGAGCAAAAAATAAAGAACGAAGAAAGAAAAAAGAAAAAAAGAAGAAGAAAACAAACAAAAAGAAACAGAAACACACGACAGACAGGACTCTTCTTCGTACAAACCAAAGGTGTTAGTCTCAGTACAATTTTTCTCCTCGCCAATTTCAATCAATCAAAAGTACATTGGAACACCAATCAGAATTCTCAACTCATAGAAAGGTTTAAAAGAAAGAACAAACTTCCAAAATTTTAAACAATTAATTCATACAATCAAAGAGATTTACAAAAGATTAGTAAAGAACTCACATGCTATTCTTGGTGTAGTGTGAGGCCAACACAAACGCAGAAAATTAAACCAATCTCAAGTATGCAGCACCTCTTATGCTATAAAATACGGACTACAACTAGCAAAACAAACTAGTTTTAAAGGTTTTTTTCTAATTTCTAACCCATGTAACGAGCTTTAGGTCAGTGACTCCCAAATCAAATGACTTTAGGGCACTAAATGTGAAGACATCCCGAAGGACTTACTCACTCGAGTTGAAAAGGCTTGTATGTAATTCCGACTTTTAGCTTTTAGCTCACTTCAATTTTCACCCTAGCTTCATTGAATTGTACTTTGCTTTTGCATAGGGCTGTGACTTCTTTGGTCACTTTCAATATGTTATACTTTTTTCTTTTAGTTAAATGCTAACTAGTCCTATATTTTATAAAAGAAAAGGATGAGCATACTCAAAACTCGTTTAACCCCTGCAAGAATGTTGGTGTGCATGTGAAAGTCTCAAGGTGAAGCATATGACTAATCCACTAATCCAAAGTAAATAACTGTGATTGCAAATTTCATCCTAGATTTCATAATGGAAGCATGTTCAAACCTTTAAACTCACCTATGAATATCAAATTCAAAATTGAAATTTCACTATACTTTGAATTGTCCACAATTAACAAGAAGAACAAACGGACTAAGAATAATTTTTTTTTTTTTTTTTTTTAATTTTTTTTTAATTTATATTTATTTGTTTATAATAAAAACTTTACTAAAAGAAAACAACCTAAACAAAGTTTCCCACCCCCAAACTAGAACTAAACATTGTCCTCAATGTTAAGAAAAGAAAACATGCAATGCATAGTTAAGGATGGAAGCATATAGAAAAGAAAAAAAAGTAAATCAATCAATAAGAGAAACAAGTAAAAGAAGAGGACTTCCCCGGTTTATGGTGAGGCATGAGGCTCTAGTGTGAGAGGCAAACCACCCCCAAACTAGTGTGAAGCAGCAGCTTTTGAGGACAGCAACAGCAGCAAAAATCTGGAAAAAATGACCTTTAGCGACGGTTTTTCTGCAGAAAACCGTCACTAAAGGTTGTCAGGAACCTTTTGTCGACAAAAAATCCGATGAACACCCCTCGCAAAAGGGGTTTTAGTGACGAAAAATCCGATGAACAGCAAGAAAATGCAGCAGTATCAGTTTTGGTATTTTGGCTCATTTTTGAACTTCCAATCCACCTAAAACACAATGTAGGCCATACGGGACCCCCAAACTTAGTCCAAATCATCACCATAACCATTTGCAACATGTCTGAAACCTTGAATTCATGTGAAACACTCCATAGTGAAAATTATGAGGAGAATCCAAAAATGACCATAATTGTGCCAAAAGGCAAAATTGAACAATAAAGTTCTCCAAACCAAACCAGCATCCAGAACATCTTGTTGAGACCATATGTCACTTGCGGGGGCCACTCCTTGGTGCGAAAGAACTAAGAAAATGATATTGTGCATAGGAAAACTTCTCAACTTCTCCAACAAAAACATCAACCAAAATAACCTTTCCTCTTGCATGATTTCAACTCTTGGCAATTGCAACCCCAACAAAAAGGCATATGTGAGCTGTTTGGTATCCTTGTGCACAAAGGCCTTATGGCTTGGTTTTCAAGCCGTGAATCCTACTCCCTGAAGTTAGCCTAGGTGTATGGACACCCACAAAAACTAGTTTGCAGCCTTGGGAGCATTGGATCAAAATCTGGGCATTGAAACCTGGAAAATACTTATAACTACAGGTTGTGGAGTCTCGAACTGCAACTTGTTGCCTTCCCTTGCTTTGCGGTCCAAATGAGGAGTGCCAACACATTGAAAAAGACTCCTTAAACATGCTGGGATGTGTTCGACTTGTTCCTACACACAAACAAAATAATCAAATTGCTAAGGAAACCAAAAAGACAGCAAAAGAAGCAAAAACAAGAAATTAACAAGGAAAAGTAAGAAAACTTGGGTTGCCTCCCAAGAAGCGCTTGTTTTAAGTCATTAGCTGGACTTAAGAATGGTGCTCAGGAACATGGTGATGGGATGGTGTCAAAGAATGACACCACCTCTTGAGGATCAAAGTGAGATTCTAGATAATGCTTGAGGCGATGACCATTCACTTTGAATTGGGTCCCAGTTGACATATTCTGAATCTCTACAGCACCATGAGGAGAAACTTGAGTGACGAGGAAGGGGCCTGTCCATCTTGAACGCAATTTGCCTGGAAAGAGTCGAAGTTTGGAGTTATAAAGTAACACTTTCTCTCCCGTCACGAATGTCTTCCTGGAAATAGCTTGATCATGCAACTTTTTGGTCTTTTCTTTATATATCCTTGCATTCTCATAAGCCTCATGTCTTAGCTCCTCGAGTTCATTAAGTTGTAGCTTCCGTTTCGCACCAGCAGCCTGTATGTCAAAATTGAGCTTCTTGATAGCCCAATATGCTTTATGTTCCAACTCCATAGGCAAGTGGCATGCTTTCCCATACACCAATCGAAATGGTGACATGCCTATAGGTGTTTTGTAAGCTGTCCGATAAGCCCACAATGCATCGTTTAGCTGCAGAGACCAATCCTTCCTTGAAGCACTGACTGTTTTCTCTAAGATTCTCTTGATTTCTCTATTAGAAACCTCAACTTGGCCACTGGTCTGAGGATGATAAGGTGTAGAGACTCTATGATGGATATGATATTTAGCCATAAGCTTGTCAAATGCTCTGTTGATGAAGTGCTTCCCTCCATCACTGATGATCACTCTTGGAATGCCAAACCGTGAGAAGATGAATCCTTTTAGAAAACGCATAACAACAGCAGCATCAGCAGTGGGACACGCCATAGCTTCAACCCATTTTGACACATAATCTACAGCCACTAATATATATTTGTTGCTACAGGATGACGGAAAAGGGCCCATAAAGTCAATACCCCAGACATCAAAGAGTTCAACCACAAGAATACTTTGAAGTGGCATCTCATTCTTTTTGGAAATATTACCAACTCTTTGACATCGATCACAAGCTGCACAATACTTGTAGGCATCCTTAAACAAAGTTGGCCAAAAGAAACCACTTTGCAAAATTTTATCAGCTGTCCGTTTGGGACCAAAATGTCCACCACATGCATAACTATGAGAAAAATTCAGAATGCTCTGTTGCTCATTCTCCGGTAAACATCTTCGGATAATTTGATCAGGGCAATGCTTATACAAGTATGGTTCATCCCAAAAATAAAATTTGACCATGGACAGGAACTTCTTCTTTTGCTGAGAGTTAGAATCAGCTGGAATAATTCCACTAACCAAATAATTCACAATGTCTGCATACCAGGGGACTCCATGTTGTACAGAAAATAGTTGTTCATCCGGAAATGACTCATTTAGGGGCAACACTTCCTCTTTGTGGCTCAGTGTGAGCCTTGACAAGTGATCTGCTACCACATTTTCGGAGCCTTTCTTGTCTCGAATCTCTAAGTCAAACTCTTGTAGCAACAAAATCCATCGAATGAGTCTGGGTTTGGCATCCTTCTTTGTCATTAGGTACTTCAGAGCAGCATGGTCAGAATACACTATGACTTTAGATCCAACAAGATAAGATCTAAACTTCTCCAAAGCAAAGATTATGGCAAGCAATTCCTTCTCAGTGGTTGAGTAATTGAGTTGTGCATCATTCAATGTTCTACTTGCATAATGAATCACGTGTAAAAGCTTTTCCTTTCGTTGACCAAGAACAGCACCTATTGCATAGTCAGAAGCATCACACATCAGTTCAAAAGGGAAACTCCAATCTGGAGCTGTGATAATAGGAGCAGAAGTAAGAAGCTTTTTTAAATTGTTAAAAGCAAGTAAACATGAATCATCAAACTCAAAAATGGCGTCTTTGGCGAGCAGGTTGCACAAGGGACGACTGATTTTGGAGAAGTCCTTGATGAAACGCCTGTAGAACCCGGCATGGCCAAGAAAAGATCTCACACCCTTCACTGAGGTTGGTGGCGGCAATTTAGCAATGATGTCTATCTTTGCTTTATCAACAGAAATGCCTTTACTAGAGACTGAATGGCCTAGCACAATACCCTGTTGTACCATAAAATGACATTTCTCCCAATTTAAAACAAGGTTAGTGTCCGTGCACCTTTCCAACACAAGTTTGAGGTTAAACAGACAAGTATCAAATGAATCTCCAAAAACAGAAAAATCATCCATAAAAACCTCAATTATTCTCTCAACCATATCAGAGAATATACTCATCATGCATCGTTGAAAGGTCGCAGGTGCGTTGCACAAGCCAAAAGGCATCCTCCTATAAGCAAACGTCCCAAAGGGGCAGGTAAATGTCGTCTTCTCTTGATCCTCAGGGGCAATGGGAATCTGATTATAACCTGAATAGCCATCAAGAAAACAGTAATGTGAGTGACCAGCTAATCTTTCTAACATTTGATCAATAAAAGGCAAGGGAAAATGATCTTTTCTAGTAGATGAATTCAACTTCCTGTAGTCTATACAGACTCTCCATCCCGTGGTCATTCTTGTAGGCACGAGTTCATTGTTTTCATTCTGAACCACTGTGATTCCAGACTTCTTGGGGACGACTTGAACTGGACTAACCCACTTGCTGTCAGAGATGGGATAGATCACACCTACATCAAGAAGTTTTAAAACTTCACCTCGGACTACCTCCTTCATGTTAGGATTCAATCTTCTTTGCGCATCAATGGTAGCCTTAGAACCATCCTCTAGTAAAATTCGATGCATGCACATGGATGGACTAATGCCTTTAATGTCAGCTATGGTCCATCCTAAAGCTGTTTTGTACTCTCTCAAAACCCGCAAAAGCTTTTCTTCCTCGGTAACAGTCAAATCAGAAGCAATGATCACAGGAAGTGTATCGGATTCTCCCAAAAAGGCATATTTCAAGTGTTCAGGCAATGGCTTGAGCTCCAGCTTTGGAGGTATCTCAACGGAAGGCAAGATAGGAGCGCTAGGTGTCCCTAGTGGCTCATATGTGTGACGCCACCTTGGGAACTGAATAGGTGTCGAATCCAAAGCTGCTACAAGGTGTTGGGCCTCATTAGAATCTGATCTTAGCTCCGGGTTAGCTAGGCATGTGAGAAGTTCATCCTCGTTTACATTAGCTAGGAAAGTGGTGTGGGCAATAGTATCAACGACATCTACACAAAACACTCATCCATCTCCACAGGTTTCTTAATGGCTTCAAACACCTTGAACTCAACAGTTTGGCCTTGCACAGTCATAGACAATAAACCTTTCTTCACATCAATAATGGTGCCAGCAGTAGCCATAAAAGGACGTCCCATAATGATGGGAACTTCTCTGTCTTCCTCCATGTCAAGGATGATAAAATCTGCTGGAAGAACAAATTGATCCACTTTGATTAGTATATCTTCAACGATTCCAAGTGGATATTTGATAGACCTATCAGCCAGTTGCAAGCTCACAGAAGTTGGTTTGATCTCTCCAATGCCTAGCTGCTGAAATACAGAATAAGGCATTAAGTTAATACTTGCACCCAAATCAATTAAAGCCTTTTCAATATGTAAATTTCCAATAATGCAAGAAATTGTAAAACTCCCTGGATCCTTAAGTTTTGGTGGCAATTTCTTAAGGAGAACTGCACTGCATTCCTCGGACAACATCACTTTCTCATGTGTAGCAAACTTTCGCTTGTTTGTGCAAACATCCTTGAGGAACTTAGCATAAGCTGGGATTTGCTTCACTGCATCCAACAATGGAATATTTATTTGAACCTTTCTAAACAATTCCAGAATATCCATTGTTTGTTGATCTCTCTTGTGCTTCTGTAGTCTTTGCGGAAAAGGAACTTGAGGCACATATATTCGCTCCTTGGAAGGGGTAGCTGCTGTAGGTTCTTTGGTAGGCTCAATAGCTGCTGTAGGGGCCTCTGTAACATCCGTTGTGGCAGGGACAGGGTGTGGCTGAAGTGTATTCATGTCTTCCACGTCTAACTCCATTTCAGCAGCTTGTTTTCCCTCTGTTTCAGCCTTAGAAACATCTTCAGGTCTAGCCTCATAAGTTCGCCCACTCCTTAATGTTTTTATCGCCTTAATGTGCTCCTGGCCTCTTGGATTGATTTCAGGTTGGCTAGGTAACTTGCCTTTCTCCCTCTCATTGACTATGTTTGCAATCTGGCTCACTTGGACTTCCAATTTCTGAATTGCAGCATGACAATTTTGATAACCAGCTTGAAGGTTATTGTTTGTTTGTTGTTGAGTCTGAATAAATTGAGTCATAATCTCCTTCAAAGTTGGTTCTCTTGGTTCATTCGGATTGACAGGTTTTTGCTGAGGATAAATGCGCTGCTCAGACGGATTGTTGTTGCTCCATGAGAAATTGGGGTGGTTCTTCCATCCCGGGTTATACGTGTTGGAGTAGGGATCATGTCGTGGCTTTTGAAATGAATTTATTTGATTAGCCTGCTCCTGCGTAAGATCACTCAAAGGGCAATTATTAGTTGGATGAGAATTATCAGAGCAAATAGCACACACAGAGGAAGGAGAAACAAATTTGGTCATTGACTGCATGAAATTTTCAAGCTTCTTTTCCAAGTTGGATACTTGAGATGCTGAAGCGAGTCCAGGATTTGTATCGACACTATGCACAGTAATCTTCCTTGTGAATCTGTCATCGCCCCATTGCATAGAATTGGCAGCAACTCTCTCAAAAGTTTTGAAGCACTCCTTAGGATCTTTCTCACTCAGAGCTCCTCCACACGCCGCATCAACATTGTTTCTACTGGCTGAGGTTAGTCCTTGGTAAAAGATCTGCATTTGCATCCAAGTTTCCACTCCATGATGAGGACATTGTTGTAGTAGATCACAAAATCGCTCCCAGCACTCATGAAAAGATTCTTGAGGCTTTTGTTCAAAGTTCGTGATTTCCTTCCTAAGTAGCAATGTTTTTGTGACAGGGAAAAATTTCAGCATGAATTTTTGAGCAAGTTCTTCCCATGATGTGATGGATCCAGCAGGAAGAGAGGTGAACCATGACTTGGCCTTGTCTTTGAGAGTGAAGGGGAACAATCTCAGACGCACTATTTCTTGTGAAACTCCCTTGATATGAACCGTACCACAAGCTATGTAAAAATCCTTAATATGAATGTTGGGATCTTCATTTGATTTACCATAGAACGAAGGAAGAAGACCAATGGTACCGGATTTTAGCTCAAACGAAACATCATCAATTTCAGGAAATGTGATACATGAAGGCTCTTCTAAAATTGTGGGCTGTGAATACTCCTTCAAGGGCTTAGTGTTGGCTGCCATTGACTCTGTGTCAGACTCTAAATCAGTATCAAATGCTTGTTGGTTGATGTGACAGAGCTCTCGGAACGTTTTTTCTATCTCAGGATCAAAGGGTACTAATTCTTGACCTTGGGATCTTGTGCTGACCATCAACTAACACACACACAACATGCAAATATTTGAGAGCAACCTACAGACAACAAAACAAAAGAGATAGTGAATAACAGGTGGTGCTGGAAAACAAAGAAACAAATAATAAAAGAGAATAAATCAAAGAAATACAATAAAGTAAAACAATAAAACAAATATTAAAAAGGGACGATATGCAACCGAAACAAAGACTAAAGTAAAGCTAAAATCACACAACACAAAGAATTAAACTCAGTCCCCGGCAGCGGCGCCAAAAACTTGATGTATAATTTTACTACCTGAAAATTAGATAGTTAAATTCAAGAAATAAACTTGCAAGCGCACAAGGTTAATGCAATATAGCCAAGGCAAGTACAAGGTCGTTCCCACAGAGACTGAATAAATTCTCAAGTTGTTGTGAATTATAAACTAATTTAAATCCTAAATTACTCTAGACACCCTAATTAATAAACTTAAAACTAATGACTCAACTAAAACTTAATAGAGGATTTTTGAAAGTTGGTTTTGAAAGATTTTCTTTGAAAGAACGTTGAAAACAAGAAAATTAAAAGACAAGATAACGAAGAAAAACGTGAACTAAATAAGTTTGTGAAAGATTTTAAAGAAGCTTACCAAGACAACAATTTCACCACAATTCCTCTTATCCAAACCTTAGCATGCATACTATCAAAATTCCCAAGTTATGTTGATGATTAGTTCTCCAAAATTATGACTAATTCTTTTCACAGCAATTAACCACTTCTTCTTACATGCAATTTATCCTTGGCGTGAGGCATAAATATAAACATATAAAAAGACCTTAGGTTCAATGAGAACTTCACACAATCACACAAACCCCTAAGAGTATAGTGTTTACCTTAGGCGCATTCATGAATTTAACCACAAAAAGCAAAACTCATATTAGGCATGGCGTATACCCTAACATGCTTCAAATTACTTAACCAAAAACCTAGATGGTAGCTAAGCATCAAGATCATTAGTTAGGAAAATAAGCACAGTGATTAAATTTCAACAACATGGAAATTCTAATAGCATGACATAACTAAGCTTTGAATAATTAGAAAAGGGTTACATTGTGTCTTAGTAAAAGAAAATTAGTTACTCATAATCATGGTAACAGAGCAAAAATAAAACATGGAGAAAGAGATAAGGAAAACCCTTAGAGTTTAGAGGCACGGTGGCTCTTCCTTGCTCCACGGTTGAAGTCTGAAAATTTCTCGTCCCTGAGCCTCTACGACCTCCCCTCTTAAAAGAACCTAAAACCTAGTTAGAATGGGCCTAAACAAGTGGCCTTACACGAAGACTTGATTTCCAAGTCAGTTCCTAACTAGAAAAGCTAATTAAAACTAAGTTTCCTAAAACATCCAGGAAACTGCACGTGATCCTCATTGAGAATGCGATTTGGACACGTTTCTGACCTCCAAAAATTACGTACGACCACTCTTTGGAAAGCTCTGGATGTCTTCTTTTCAGCCATATATCATGTGCCTCAATCCGATGTCGTATGAGTGAGTTGTAGCCAAAATACCCCTGCTGACTCAGTATTCTCCGGGAATTGATTTATGCTGAATTGTCTAATTAAAAATGGGCACCTTAGCAGTCTTAAAAAATTATGAAAATATTCATGGATAAACTTCAAGATGCTGTCTCCCATCTCCAATTGGAATCATGTCGAACTCTATTACGATGAATATTTGGCGAATTTATTCATTCTGTGGCTCATAGGCTGAAAAACAGGAAATAACTCAACTCAGCATCTTTAGTCCAAATTTATTCACAAAACTAAGTAAAAAGGATATAAAATCATGTGAATTTATGAACACATCAATTACATTTTTCATATCACATGTATAAGACTTATAAGCTATATATGGTGGGCTTGGGTAGATGTGGTTGCTGAAAATGAACACAATCTTCTTCTTGGCGTCTGGTGCTTTAGGCTTCTGGTTGGTTTTGAAAACAGAACAGAAAAACCTGGTTGGTTTGAGCCTTCTTTGAGAGTTAAATAATCGAACAAAGAAGTGGGATATATCTGGCAAAAAAAGAAGAATCAGATTCTGTGGAAGCCATTAACAAGAACGCATGAAAGAAAGTGACTAAGCTGAAGGAGATGCCAGGAAAGTATTTGACAAGATGAACGCTAGTTTACTCGGTAAGTCACGGCACAAACAATTTGTTTTGTATATTTCTGTTAACGGGTGAATTTGTACTAAAGAAATTAAGGCATAATCACACACATAACAAAGTGTTTAGTGGTTCACCCATAATGGCGCTACATCCACTATAGTTTATAGCTTTGTAATTGTATTTGAATATGAGATTACATTGTACATGAGAGAGATATGGGGAGAGAGACTTGAGAGCTCTAGTAGAAGAGAAATAGATAGCTTGGGACAGCTCTTGGAGAAGTGGCAGCTGCTGGATCCTTTGCTTGGAGGTGGTGAGCTCCCTTTTGTAGTCCAAGTAGTGGTAGAGAATGCATGACTCTCCTTGATTTGAGGATTCTACATGGCCTCCCCCTGCTTTGGGGGCCTTGGGCATTGAGAAGGCATGGGAGGGGGCATGGCTAGCTACTCCTCCTTTGGTAGGATGTGAGGTATGACTGATAACAATATTAGTTAGTTTATATTCAGTTAAACTGTCACGTGTGTGCTTACGTGTTGTTAGTTAGTATTAGCTGTAATTAGTTAGACTGTTAAGTTTTGATTATTGGGATATAAAACACTGATGACACTACGATTGTAAACATTTTTGTGAAATCAGTATACAGAGCATATCATTTTCTCTTGAAATCTTCTTCTTCTTTCTTAGCTTTCTTAATTCTTAAGCTTCCTCTTCTAAACTGTTAACAATGACAAGCAAGGGTTATTCCTTAATTGGTGGGATATGTTTAAGGGAAAAGGTGAGGTCAACATGGTGTCAACAATTTCTTTCTTGAGGAAATATATATATAGATATAGGAATTTGGTCCCAGTATATCTATATATGTAGATTGTCAATCACAGCATGTCAATCACAGTTTTGTCAATCACTTGAACACGGAACTAGCAATATTTTCACACAACATCATTTTGGAATGTGGTCCTTGTATAATGTTCATTCCTCAGTTAGTTAAGCAGAGATTTCAATGGCTTTGACATCGGCTGTTTTCATCAAGTGGGCACAAGAGCAAACAAAAACTCACACATCACAGAAAGCAACAAACGAGTAATCCCACAAGAAAAAGAAAATGAAGGGCAGGGACAGTCAACAGAGAAAGCGACTAATGAGAGTGAGGCTCTTCGAAATCAAATGGGTATGTACGATGGCCACCATGACAGGGAATATTCGACGAGGAAGATGGAGGCCTTTCCCATTTTCATGAAGCTCCGTGTAATATGTCGTAACCTGAGAAAGAGAAGGTGCTAAATTATAATTGTAAGTATGTGCATTACAAATGGGTTTGGTGTATAATGATAGGTAGGTGCTTAATTGCTCTTCTTTGTTGGTGGTTGTGTTTGGTGTCTTAGGCCTTCGAGCCCAACTCTAAGAGCACATCTACCCATGTAGGCCAGTACGAGCAGAAGGTCTTCTTCCCAAAAAACCAATTCTAGTGGTGAAGGTCAGTCCGGGTAAGAAATGGGCTCCATTAGCATGGGCTATTGTTTGGGTTTGTTGATGTTAACATGATATCAGCGACCAATTTAAATACCCAAAAAAAATTATAAAAAATACCGAACAATTTTTAAAAAAGGCCAAAAAATTCAGAAATTTTTTTATTATAAATTCCTAGTCACGTTCTTCACTTCTCATACCAAAACTCCATACAAATTCTTCTCATCATATCTCATGTGAATAGTGTTTGCATTTACTTGTCATGACAATGAGTGGAAAAGCAAAATATAAAAAGAAGGGGCAGTCACTATTCACATTAATAGTGTATGCCCTTACTTGCCCTTGTCCTTTGTCATGACACCATGAGTGGAAGTGCTCTAAACTTAAGCCCAGAAGCAATGAGACAACCCTTAACTCTATCTACCAAGCTAAGCTAGTACCCGATAATTAAAGCGCTTATGTCAACGAGGTCAAGCTAAATAGAAAAAATATCTTGACTTGCAAACCAGTAATCTCATATTATTATTATTTTTTGAAAAAAAAACACTCATAATTTTGTTTTAGAGGAAAACAGAATTTTATCAAATTAAGAGGCTTTTACCCTTTCCTGCCTCTCTAACATGAATAACGATGTTGACACACAAGCAAGCCAATGCCATGATGGATTAACAAAATAATATTTCAGTGTACCATCCATCCATGCATTGCATGCCATGGATATTGGGGGTGGGACCCTCTGAAAATCATTTTTAGGGAAAGAAGATGGAAATTAAAAAGTCTTAATTGAATACCACAAGACTTATTTATCCCAAAATAGACTTTTAAAATCCTAATTGAATACACCCTCTAAGTTATAAAAAATAGTTTCCTAGGCACTCATTGGTGACTAATGACCAATTGATTATAATTTAAGATGTGACACTGATTTGGTAATAATATGGGATTTTCTTTTGAATAATATAAAGACAAAACCGATTCATGATTCTGCTGCCAGGAAGATTGGATTGGAACCCCTGGAAATGGTAAAAGTAATGTTTATTTATTGTAAAGCAATTTGTGATAAATGGAAGGTCATGGTTTTCAACAACATATCCATAAGCCATAATTCTATGAAAAAAGCAATGAAAAGTTTACATCAATCAAAATCACCAAGAAATTAGCAGAAGCAGATAAACAACGGCATGGCTGTGTGTACTAAAAATAGTAAAACACCAGCTCTTCTATCCATAAGCATATATGCTATGGTATTGGTGGTGGGCATGGGTAAACGTGGCTGCTGATAATGACCTTCTTGGCGTTTGATGATGTTGTGGTTTCAGAGACTCCAGCAGAAGCTGAAGGACTATTAGTATCATCGGAAACAGAGCAAAAACATTGGACAATTTGATCAAACATCATCCTCTTCACTAACCTCTTCTTCACTGGGAAGACACTCCCAGCTTTTGGTTTGAATAACCATGGCTCAGCCTTGCTTTGATCTTGAGATGAGCTCAACTTCAGCTTCATGGGCTCCTTTGGGTGGTGCTCTGTTTTGGGGCAGAGGAGGTCGTCTTCCCCATCTGGCTTCAAGCACTTCCTTGCATCTGAAGTTTCCTTCATTGCCATGTATGTAATCTCTCTCTCTAAGTGTGTGCTTCTTCCTTTCCTCTGTGTTTATGAGGAATTGTGTGAAGCCGTGCCCTACGAGTTTAAAATATGAGGAAATTAAGCTTCGATTGTAGGCCCTACCTAGTACCTTACATATTCCATTGCGTCACCTTGTCATCAGCAGGGTACGTGTGGGGACCTGCTGCTGAGTAGAGGAGGATATGGTGATTGACGAAGATGGTTATCACTGAGGAAGGACTTTGGTTTAATTTGTTATCTCCTAATCTTGGAAATTAGAAAGAAAACAGAAAAATCTCCAATGCCATGTGACAAAGAAGAGGAAAAGGAATTTCACATGGGAAAAAAGAGATGAAATGACCTGTGGCAGATAATTTGTAGGGTTGCACAGTGAATCTTAGATGGATTAGCTTAGCCTGGTTTTGTAATTTTCCACTTTCGATAGACATATATGCAGATCTCTGGCTGTAAATTTGGTGCCATATACAGATTATAGATGTGATTGATGGATATTTGCTAAATTGACATCTCTAACCATGTATGTATATCTCTGTTTTGTTCATTTTGATGGTGGCTCAAGTTTTACTCTAAGATGATTTGATTTTTACTGCTGCAAATGATTGGTTTCAGGCCATTGTGGGTATTAATAGTGGAACTAATAAGGTGCAAGTGTTGTTGGCTTGGGTCCCTCCTGAAATTGGTGTGGTCAAGTTAAATGTAGATGGGTCTCGCAAGGGCAGTACTGGAGCCATTGGTGCTGGAGAGGTCCTAAGAGATCATTTGGGTCAATGGGTTGGTGGCTTTGCTGTCAATTTAGGCCAGGGAGAAGTGCTTGAAGCTGAGTTATGGGGTCTGTTTTTTGGGTTGAATTTGGATGTTGAGAAAAAAAGTAGATGATATTGTTATTGAGATGAATTCTGAAACTGTTGTGCTTCTTATTCAGAGTAGGGTTTTGAATGCTTGTCATCCTAATGCTGGGTTGGTCAGCAGCTGTAAAAGGCTTATGAATCTCTTTCGAAGGATCAAGCTTCAACATATCTATAGAGAGAGGAATGATGTAGCTGATGGGTTGGCTACTTGGAGTTACAATTGGGACATGGGTTGTTACTATTTTGAGGAGAGTCTTGCCTGGCTTGGTTGTTTATTGCTTAATGATTCTTTGGGAGTTGTTAAGGCTCGCCTGATTAGTACTAATTAGTTGTTGTGTTGGTGTTTGGGAGTTTTTCCCCCTCTTCTTCATAAAAAAAATAAATAAATAAAAGGTTTTACACTAAGATTATAACACACTGTCTAGCTGATTAGCTTACCAATTTTTTTAACATCATATCAAAAGAATCCGTATGTTTTTTGGCCGGTCCATAAATGAAACATATGAAAAAGCAACCCAACCCACAAACCCACACATACACATCTGAAAAATACACACATAGTACACAGTAACAAAGATACGCATATTCACATATGTCATCCATCACAACAAAACTCTACTTTTCAAGCTCAGAGAGAGATGAAAGAAAACGCAGAATTCTATGAAAACCATGAAAAGATTACATCAACATCACCAGGAAATTAGCAGAGCAGAAACAGAAAATCATTCCATATCTATGGTGGTGGGCTTGGGTAAACGTGGTTGCTGATGACCTTGTTGGAGTTTGATGATGTGGTGGTTTCAGAGACTCCAGCAGCAGAAGCTGAAGGACTATTAGCATAATCTGAAACAGAGCGAAAGCATTGGACAATTTGATCAAACATCATCCTCTTCACTAACCTCTTCTTCATAGGGAAGACACTGCCAGGTTTTGGTTTGAACAACCATGGCTCAGCCTTGGTTTGATCTTGAGATGGGCTCAAATTCAGCTTTATGGGCTCCTTTGGGTTGTGCTCTGTTTTTGGGCAGAGGAGGTCTTCTTCCCCATCTGGCTTCAAGTACTTCAACGCCTTCCTTTCATCTGAAGTTTTCTTCATTGCCATCTCTCTCTCTCTCTCTGAGTGTGTGCTTCCTTCTCTGTTGATTGAGGAATTGTGGGAAGCTCCCTGAGAGTTTAAATAGGTGAGAAATGTTTCCATTGTGGCCCCTGCGTCAATTCACAACGTGTGGTGGTGGGGGTGGTTGGGGACGAGTGATGTTGACTAACGAAAGAGTTTTCTTACTTCCGTATTTCTCTGTTCTTTTTTTTTGGACAAGCCCGTTGTTCCAATAACTAGAGGGGCGGACATGCTGCTTCAATACATTTACATCAAGATATTTTGTAATCTTGAATTTATGGCAAGAAGAAGAGGCATCAATACATTTCATTTATTCCTTAGCTTCTTCCCACTAGCATATTTCTTTGCCCTTTCTTCAACAGTTGAACCCCACAAAAGCTTACCATTTAGTGTCGAGTGGCATCTTTCTTTCTAATTATATTCTGGTTTGATTAGACAATAATTAGCACTTGGCTTAGTATGGCGAAAGCTTTACGCCAATTCAAACGGTCCAAGTATGTGGAGCAGTGTCATCTTTCTTCTTAGTTTGATTTAACATGTTTACAAAGTCACCGGATTTTACCAACTTGCAAAATAATAGATAGAGGGGAAGAAAAAGAAGGAAAGCGATACAAAAAGGTGGGGATTGGAAAAAAGCCCATGAGAGGAAAAGGTAAAAGTGTTCATATCTACATGAATAGTGACTTTAAGATGAAGAGGTAGAAAGAAAATACAGCCAATTTCATACAAATTTAGTACAGTGTTGTTGACTGAGTCTCTCCTGCTGAATTCCTCTTGTTGATTTAATTAGGTCTAGGTAATTTTGGACTTGAAATTAAGATCTTATATCGGTTTAAATCACGCTTAAGTCCATCAAATAATGACTCAATTAAACTTTAGTCCAATTTAATTAAGGAAGTGCAGTCCAATCCAGCTCACCATGCAACACCTAAAGATACATACTCGCACATTCATACAAGAGACAAGCCTATAAATCCATAATAAGTAGAAAATTAAGGCAATATATACCTATTACCCAAACATTTACTATAATGTTACTTTTGTTTTGTTTTGTTTTGTTTTGTTTAATTATAAAAAGAGAAGTAATATGTCCAATGAAATGTTGATAAAAGTGTCTGTTGTCTCATTAACACATACAACCAGCCGCAGCAGAACACCCAATTTCATCAAGACATGTCCCTCTCTTCTGTATACATGCAGCTACTAGCTGGCGCCTAAAGGATAATGTCCCAGGCCAACTGCAGATGTTGATCAACCTGCAGCACAAAAATCCAATCCAATCCAAATCATCATCAAGCAGATGTCTCATGAACCACATTTTTTGTTTTTTATGTTTTTGTGTATGTGATGTGGGATTCTATGAATCTCTTAGAAATTTGATCCACATTTTGTTAGTCAGTGAATTATAAACCAAAAGTGTTCACACGTGAGATTGAGACAAAATCATTTTTAAAAATGAAATGGTATGTGTACATGACACGTCGCTTTGGTGGCCCACTCACTCCCCATATTTTCTCAACATTTTCTTGCACTACCACTTGCCTAGATTGATTGGTATATATTTTTTTTCAAACCAATTTGTCCTTGCAAAGTATGAACATGAATGTCAATCAAAACAAATGGAAAGAAAGGATGATTAGCTTGTTGGGAGGAAAGTTCAGGGCTGTTTGGTATTCAACTTGAATTTAACTTTTTAAACTCAAAAATAGAATTTGAGTCCAAAATAAAGAAAACATATTTAGTAACCCTATTTTTAAAAAACTCAAACTAAAAAACACCACAATTATTAAAAACAAAAAATATCTTTTTTTTTTTCAGTTTTTTTTCCTAACAACCCACAAGTTCTTAAATTTTTAAAATTTGAAAACAGTTTTCAAGTTGCATACGAAATAAGTTTTTGAATCTTAAAAATAGATTTAAAAACTCCTTATTTTTATGAAAAATCAAAATTTTTGAGTTTCCTATTTGAATAAGATATCAAACGCCTTACTTTCTATGATTATTCAAATTAGTTATTAAGATTAGTGAAAATGGTCATTGATTTATTTAAGGATTTCATTTGTCACTTTGTTTATGTCTCCATTGATTTATGTGGCAGGTGATCTCATGGCTAAGAACCATAAGCCCAAATCCCTATGCATTAATTCCCCTGAGTACATATATATGAATACTAACGATTCAATTGCCATATATTTAGTACTATTTTTCATTAGTATTTCAGTATAGCCGGAGCCTAAAGTAATGAGAGGATGAAAGATGCTTGTGCTTCAAGGTGTGTATGAATACATTTTTCTTCGGATTTTATTTGTCCTCACAACTTGTATGCAAATAGATTAAGCAAATAAGCTTTGTGGATACAATGAAGTCTAGCCTCTAGCTGTATGTTGTCAATATCTTGCATAACCAAGGACAACCCCAAACACATTTTAGAATTATAATAAGGGTACTCAAGACTTTTAGAGGCTAAATATGCAAAAAATAACCTCTAGATATTTTACGTTGTGAAACTAGATGGAGAATAGTAGAGATTGAACTTTGATATCTTTCTTAGATTTTTCCTATATTTCTTGGATATAATTTCATATCTTTGTGCAGTACCTATTAGAAGGAGAAAAGATACAAACTCCTCTATAATTTCATACACACTCTTAGATTCATATCTTTTATGAGGTATTGCACATATTTGAATCCATGTATCTCTTGGATTGCACCTACCTCTTTTCATCTAAGAGTATCTTTTAACTTATATTCATGTTTATAATTGCTCTTAACGTTCATATATTTAATTCAAACATATACGCATCAAGAGATACAATTTAAGATTGAAAAGTTGCCTGGAAATCGCACCTCTGTATCAAACAACTGGCCATTTTTTTGAGATGATTGGTCGCATTATACTGAGACAACAAACTGAAGTTTCTACTTGGAACGATCAATCGCTTCTTATCAACAACCGGTCGCCTGCCTTATATTGTTGAAAATTCTCCGACATCCCCACAGCATCATAATTGTGTGTGTGAGAGAAATTCCCCTTCTATGCAGTTTAGACTATTGTTTATACTATTAAAAAAAAATAAAAATAAAAATCATGCGTTTCATGAATTCTCTATTGGCGGGAAATACACTTCCAACTTTTGGCTGCAGCATCAGGAGGACCATGATATTCATCTCCACTTTATAATTTATAGCCATACTGCAATTAGAATCTTAAAGATGAATTAGCCCAAAGGCCTCACTCGAAGTAACAACGGTTAATTAAGCCTTGCTATAGAGCCCAAGTTTAACTCCATAGCAATTTTTGACGATGCATGGCATGTTACATCGTGACTTGTGACGCAACCACTTACGTAAAGTTATAGCGTCAAAGCCCACGTTGTCACATTCCACAGACTGTCACCGCCCGCAATAATAATTCGACAGAAAAAAAAACCAATTTAATAATTGTCTTTTCAAGGAAGTGAATAAGAGTCATTTACATTAACACCTTTTGAGAGGTTTTCAGTTTTTGCACAAAATACTCTAAAATTTTAAAAATTATATGAACACCTTATGAGATTTTAAATTGTTTTCACAAAATCTTTTTTTGTTGATTTTACGTCCAAATATTTTTTATATATAAAATCTTCAAATGACAAAGTTAGCCTTTGATACCTTTTGTATTAGATTGCACTTACATTCATTGAGGTTAATTTTGTCATTTGTATTAATTCTATATATTTTTGAAATAAAATCAATAATTTTTGGACGAACCATCAACGAAAAAAGGGTTTTATGAAAACAATTTAATATCCTATGGGTGTTCGTTTGATTTTTGAAACCAGAAGGTAGTTTGTGGAAAAACTGAAAAACTTCAGGGGGTTTGTTAGTGTATATAATTCAATGGAGCTAAGCCTCCCACATAATTAAAGAGCTAGCTCATAATTTGGTTTTAAAGGAAACATAATTTTATTAGATTACGTGGCCTTTTCCCTTTTCTCCCCCTCTAACATGAGTGATGATGTTGATACAAAGGCAGGGCATGCATATTGCATATTGGGGGTGGAACCCTGAACATAATTTTCTATGATGGATCAAAACTCGTTGATGACTTTTTGACCAATTGATATTTATAGTTGGGATCGTGTGACACTGATTTGGTAATGACGGGATTTTAAAAGTAATGTTTTTCTGATTACAATTTGATGGATGGAAAGTCATGGTTTTCCTTTCAACAACATGTCATATGATCATATCTTAATTTGGCTAAACATCTCTATCCATTTATGGGGTTAACTTAATCTTTTCTGGTTTGACTTGACGGAGTGAAGGCCTGGAAGCCTTACTATTTTAACTACAGATTCAGTGCCCACCAGCAGCACAGCTCTCTCTGTTTTATTCATTTTGAATTGACCCTGACTTTATGACACTTTGTCTCGCTTAGCTCACCAATTTTTTCACATCATATCAACTTCAATCTTGATCAAGAAAGAACAAACCATATGTTTTTTGGCCGGTTCAAAATTACATACGAAAAGGCAACCATGAAATGAAAGCCCACACAGACACACAGCAGTAACACAGATTCGCATATTCAGATATGTCCATCATCCATGGCAAATCATATGTCCAATAGAACAAAACTCTGTTTTTAAAGCTCAGAGAGAGAGAGAGAGAGAGAGAGAGAGATCAAAGAAAACCCAGCATTCTATGAAAGCCATGAAAAAACTACAACACCACCATTGAAATTACCATAAAGAAACAGAAAAACAATTGCATGCCTAGACTGGGTAAACGTGGTTGCTGATGACCTTGTTGTTGGCGTTTGATGATGTGGTGGTTTCAGAGGCTCCAGCAGAAGCTGAAGGACTATTACTAGTATCATCTGAAACAGAGCAAAAGCATTGGACAATTTGATGAAACATCATCGTCTTTACTAATTTCTTCCTCACCGGGAGGACACTTCCAGGTTTTGATTTGAACGACTGCCATGGCTCAGCCTTGCTTTGATCTTCAGATGGGATCAATTTCAGCTTCATGCGCTCCTTTGAGTGGTGATCTGTTTTGGAGCAGAGGAGGTCCTCTTCCCCATCTGGGTTCAAGTGCTTCAACGCCCTCTCTGCATCTGCAGTTTCCTTCATTGCCATCTCCCTCTTTCTCTGTCTGTGAATGTGTGCTTCCTTCCTTGTGTGTTGGTGTGCTTAAATAGAGATCTTTTTAGCCCCGTTTGTTACATAGAATTGGCAAGGACAGAATTAATAATAAGAATTGTCTAGGATAGGCTTGGCTTGGATTAAGTCCTATCCTATGTTTGGTGGGGTGCTAGACTAAGAGGGACTAAGGGAAAGTTGTGCACTTTTACTCCTTAGTGCAGTAAATTTATTTTTGTCAAATCAACCCAAGCAAGAGCGGAATACAACTTTAAGAGCTCATATTGATCTGGTATTGTGCATCCATTTTTGCCTAGTTAAAGTGACTCTCAAACGGTACACGTGTGTGGAGTAGTGGCATCTTTCTTCCTAGTCTGATGAACATCATGTTTTAAAAGCTACTTACCTGATTTCAACATCATGTCCCTTTACAACTTTATCTTGAATATTATTCTGTCATGCTCATTCCAATTCCCAACAAGCCTTCTTCAATTGTATGCCACTCCTTTCTTTCTTTCTTTCTCTTTTGTTTGTGTGGGTTTGATGTGGACAATGTACAAAAGAAAGTGACCAGGTTGAAAGAGATACCACAAAAGCACTTGACAAGAGGATTCAAAGATAAGACTAATATTTAACAGTAGTTCATATGTCACTTTCTTGTTTTAATCTCTAGTGATTTATAATGGCATTATTTCCACAACCTTGAGAACTTTGAATTGAATTAGACCCTTCATAGTCATAGAGATACCCAACTTGGATGGGATGAGCTTCAGAAATGAGAAGGAAACTCATTGTCTTCTTTTTCACTTTTCTTTCTTACTCCAACTTCCACAGTGATCAAATTGAATCAAATGAGAAAAAGTCATTTAATATCCCCATTGACAGGAAAAAATTCTAATTATTTTATGGGGTTTTATAATAGTAACATGTGAGCTGATGGCTTGAAAGATTGTACATGGACCTGTGCTAGAAAACAACTGACAAGCAAACAAGGCCAGTCAGTAAAGTCACAAGGAATTCACTTGATTTGGTGGAATGACTTAAGTTAGAAAATTAAATTGCTAATGGCTGCAATTAAAAGGCTAATTCAGAATTAGTGCTGGTAACCCTTTTTTTCTAGAAGCATGAATGTTTTTCAATTGATGCTAAAGATTATGTGTAAAACAAAGAAAGTAAATATGAGTCTGTTCTGTAGAAGATAAGATCATTAAGTAATGTTTAGAGGCAAAGGAGATCACTCATATATTTACATATATAATAAAGACTCTTTCTGCATGCATGTCAATTCTCTTTATTTGATTGTTTATGGTCTGAAGTCAAAGACTTGTAAATCTGAGAGGTTCCCAAGAGCCAAAGACTTGTACTAGTCATTTTTAACCTAGAAGCTGACCTTTGTGGTAGATTTTGCCATATGTGACCTAGATAGAGCTAGAAGAAGGCCAATTAATCTGGGTCCCTCTTTGGTTAGGGCACCAGGCTAGGCTGCATGTAAGCCAATTTGACAAAACGGTTGGGATTTGGAAAAAATAGGGAAGACCCTGATAATTAACCAAGGCACTAGTAAAGTTCTGTCTGACTTTCAAACCAATCCTCCCTCCAAAACGAAAATCTCATGACAATGGTATCTTTCTTTTTATGAGGATATTATGATGTTGTTGAGAAAGTGCTTGTGAAAAAGCGGTTTTTCATACAAGTCATGTCAAGGCACAAACAATTTGGTATCTTTCTTTCTATGAGGAAAAAGGTCCAAATACCACTGCATTCATATCGTATAGGCCAGGCAGTGTTGGTGTGTAATCCTTCAGCCGAGTTTTTAGAGCTAAAGGAATTGTGTCTGCTCTGTTTTCATTTCTTTTAGTTGTTTATTTTTTTCTTCAGCTTTATTGTGCACCCTTGGATCACAGTCCAAGTGTTTTAATCTCTAGCATAGGATTAAGTGACATGTGTAAGCATCTAATAGGATGCTAGAACTTGAGCTTATTGTAAATATGGTACAGGGAAGAATATCTCTTTTTTTCCTCTCTCTGCCTAACGATTATAACCAAACAGTGGAACAGATATGAAATACACAGAAGCATTTTTCATTCTCCAGAGCAACGCTCTCTCTCAATTTTTCTGTGATTTTCTTCTTTGCTCCCAAAATATCCAAAATATGAAATGTTGAAACAAAGAATTCTAACAGGCAGTAGATGAGATTTACAATGGTAACTATTCAATTGCCACTGCCACTGCCACACACACATGATGCCACCCAAAGCCATCAAGCTGTTTTCCACTTTTTTTTTTTTCTTTTTTTTGCTGTTTTTGTTGGATGAGTGTCCTGCTCAATTCCTCTTCTTGATTTGATTTGATTAGGCGTATGATATGATCCCATATATTTACTATAATGTTCATTAGTATTGAAAAAGAAAAAAAGAGGTATAATGTTCAAGAGTCAAGTTCATTAGCATGCGTGAGTGTCAACTGTCAAGCAGCAGCAGCAACTAACATGGCAGAAGGTCCAATTTCATCCAGACATGTCACTCTGTTCTGCATAGCTCTATAGCTACTAGCTGGCGCCTGAAGGATGATGTCCCAGAGCAATTGCAGACTTTGATCACATGTATCACAACAATCCAGTCCAGTCCAATCCAAATGATCATGATTAAACTAAAAAATGGTACCATTAATTTAAAACTCTCTGCTTAATTTATTTGTTTCGATGGCTTTGTCCATCTAATTAAAGTTGAATTTCACAAATCCATCCCTTTTCAAAAACTGGTTTCCTGGGTTGCTTCAGTTTTATATATGAGATTTTGTGTGTGTGTGTGTCAGTGTTTTCAAAGGCATGCCTTCGCGCGCGTCGGAGCGCGCGTCGGCGCGAGGCGGGAGGAAAACGCCCGAGGCGTCCGGCTGTTTCGCGATCTGCACGTTTAGCGCCGGGAAGGCGTGAGGAGGCGTTGCAAGGCGTGTCCAGGCGGAGCGAGGCGTGAGGAGGCGTTGCAGATCTGGAATCTTCTGAAACGGAAGAAATTGAAAGTCTGCAAATTTTCGTTGAGGAAGATGAACTCGGGAGGAAGACTTTTTTGGTTTGAACGAAACGACGTCGTTTTGGTTGCAGAGTTTTAAAAACAATCTTATAGTGAAACGACGTCGTTTCACTTGGAGTGTGTTTTAAAAAAAAAAAACTGAAAGTTTCAGCTTTTTGTTTTCCTTACCTTAATTGTAATAGGGAAGAATTAATATATTTAATATATTTCTTTTTCTTTCCTAACCCCAATCGGCTGTAGCTTTGTACTTACTTTTTTTTTTTTTCTCTTTTAATATCTTTAATATCTTTCTTTTTCTTTCCTAACTCCAACCGGCTGTAGCTTTGTACTTACCTTTTTTTTTCTCTAAATTAATATATTAACACATGGACTATATATATATATATATATATATATTGTATAGTACGTGTACAACCCTAATTTCTATCCTTACCAGATAACTCCATCAATTTTCAAGAATTCTCTTCATCTTTCGATTGCAAGTAAGTCTTCTTTTTTTTACGTACATGCATCATACTTGTATAATTTGACTGTAATAAACTATAATTTGAAGTTTCGTATAATTTTTTTTCAATATGTTTTAAATATACTAGTTATTTTTTTCTTACGTATATGCATCACACTTGTATCTTAGAAATATTAATTGTATTGTTTTATAGATATGAATCGAAAAGATCCTGCGTGGAAGTATGCAAAAGAAATAGAGGGGGAAAAATACTTGAGATGCGCATTTTGTGATCAAAGATGCAGTGGAGGAATTTCTAGACTTAAGCATCATTTAGGTCAAACTCATCACGGTATGCAACCATGTAAGAAAGTTCCTGAGCATGTGAAAAAAGAGTGTGCCGCAACTTTGAAAAATCTTCAGCTTGAAAAAAGAAAGAAAAATGAAATGCTTAGAGAGATTGGGGATGGTCTAGAAGGAGGGGCTCTGAGTATGGAAACTTCATTGGATGAAGAATATGGAATCCCTGGTACTAGGAGTGCTGCAGTTGATGAGACTCTTAGAGCACAACCTAAATCAAAAGGACCAATGGATAGATTTGTCACTTTAGAAGCTCGGCAAAGTACATTAAATTCAGCATACAAACAAGAAGAAAGAAAGGAAGTTTGTCGAAAGATTGGTCGTTTTTTCTTCTCTAGAGCACTCCCATTTAATATTGTAAATGATCCATTTTGGCTACCTATGATGGAAGGGATTGCCGCATATGGTGTAGGATTTAAGCCTCCATCAATGCATGAGCTGAGGACTTGGATCCTTAAGGAAGAAGTTGGCGACATTAATACGATGATGGAAGAACATAAGAAAGCTTGGGCAGAGTATGGATGTACTATTATGTCTGATGGTTGGACTAATGGTAAAAATAGAGTACTAATAAACTTTCTTGTGAATAGTCCAGCAGGTACTTGGTTTTTGAAATCTATTGATGCATCTGATTCCATAAAAAATGGAACATTATTGTTCAAATATTTAGATGATGTTGTCAAAGAAGTTGGAGAGGAGCATGTCATTCAAGTAATAACAGATAATGCTTCCAATTATAAGAATGCTGGAGTGAAACTTATGGAGAAGAGGAAGAAGTTATGGTGGACTCCATGTGCTGCCCACTGCATTGATTTGATGTTAGAAGATATTAGCAAAATGAAAGTTTTTTAAGATACAATTAGACTAGTCAAGCAAGTAGTGAAGTTTATTTATGGGCATACATGGGTTCTTGCTTTGATGAGATCTTTCACGAAAAACAAAGAGATAATTCGCCCTGCAATCACACAGTTTGCCACTTCTTATCTTACTCTTCAAAGCATCTATAAGCAAAAGCAACCTCTTCAGGCAATGTTTTCTTCTAGAGAATGGCACAATGGACCATTTGTCCAACATAATGAAGGTATTAGGGCTCACTCAACTATACTATATGATGTTAATTTTTGGTCTCGTGTTGCTTTCTGCATCAAAAGTGTTATTCCATTAGTATCGGTTTTAAGAGAAGTTGATTCAAAGGAGAGACCTGCTATGGGATTTATTTATGAGTTAATGGATGTTGCAAAAGAGAAGATTGCTTTTAATTGTGGAAAAGTTGAAAGAAAGTACAAACCAATTTGGAGAAAAATAGATGAAAGATGGGGCCCACAACTCCATCAACCTTTATATGCTGCTGGTTATTATTTGAACCCTCAATTGCGTTATGAAAAAACCTTTTCTAATGCTGATGAAGTGAGGAAGGGATTGGAAGATTGCATGACTAGGATGTTGTCTTTTGAGGATCGTATGACTGCTGATATCCAGTTGGACTTGTATGATGAGGCAAAAGGAGAGTTTGGAAGTCGTCTTGCAGTGAATTCAAGGAAACTACGAACTCCAGGTTATAATCTTTACTTTTTCATTTTCATTCGAGTATAATGAACACTTGAAATAAATGTTAAACTTAATTAGATGGATTTGTTTTGTTTTTTTAGCAAATTGGTGGAAGCGTTTTGGAAGGGACACACCTGAGTTGACAAAGTTTGCTATTCGGGTCCTTAGCCTTACTTGTAGTGCATCTGGGTGTGAGAGGAATTGGAGCACATTTGAGCAGGTAAAGTTCTTTTGTTAATTTATTGTTCAAATTTTGATGCTTCTAAATCTAATTTTGTATGTTTATTTTTATTTTAGATTCATACAAAGAAAAGAAATAGACTTGAACATCAAAAGCTCAATGCTCTAGTATATGTGAAGTATAATACGGCACTAAGAGAGAGAAGTATTAGAAGGAGGTCAAAGATTGATCCAATATTGGTGAATGAAATTGAGTCTGATGATGAATGGATAGCTGAGGTTGAAGAACCAATTCTACCAACTGATCTTATTTGGCTTAATTCTCAAGAATTATATGATGTTGATGTCATCAGAAATATCCCCACTGAACCTTATGAAACTGATCTACATACTCGAGTGCCTATTTCTGTGGAGCCTATTGGTGATCCTAGGACTCAAGAGCAAGGGAATATTCATGTTAGGACTCAAGAGCCTATTGTTCATTCTAGAACTCAAGATCCTATTATTGATGATGATCTTATTCTTGACGATGATGTTCTTCTTTCCTCGTTAGCTTCAAAAAAGAGAAAAGAATGTGAAACCTCAAGTAAGTATGAAAAGTAAATCATGGAGTGAAAGTTACAATTAGTGTTTAATTCATTATCACTAAATTTTATAATTTTAATTCATTGTTCATATGTACAGGTAAGAGAAAAGTCAAAAGCAAGTCCATAAGAGCTATGCTTATGGATGAAGATGATGAGATAGATAAAGATCCTTCAACATTTGATAGTGGGAAATATCCTTTTCATATTGATACAGTTGATCAATATGACAGTGATGCTAGTTTGAATGATATTAGTGTTGAGGAGTGGGATGAGTGAATTATGTTTTTGTTTTGATGTTGAATAAATATTTTATGTTTTGGGATTGATTATTATGTTTTGAATGACAATTAGTACTTATATTTGATTATATTTAAAAGATTGTTATAGTTGAATAAGAATTAGTTGTACAATTTAATCGTATTGTATTATTCATAAATTTTTCTTATTAAAATAACTTAATGTTCAAAAGGCTTACGCCTCAATGCCTCAAGGCTTACGCCTCGCATAGCGCTACTAAAAACGCCTCGCCTATACGCCTCGCCTATGAAAACATTGGTGTGTGTATCTGTCTGATGTGGGATTTTATGAATCTCGTAGAAAATTGATGCACATTTTGTTAACGAACCAGTGAATCAAAAGCCACAAGTGTTCACACATTGAATCATTTACTAAAAGCAAAGCAAGAACAGTCAGACCGTAGCCACAAAATACTACCAAAAGCAGAGACCTTGAACTATTAAATTAAAAACAAAGTAAAAAAGCCAATACACAGAATTAAGTGGACTTGGAAAAAAAGAGCAAAAGAGAAGGTGCTAAATTATATGCATTAGAATGGGTTCGGTGGGTAATGGGTGTGTGATTAATTGTTCTTCTTTGGTGGTGGTGGTGGTGGTGGTGGTGTTTGGTGTTTCAGGCTTGTGGGGTTTGGGAGGCCACTCCAACCGCTGATGATGAGGAAGGAGCAGAGTGAGAAACCACAGAGCCAAAGTAGACTACCAAACGATCAAAAATCATGCGTTTCACTGATTTTCTCTTGGCGGGAAATACACTTGCAGCTTTTGGCTTGAACCATGAGAGTTGGTGTGGCTCTTCCAGGACCATGATCTTCTTTATCTCCACTTTCTCTGTTGTGTTCAGCTTCAACTTCACCATTTTCTCTGCCTCTTTCTTGTTTTTCCCATCTGGGTTCTTCAGCTTGATCTTCATCAGCCCCTTCTCTGCCCCTTCAATATTTGCCCTCACTGCCATTTTGCTCTCTCTCTCTCTCTCTCTCTCTCTCTCTCCTCTCTCTCTCTCTGTGTTGTGATGTGATGTGTATGTGTTTTTGTTTGTGGGTGGTCTCTGCCTCTCTCTGTGTTTAAATAAATGATAAAGAACTGTAGGTGAGAGGGAATTGGTGAAATAGGAAGGCAAAGTCCAAGATCAACTCAAGAAAGAACACACATGGGATGGGAAGCAAAATCACTTATCAAAAATGAAATGGGATGCTGTAACCAAAAAAAAAAAGAAATGGGATGCCGTAACCAAAAAAAGAAAAAGAAATGGGATGCGGGATGTGTAGTGACACGTGGTTTTGGTCGCCCACTTGCCTAGATTGATTGGTATTTTCAAACCAATTTGTCTCTGGAAAAGTTAGAACTACAAAGCACGTCAATAAGAATATATGGAAAGAAAAAGGTGGTTTAAGTCGGAGGAAAGTTTACACTTACTCTTCACATGATTTTTCAAATTCGCTATTAAGATTAGTGAAAAATGGTCATTGATTTATTGTGTATCAAAATGAAGCTTGAAGAATGTTGACAACTTTGAATTGAATCAGAAACGTTCTTTTGACCAAAGAGGAAGCTTCCTGGACATTTCACCATGAAAATATACTAAGAATTATCATGGTTGATAACATCTGAAGAAGTCATTGACTAGGTCCTCTCTTCACTTTTTTATTTTCTTCCTCTATCTTCCGAGTGATTTGCTTTATGACCATCAAACCAGTCTCCCGTCAATTATGAACAATGATTTTGATAAACATAGGAGAAAAGTTTTTCTTAGTGACTGGTTATGATTTGCTCTGCTCTGTTAAGATCTGCCTTTGATTAGGGTTACGGAAAATTGGACTTGTCACTAAGTAGAATAGAAGTGTGGAACAGTAAAAGTTGGTGCTTTAGTTTTTCTTTTTTGTAATTTGTATGAAGTGAAGGGAAAGTAAAAGAGAAAGATGATTCAAAGGCAGATTAGTTAGACAGCAAATCGAACTGCGAAAAGGTTTATTAAAATACTCAGAACTTGACATTTTACAATCTCTCTCATTCTCATCATGGTTTTTTCCCTTTGGTTTGTGAGGAAGATCCATACATACTCTCGGAAACAATTTATTTTGATGATTCAACAAGCCAATAGCCCAAAAGTAGCAAGATGCACTTGAATTATCTACCTAGCATCATTTGATAAAAGATTGTTCCTTTCAACTATTCTAACATTGCACAGCCCATCAACTGAGTCCCCTCTCTCAAAAACTGCCGCAGCCCCCATACCCGAGCCTGCAACAAAGGACACACTCTCAGTCACGTCTTGTATTATCACAAGCTCTCGGTAACCAGGAAGAAGATGTGTGTGTGTGTGTGTGTGTGAGAGAGAGAGAGAGAGAGACCTATGCACATGGACCTATTCCCATGACCACCACCCCTCTGAAGAGCCGCGGAATCTTTTTACTCTGTGTACGGCCCCGGTTAAAGCCACCCCCCACCCCCCTCACGTGGGTCCCAGTCCCACAAAACCCCCTTCTCCCCCACACAGTAGTACAACTACACCACACCACGCCACGCCCTCATCGTTATTAGTATTACTCACTCTCTCTCTCTCCCTCTCTCCCCACAGACTCAGTAGGGGTTTTGTTGGTTTCTCTCTCTCTCTCTCTCTCTCCTCCTTTGCCGCGCCCAACTGACTCACACGTTCACATCTCTCTCTGTGCATTGATAGTATTATGGATCACAGAGAGATGCTGAGCTGATTCTTTTTCTGGCCGTACACGTGGCTTTCGTTGTGTACTTGGTGACTTTTGACCAAATGATTTGGTGACACTGATTTGGTGATTATGGGATTTTGAATAACATCGAAAGAAAACAATATCATGAAGCCTATACTATTTTCAGTTGTAAAATGGTGGCTATCTTTCTACGGCTGTAGAGGACCATGTGACAGAGAAGAGGAAAAGAGATTTTACATAGCGGAGCGGGGAAGAAGAAAGAGTACTCAAATGACATGAAAATATAGCAGATATTCTTTGTGGGCTTGCAGATCTTAACTTTGCAGCCATAACGATGGATTCAGTACCCAGCAGCAGCAGCAGCAGCACAGCTCACCATATTTTTTTGGCCGGTTCAAAATTAAATATGAAAAAGCAACCATGAAAGCCCACACATACATATACACACAGCAGTAACACAGATTCACATATTCAGATATGTCCAATAGAACAAAACTCTGTTTGTTAATCTCAGAGAGAGAGAGAGAGAGAGAGATCAAAGAAAACCCAACATTTTATTAAAGCCATGAAAACACCAACAACACCATTGAAATTACCAGAAAGAAAGAGATCAAAGAAACCCAGTAGCATTTTATGAAAGCCATGAAAAAACTACAGCAACAACACCATTGAAATTACCAGAAAGAAACAGACTAAATCGGCTCCTGTATCCCTATCTATGGCAGTGGGCTAAGGGCTTGGGTAAACGTGGTTGCTGATGACCTTGTTGGCGTTTGATGTGGTTTCAGAGGCTCTAGCAGAAGCTGAAGCAGGGCGAAACCATTGGCCAATTCGATCAAACATCATCCTCAGCACGGACCTCTTCTTTGCCGGGATGACACTTGCAGGTTTTGGTTTGGACGACTGCGATGGCTCAGCCTTGCTTTGATCTTCAGATGGGATCGAGTTCAGCTTCATGGGCTCCTTTGGGTGGTGCTTTGTTTTGGGGCAGAGGTCTTCTTTCCCATCTGGGTTCAAGTGCTTCAACGCCTTCTCTGCATCTGCAGTTTCCTTCATTGCCATCTCTCTCTTTCTCTCTCTGTGAATGTGTGCTTCCTTCCTTCTGTGTTGGTGTGCTTAAATAGAGATCTTTTAGTGGGATAAGTCCTATCCTATGTTTGGTGGGGTGCTAGACTAGGAGGGACTAAGGGGAAGTTCTGCACTTTACTCCTTAGGCCATTGGCCAAAAATTCATCTCCCACCTATGTATTTTAAGTGGTGGAAATTTGAGATGGGTGAAATTCTGGGAAGAATTCCAGTCGGAGAAAAATTTAAGTAATGGTCAATGACGTTTGCAAGTGTGGCAGTGTCGCACTGGCAGGCTACACACACACCTTTTGTATCTCTCTCTCTGTCTCTGGGGCAGGCTACACACACACCTTTTGTATCTCTCTCTCTCTCTCTCTCTCTCTCTCTCTCTCTCTCTCTCTCTCTCTCTCTCTCTCTCTCTGTGGCAGGCTACAGAGTTTTGTTCTATTGGACATATGCCATGGATGATGGACATATCTGAATATGTGAATCTGTGTTACTGCTGTGTGTATGTATGTGTGGGCTTTCATGGTTGCTTTTTCATATTTAATTTTGAACCGGCCAAAAAAATATGGTGAGCTGTGCTGCTGCTGCTGCTGCTGGGTACTGAATCCATCGTTATGGCTGCAGAGTAATTAGGATCTGCAAGCCCACAAAGAATATCTGCTATATATTCATGTAATTTCAGTACTTTTTCTTCTTCCCCACTCCGCTATGCAAAATGTCTTCCTCTTATCTGTCACATGGTCCTCTACAGCCGTAGAGAGATAGCCACCATTTTACAACTGAAAATAGTAAGAGGCTTCAAGCCTTCACGCCGTCTAGACAACCCAGAAAAGCTTAACCCCATAAATAGTTAGAGATGTTTAGCCAAATTAAGATATGATCATATGATATGTTGTTGAGAGAAAACCATGACTTTCCATCCATCAAATTATAATGGAGGACCATCAGAAAAACATTACAATTAAATTTACCATCTCCGGGCATTTCATGATATTGTTTTCTTTTGATATTATTCAAAATCCCACCATCACCAAATCATTTGGTCAAAAGTCACCAATGAGTGACTGGGAGACTCTTTTTTCTTTATTTTTTAATTTTTAATAGCTTAATTTCCATATTTTTTCTTTCGCTAGAAAATGATGTTCGGCGTTCCACCCCCAATACGCATGCATGGATATTCTTCTCAGTGGTTTAGGAGTTAAAAAAATTTAAGTAATGGTCAATGACGTTTGCAAGTGTGGCAGTGTGGCAGTGTCGCACTGGCAGGCAACACACATACCTTTTCAATCTTCCTTTTTGTTTGCAAGTTTGCAAAATCTACCACAAAGGGCAGCTTCTAGGTTAAAAATGACTAGGTCAAAATCTCTCTTTCTTTTTTTGCTTTTTCTTTCTCATAATCCAATGAAGAAGTTGATCCTTCACCCCTGTCATAGTGTTGAGAGAAAGCTCCTGGGAAGGTGCAAGGAAAGCTCCTGGAAGGTTGAAGGGCTTACCTCCTCAATGCTGTCATCCTCCGTCATAGTGTTGAGAGAAAGCATAGCTTCAGTCAGCATATCTTCTAAATCATCTATGTAGAGAGAGAGAGAGAGAGGAGAGAGAGAGAGAGAGAGAGAGAGAGAGAGAGAGAGAACTGATAATGCGTATCACTAGGGAAGTTTGAGGAAAAGAAGAGTGAAAACAAGACCTAGATTGGCATCCAAATAACGGGTGTCCTTCATCATTTCTAACAATAATAATGGCACTCTATATCTTTAAATATTGAACTTTTCTTTTTCTTTTTCTTTTTCTTTCTCATAATCCAATGAAGAAGTTGATCCTTCTATTCAATTGAAAGTTAGTTCTCAATAATCATAACATTTTTGGTACATGTAAATAATGATATATGGTTGATGTTTCTAAAGCTATTTAAATCACTTTCATTCACTAGAGATAAAAAAGAAAGTGACATACGAAATCTCTAACCTAACTATAATTCAATGACTACTTTTAAATAATCTTATCTTAATAATAAATATTTACAACCAAAAAAAAGGTAGATTATAGTAAGTGAAGACTGTCCAACTTCTAATTTTTCTGTTTTGGCTCTCACCTTGTCGAGTGCCTCCTAATGCATTCATATCGTATAGGTCAGGCAGTAGAACCAGGGGGGGGTCCTATGCCTCTCAATTTTTTTAAGGCCTTTGTTTTCTTAACACAATTACCAATCTTTTATCAAATTTTATTGAGGCCCTTTTTATGTTTTTCTTATCTCTCTTTTCACACTATTATTACTACCCCTTTTACATCTCTTTTTGTCTTATTTTGACTCTAAATTTTGTAGTAATAAACTAAATTGGAATTTCTTAGTGTGTATTTGACAAAATACATGTAATTTGAATCAATATCTTTTGTTAGTATTAATGATGAGTTGATATTTAATGTAATATGTAAAATAATAGAGGATAATAATCAAATTTATTAGGGATTTTTATTAAGTAAAAAAATTCAAATGTCATTTCAATATTTGAGGTGCCCTCTGTATAAAGTTTCTGGCTCCGCCACTGAGTAGAATGATGAGATTTACAGTGGTAACTATTCAATCAGTGCCACACACACATGATGCTACCCAAATCAATCAAGTTGTTTTCCACTTTTTTTTTCCTTTCTTTTTTTCTGTTTTTGTTGGATGAGTGTCTAGTCCAATCCAAATGATCATCATTAAACTAAAAAATGGTATCATTAATTTAAAACTCTCTGCTTAATTTATTTGTTTTGATGGCTTTGTCCACCTAATTAAAGTGGAATTTCACAAATCCATCCCTTTTAAAAAACTGGTTTCCTGGGTTGCTTTAGTTTCATATATGATATTATTTATTTATTCTTTTTGGTGTGTATCTGATGTGGGATTCTGTGAATCTCTTAGAAAATCGATGCACATTTTGTTAACGAACCAGTGATGAATCAAAAGCCACAAGTGTTCACACATTCAAAGATAAAACTAATATTTAACAGTAGTTCATATGTCACTTTCTTGTTTTAATCTCTGGTGATTTATAATGGCATTATTTCCACAACCTTGAGAATTTTGAATTGAATTAGACCCTTCATAGTCATTGAGATACCCAACTTGGATGGGATATGCTTCAGAAATGAGAAGGAAACTCATTGTCTTCTTTTTCACTTTTCTTTCTTACTCCAACTTCCACAGTGATCAAATTGAATCAAATGAGAAAAAGTCATATGGCTTGAAAGATTGTACATGGACCTGTGCTAGAAAACAACTGACAAGCAAACAAGGCCAGTCAGTAAAGTCACAAGGAATTCACTTGATTTGGTGGAATGACTTAAGTTAGAAAATTAAATTGCTAATGGCTGCAATTAAAAGGCTAATTCAGAATTAGTGCTGGTAACCCTTTTTTTTCTAGAAGCATGAATGTTTTTCAATTGATGCTAAAGATTATGTGTAAAACAAAGAAAGTAAATATGAGTCTGTTCTGTAGAAGATAAGATCATTATAAGTAATGTTTAGAGGCAAAGGAGATCACTCATATATTTACATATATAATAAAGACTTTTTCTGCATGCATGTCAATTCTCTTTATTTGATTGTTTATGGTAAAAATGTGTTTGTTTATGGTCTGAATCTGAAGTCAAAGACTTGTAAATCTGAGAGGTTCCCAAGAGCCAAAGACTTGTACTAGTCATTTTTAACCTAGAAGATGCCCTTTGTGGTAGATTTTGCAAACTTGCAAACAAAAAGGAAAAGAGAGAGAGAGAGAGAGGACAAATTTCTTCTTTAGTTTTCTTCTTATTCTTTGCCATAACGCCCATTCCGGGACAGGTTGGAAGAGGAATTCCTAATTCTTACACGGATGAGACTGATCACACCTTATCAGTGAAAAATTATGACACCAATCATTTTCGAGTGAGTATTACACCAAGAATTAATTTACAAGCGGATGAGTTTTCTAGTTGGCTATGTTGAACAAGTGTGTATGTGTTGTCTGCGAGTGCCACACTGCCATACAACACTGAAAAGCCATGAGAGCAAAAGTCCATAGTGTCACTTCACACATGTACCATTCCAATCTACAAGCATGCAATTTGACCATATCTTTATTACAACTTTATCTTGTATTATTCTGTCATGCCATTCCAATTTTCCAAAGCTTGGGCACAAAGTCTTCTTCAATTGTACTATTGACCAATTGATTATGGTTAATTACAAGGAAGATTGGAACGCCTGGAAATATTTAAAATAATGTTTACAGTTGCGGAGAGGCAATATTATATTAAAATTATCGTTCATCTAACAAAATATTTATTTTATAAAAAATAAAAAATAAAAAAAGATAAGACAAACTAATGAGAAGGGAGGAGCGGAGAAAGTAATTTTAACTCTTGAACCACTGAGAAGAATATCCATGCATGCAGGGCATGCATATTGGGGGTGGAACCCCGAACACCATTTTCTAGGGAAAGAAAGAAGATGGAAATTAAGCTGTAAAAAAAATAAATAAAAAAAGAGTCTCCTAGTCACTCAAAAGAAAACAAATGATTTGGTGACTTTTGACCAAATGATTTGGTGACACTGATTTGGTGATGATGGGATTTTGAATAATATCATGAAAAGCCAGGAGATGGTAAATTTAAAAGTAATGCTTTTCTGATGGTCCTCCATTACAATTTGATGGATGGAAAGTCATGGTTTTCTTTCGACAACATATCATTGTAAGTTCTTTCTTGTCTTTGAATCTTAAATACTAACCTTGGTCTGACATGGTAGCTTAGGATTTGTATAGAAGCCTTCTTCACCTATGCAGTTCTTTATCTCTTTCTTGGATGGGGTGAGAATGCTTTTGAGAGTATTTAACTGCTAGGGAAGGGGCTGCTATTTATATGCATTAGGTTCAGGTATTTTGCCCATCGAAGAATACCTGATCCTATCCTGATTGCATTAGGAATAAGTGTTTCAATCCATATGTGATTAGGAATTCTCAAGGTTCTAGTTATCCAATTAGTATTGCACTTTAACTAGAACTGCAGATCTGCTCTAATCCTATTTCTTGACTAACACCAAAGCTGTAAACCCAATGTGATTAGAAGACCATCTATAAGTGGATTAAGACGATGCAATGTCTTACAATCATATGATCATATCTTAATTTGGCTAAACATCTCTAACCATTTATGGGGTTAAGCTTTTCTGGGTTGTCTTGACGGCGTGAAGGCTTGAAGCCTCTTACTATTTTCAGTTGTAAAAAATTCTCTTTATTTTATGGGGTTTTATAATAACATGTGAGCTGATGGCTTGAAAGATTGTACATGGACCTGTGATGGCTGACAAGCAAACAACGCCAGTCAAAAAATTCACAAGGAATTCACTTGGTTTGGTGGAATGATGGTGATGGTGGAACTTAAGCTAGAAAATTAAATTGCTAATGCCTAATCTGAGAGGTTCCCAAGAGCCAAAGACATGTACTAGTCATTTTTAACCTAGAAGCTGCCCCTTGTGGTAGATTTTGCAATATGTGACCTAGAGCTAGGAGAAGGCCAATTAATCTGGGTCCCTCTTTGGTTAGGGCACCAGGCTAGGCTGCATGTAAGCCAATTTGACAAAGCTGTTGGGATTTGGAAAAAAGTATGGAAGACCCTGATAATCAACCAAGGCACTAATAAAGTTCTTTCTGACTTTCAAACCAATCTTCCCTCCAAAAAGAAAATCTCATGACAATGGTATCTTTCTTTCTGTGAGGATATTTTGATGTTGCTATAGGCCAGGCAGTAGATGAGATTTACAATGGTAACTATTCAATTGCCACTGCCACTGCCACTGCCACACACACATGACGCAACACATGATGCTACCCAAAGCAAATCAAGCTGTTTTCCACTTTTTTTTGTTGTTTCTGTTTTTGTTGGATGAGTGTCCTGCTCAATTCCTCTTCTTGATTTGATTTGATTAGGTGTATGATAAGATCCCATACATTTACTATAATGTTCATTAGCATGCATGAGTGTCAACTGTCAAGCAGCAGCAGCAACTAACATGGCAGAAGGTCCAATTTCATCCAGATATGTCACTCTGTTATGCATAGCTCTGTAGCTACTAGCTGGCGCCTGAAGGATGATGTCCCAGAGCAATTGCAGACTTTGATCACAAACAATCCAGTCCAGTCCAATCCAAATGATCATGATTAAACTAAAAAATGGTACCATTAATTTAAAAGTCTCTGCTTAATTTATTTGTTTTGATGGCTTTGTCCACCTAATTAAAGTTGAATTTCACTAATCCAACCCTTTTCAAAAACTGGTTTCCTGGGTTGCTTTAGTTTTATATATGAGATTTTGCCAAACATGAAACAAAATATGCATTTGCAGTATGTTAAATGAAAACATGTCCTAATCAGGAAAAATTAAGACGTTGGAGGAATACCTGCAAGCCATAGATGCTGGCTTCCATTTCAGCTATCATTGCATCACTAAATGATTCATTCTTGTCTCCCTCACTGACCCTATCATCCTACAAATATAACAAGCCGGAATTCAAGCCCACGAGTAGATGCATAATTTACAAAATCAGTTCCAGAAAATTTAATCAATTCTACCTCATATTCAGACTCTGGAATGATGCTCTCCACCTCTGTTGCAGTAGGGGATATGAGATCACCAATGGGTTCATCCACAGAATATGGGGAAACTACTGATGAAAACTGGATGCCAGGAGTAATAGTGTCGGTTACGTCTTCCACAATTATCACCGACTCCAACTGCTTTTTATCATTACTCATTGTTAGGGGTTTTGGCTGTCTCAGAGCAACATTTTCAACAACATTCGAGCTCAACTTCTCAGCATTCTCATCGAGGCAATTTACAAAGTCATCATCAATGAGAGAGACCCCTATTTTAAATGCAGCATCTTGGATTGGGTTCTGCAACACCCTATGGTCACTGTCTTGCAACTCAGGGTCATCAAGAACTGTCAACGGGTACATCTTTGCAGAGTGTATTAGCAGGGGTTCTTGGAAACCTACATCCTTTTGACTTGCAACAAGTCGCGGACGTGCAGGTTCATGCATGGTAGTTTGGGCCATCGGACAACCCTGAGATGAGATCTGCTAAAGAATTTTCATTACGAGAATGCTGTCTAGTACTTGGAAATAATCCTGCAACTTCAGAATTCCTGGCCCCTGAAACATCCTGTCCTTGTTCACCATTTGCAGTCCCTGTCAAAGCACAATCCTGATCATTGGCAGTTCTTTGGCTCGTGACAAGAATATTGATAGGGGTTTTGTCATGTTGGAAGTTCTTAGGTTCCTCCATCTTGTTATCTACCAAAGGTTTCAAACTAATGGCTGCAGGAATGACAACCCCAGACTCAAAACTAGATGTTGGGTTGGGATTTATATTAGGCAATCCATTCCGATACTCAACACCAGTGGCAGGTGATCTCGTCCCATAAAGGGTCTCATCTTGATGAAGGAAAGGATCCTTTTCATTGAACTTCTTTGTCAGTTCCGAAGTCAAAGAATCTTTCTTTTTAGATGTCCAGTATTTGTCAGGAATATCACCATTCCCTTTGGGAGCATGTTCATTCCTGCCCAAAGATTCTAAACATGGAGAAGAATTTGGCAAATCCAGTCTTCTCTGCAATCCAATTGACTCCATACCATGTAACTGATTTTGCAGCTGAGGATTGAAAGATTCGATATTGTCATGCAGTTGGGTTGGCTTTTCTTGTGGGGCACCTAAGTTCAGCAGCAATGACAATTGTGTTGAAATATAAGTGTTTTAGCTGGTATGATTTTGTATTTAGTTTAAATTTACAGGTTTAAATGTGAGTCCTTGGATTATAGTCCAAGTGGACAGCTAAGATCTAATCTTAGAATAGAAGAATGGATGGCTATATTTGGATGATGTAATTTGGAATATCTTATTCCAGCTGTTATTAGTTCACAGTGTATGAGTGAGAAGAATAACAGAATTCTTCCTTTTGCTCCTTCCAAAAGCTCTCTCTCATTATGAAAATTCCTCTGAAACTTCTATTCATTCAGTAGCATTTAGTAGCATGCAAGTTACAATTCAGATCATAGTTTGAATTCTAACATGGCCTCAGAGCCAGGTTCGATTGATGTGAAGTATGCATTTTTGAATGGAGTGTTGTATGAAGAGGTGTATGTGGATCAACCTCCTGGTTTTATGGTTAAGAACAAAGAGGATAGAGTGTATAGACTCAAGAAGGCATTATATGGACTTAAACAAGCTCCAAGAGCTTGATATGAAGAAATCAATTCTTACTTCACCAAGGCAAGTTTCCAGAGAAGTCCGAGTGAAGCAACACTATATGTAAAGGCTGCAGAAAGTGGTATTATTATCGTTTCCTTATATGGAGATGATATTATCTACACTGGAAGCTCAAAAGCCTTGATGATGGAGTTCAAAATTGAAATGATGAGGTAATATGAAATGACTGATCTTGGTTTGCTTCACCATTTCTTGGGGTTATGAGTGATACAAACTGAGTCTTACATTTTCGTGCACCAGAAGAAATATGCTAAGACACTGCTAGACAAATTTGGCTTCAAGGACTGTAAAACGATAGCTACTCCTCTTGCAATGAATGAAAAGCTATCCAAGGAAGATGGGAGTGAACAAGCTGACGAAAGGGTCTATAGGCAAATTGTTGGAAGTCTGTTGTACTTGACTGCAACAAGGCCAGACATTATGTTTGCAGCAAGTCTTTTGGCTAGATTTATGCATGAACCTACTAGAAAACATATGGGAACTGCCAAAAGGGTACTGAGGTACATTCAAGGCACATTTGATTATGGCATAGTGTATGAGAAAGGAAAAGAAGCAAGGCTCATTGGCTACTGTGACAGTGATTGGTCTGGGAGTGAGGATGACATGAGAAGCACCTCTGGATATGCATTTAATCTTGGATCTGGTGTGTTCTCGTCAAGCAAAGTAGTGTAGCTTTGTCTACAGCCGAGGCAGAGTACATTAGTGCAGCAGAAGCAATCTGGTTACAAGCAATCTGGTTGCGCTTTGTTCTCTCAGATTTTGGTGAAGAACAGGTGGGTGCTACTACAATTCTATGCGATAATACCTTTGCTATTGCCATAACTAAGAATCTGGTGCATCATCATAAGACAAGACATATAAACAGAAGGTTTCACTTCATCCGAGATGCTTTGCAAAATAGAGAGATTGATTTACTGTATTGCAAAACTGAAGAACAGATTACAGACATCTTTACCAAGGCTCTAGCAAAAGATCAGTTTGAATACCTGAGAAGAAAGCTTGGAGTAATCTCAGCTAAACACTTAGAAGGGAGTGTTGAATTATAAGTGTTTTAGCTTATATGATTTTGTATTTAGTTTAAATTTACATATTTAAATGTGAGCCCTTGGATTATAGTCCAAGTGGACAGCTAAGATCTAATCTTAGAATAGAAGAATGGATGGCTAGATTTGGATGATGTAATTTGGAATATCTTATTCCAGCTGTTATTAGTGCACAGTGTGTGTGTGAGAAGAATAACGGAATTCTTCCTTTTGCTCCTTCTAAAAGCTTTCTCTCACTCTGAAAATTCCTCTGAAACTTCTATTCATTCAGTAGCATTTGGTAGCATGCAAGTTACAATTCAAATCATAGTCTGAATTCTAACAAATTGAGCTTTTGGGAAGTTTAAGAGGGAGGATGGGCTCATGCCTTCTTGTGAACATTATATAGACCTCCCTCCATTCTCTTGCAGTTTTGAATTAGAAAACGCCTGTGGTATGCCATGATGACAATCAGTGGAATCATTAGATCCTGACAACATAGCCTTTGGATGTTCTTGGTGTGAGATAGGCCTGTCAGGAGGAGTTAATGTTTCCTTATAGACTGGGCTCTCATGAGAATTTTTCAGAAAAAGGGCAATATTTAAATGACTAAAGGGAAAGAATAGGTTTCATTGAGGTGAAGACTGGGTTTAGAGTGAAGCACCTTTAGGTGGAAATCTTGGAAGGCCATCAAATTCATATAGGGATAAGTTGGACATTGACTAAAGATATAAAATACAAGGGATGAGCAACAAGGCTCCCTTGAAGCATGCAATTAGTGACCAATTTCGAAGGTAGGGAAGGTAAGAAACAAATAGAAAAGAGATCAAGAGACACAATCAAAGTGGCATTAACAATTAGGCAAAACAAGAACATAATAAAGCAACTGATCTTTGTTCAAAAAAAGGGAAAAAAAAAACCTTCATCGTTTGACTTGTTCAAAAAAAAGGGAACAAACCTTTTGGCTTGGAACAATGCCACTGAATGATAAACATATACAAACTTTCCCCTGTATCTATTATTGTTATATATATTATATATATATATATATATATATTTTTAACACAGTCTTTTTCACCTATTTCTCTATTTTTTCGGTGGACACATCAGACTTCCTTCTTGTCCTTACAACCATATATGTGACTTTTTAAAATTATTTTATTCTACATATCATATATTATCAAGTTTCAATTGAGTTAACTCAGTTAATTAAAGCTTGTTCAACTTTCTCTTAGTTTTCTATTCACCTATGGTTTGTTTGGGTTCGTGAAATTTTTTATCGTGTTCTCTCCACATATGGTTTGTTTAGGTTTGTGAAATTTTGGATTGGGTTACTTTGGCATCTCTCCACATATATACTTTACTGACAATAAATTCTTCATTATCATGTATGTAATGTGTGTGTATATATATATACAATTATTCTCTTATTTGCACGATATTATTATTGTGGGGATATTATTGTAAATAAGAAGGAAAGCATGGAGGGATAGTAGAAAATATATGACATATGCACATCTGAACGTTCGCATAAGAGAATTTCTGTATATATTTTATATTTATGTCTCTCTTTGAGTGTGTGTTTCCTTCTGTGTTGATGTGTTTATGATGATTGAGGAATTGTGTAAAGGTGTCCCTTACGAGTTTAAATAGATGAGGGTAAAAGTATGAAAAAGTGTTTGGGTACATACCAAGTGGATGTATCTTCAAAGGATGGAAGACAAGCAATGGAATATTATTATCGATTGTGCAGTTAGAATTTGATTTATTCAATTTGAACACACACATGACATCCTTAGAAGTTAATGGAAATTTCACTACCTACCATTGTTGCATATGGAATCACAATTTCTCCATAGAAAAAGATAAAGTAGGTCAACATCACTTTATTACTTATAAGTAATCTGATATAATTATATGACTTTTTATCACAAAACGTATTTTGAGGTGGACAAAATTATCAGATTGCGTATTTTTTTGTCTTTTGTTTTTTTGTCATTCATAGTTCTCAAGGTTAATATGTGTGCTTATGAGTAGTCTATGTTGTGATTTTCGTAAAAAAAAAAAACTTTCTTAATTTGTTGATGTGACACATATATAGAGCCCACATATTCTATAATATAATGCCATATGGATTAAAAATTTAATAGGTTAAAAAAAATATAGGAAAAATTATATATAAAAAATGTACATATTTTCAACAATTAAAATTAATTTAAAATTGAAAAAGAAGAAGAAAAAGAGAATATCATTCCTTGATTCGGCCCTCAACTTTAACCACACCGGCCATCTCTCAACTTTAAGTATCGTACTAGGGTGGTTGCTTCTTCCATACGAGCAGTTGGGTGAATTAGACACACAGTCCAATTTAGCATCTAATCAAAATGACACATCATTTTCTTTGTCCTTGTGATCCCATGTGAACATCCCGCGAACAACGCAAGTTCCTTCAGCCATAGACTATAGTGAGGCATTCGACCATTTGCCAACCTTCCAAGTCTCTAGAAAATTAAATTATGTGCGTCTCTAGTCTCTAACATATTTCAAACTCACATATGGGTGACATGAGCAAACTAATATATTTAGTGAAGGAAAGTCATATCATGGACTACTTGTGACCACGTATATTAATCCTAGAAAAATGCTTACCTTATTTTCTAGAATGTCACATCACACGTTGTGAAAGTTTTTTTTTTTTTTTTTTTATTTTTTTTTTTTTTTTTTGATGATTTATTTTTGCATATGTATTAAATTATGATTTGCAGGAAATATGAATGTCTCGTTCCCAGAAAAGAGGGAAGCAATGTTATAACCTTAAGGACTGTGAATAATATTATTAAAAAAAAATACGTAACCTGATACTTACATCAATTTCAGAGACATTTTGTAATAAACATATGAATGACTTAGAATCTTGTTGGTTATGGTGTGTAACGTGTTTAGTGAATAAAATGACCTAAAGTTAAGTGATAGTGCTGAAGAATTCTCTAATCAATATTGCGGCTTGAAGCTTTGCTTGCGAGGGACGTCTTCAGAAGTAAATGTAATTTATTATTTTTATTACCAAATCAGTGTCACATCGTAAACTATGATCAATTGGTCAGTAGTCACCAATGAGTGCCTAGGAAACTCTTTTTTTAAAACTTAATTTCCATCTTCTTTCCCAAGAAATGATGTTCAGAGGGTCCCACCCCCAATACGGTCCACCGCCACCTATTTTCTCCCTTACTGTTTCTCTTCTCAACCATCACCACCCCTAAATCAGCCCAGTTCCTCTTTCTCTTTCTCCACCTCCAGCTCATATCCCTCCACCATTCACTTCCTCTCTCTCCCCTCCATCTCCACCTCCTCTCTCTCTCTCTTTCTCCTCCCGATCTGGGTTTTCATATCACAGCCTCAAAACCTGCCCTAGATTCGAGCCCTACCACCACCAATCTCCGCCCAGTGCCTTCTCTCCCTCTGTCTCCCTCCAAATCTTCTCTAGACACCCATCACCAATCTTCAGATTATAACCTCTAAACCCACCTCAAATTCGAGCCCTGCACTCACGACCTCTCGCAGTTGTCAATCTGAAATGTGGGTTCGGTGGGTTGAGTGTGGTTGCAGGTCCATGTGGATGCAGATGGCAATCACTGGAATCTGTGCTGGGGGAGGTGACTTTGGATGGTGGAGGCAACAAAGAAACAGAGAGAGGGAGAAGGGCTGAGAAGCTTTTTGAGGGAGAGAGAGACGACAGAGAGGAGGGTTGTGAGGAAGGAAAGGGAGCGGAAACGGAACGGGTTGGAAAAATGAAAATGGCCACCAACCCCCAAAGGGGCGGCGGCTGAGCTTTCAGAGAGAGAGAGTTTTTCTTTTAGCTGGGGTTTTTTTGGCTAGGGTGTAATTGGGGGTGGAACCGAACATCATTTTTCTAGGGAAAGAAAGAAGATGGAAATTAAGCTGTAAAAAATTTTTAAAAATAAAGAATAAATAGTCTCCTAGTCACTCATTGGTGACTTTTGACCTAATGATTTGGTGACACTGATTTGGTGATGATGGGATTTTGAATAATATCAGAAGAAAACAATATCATGAAAAGTAATGTTTTTCTTCTGATGGTCCTCCATTACAATTTGATGGATGGAAAGTCAAGGTTTTCTTTCAACAACATATCATATGATCATATCTTAATTTGGCTAAACATCTCTAACCATTTATGGGGTTAAAATACATTTTGCACAGCGGAGTGGGGAAGAAGAAAAAGTACTGAAATGACATGAAAATATAGCAGATATTCTTTGTGCGCTTGCATATCTTAACTTTGCAGCCATAACGATGGATTCAGTACCCAGCAGCACAGCTCACCATATTTTTTTGGCCGGTTCAAAATTAAATATGAAAAAGCAACCATGAAAGCCCACACATACATACACACAGCAGTAACACAGAGTCACATATTCAGATATGTCCATCATCCATGGCATATGTCCAATAGAACAAAACTCTGTTTATTAATCTCACAGAGAGAGAGAGAGAGAGAGATCAAAGAAAACCCAACATTTTATGAAAGCCATAAAAACACTGCAGCAACAACACCATTGAAATTACCAGAAAGAAAGAGATCAAAGAAAACCCAGTAGCATTTTATGAAAGCCAGGAAAAAACTACAGCAACAACACCATTGAAATTACCAGAAAGAAACAGACTAAATCGGCTCCTGTATCCATATCTATGGCGGTGGGCTAAGGGCTTGGGTAAACGTGGTTGATGACCTTGTTGGCGTTTGATGTGGTTTCAGAGGCTCCAGCAGAAGCTGAAGGACTATTAGTATCATCTGAAACAGAGCAAAAGCATTGGACAATTTTATCAAATATCATCCTCAGCACGGACCTCTTCTTTGCCGGGAGGACACTTCCAGGTTTTGGTTGGAACGACTGCCATGGCTCAGCCTTGCTTTGATCTTCAGATGGGATTGAGTTCAGCTTCATGGGCTCCTTTGGGTGGTGCTCTGTTTTGGAGCAGAGGAGGTCTTCTTCCCCATCTGGGTTCAAGTGCTTCAACGCCTTCTCTGCATCTACAGTTTCCTTCGTTTCCATCTCTCTCTTTCTCTCTTTGTGAATGCCTGCTTCCTTCCTTCTGTGTTCGCTTAAATAGAGATCTTTTTAGTGGGATAAGAATTGTCTGGGATAAGTCCTATCCTATGTTTGGTGGGGTGCTAGACTGGGAGGGACTAAGGGGAAGTTCTGCACTCTACTCCTTAGGCCATTAGCCAAAAATTCCTTTCCCACCTATGTAAATTTGAGATGGGAAGAATTCCAGTCTGGGTTTTGCCTGGACCGGAATATTTTGTGGACACCGACTCACGCTGCAGAGTCCACATTTTTTTTTTGGGGTTGGAATAGGGAAAAATGGAGCGGGAAAAGTTGCTGCTCTCCCTTTGCGTCTGCATGACAAGTGGTCGTGGTTGTTTCTTTAATTTTTTATATATTAAACTCGCCTGGAAGGTGCAAGGAAAGCCCCTGTTCAGGCCTTCGTTTTCTTAACACAATTGCCGATCTTTTATCAAATTTTATTGAGGCCCTTTTTATGTTTTTCTTATCTCTCTTTTCACACTACTATTACTACCTCTTTTACATCTCTTTTTGTCTTATTTTGACGCTAAATTTTGTAGTAATAAACTAAATTGGAATTTCTTAGTGTGTATTTAACAAAGTACATGTAATTTGAATCAATATCTTTTGTTAGTATTAATGATGAGTAGTTATTTAATGTAATATGTAAAATAATAGAGGATAATAATCAAATTTATTAGGGATTTTGTATTAAGTAAAAAAATTCAAATGTCATTTCAATATTTGAGGTGCCCCTTTATACAAAGTTTCTGACTCCGCCACTGAGTAGAATGATGAGATTTACAATGGTAACTATTCAAAGTGCCACACACATGATGCTACCCAAATCAATCAAGCTGTTTCCCACCTTTTTTTTTTCTCTTTCCATTTTTCTGTTTTTGTTGGATGAGTGTCCAGTCAAATCCAAATGATCATGATTAAACTAAAAAATGGTACCATTAATTGAAAACTCTCTGCTTAATTTATTTGTTCTGATGGCTTTGTCCACCTAATTAAAGTTGAATTCCCCATTTCACAAATCCATCCTTTTTCAAATTCGTTATTAAGATTAGTGAAAAATGGTCATTACGAAGCTTGAAGAATCTTGACAACTTCGAATTGAATCAGAAACATTCTTTTGACCAAAGAGGAAGCTTCCTAGAAATTTCACCATGGAGGTATACTAAGAATTATAACATCTGAAGAAGTTATTGACTAGGTCCTCTCTTCAGTTTTTGTAATAACCTGATCCTTAATTAATTTTTAATTATTAATTGATTATGAGGGTACCACTCTTTTGGCCTTTGCTTGTTGAGTGATTTGCCTTCACAAATTTAAAAATTGTACTGCTAGACTTGTATCATTGACATCTTAATTAGTAACAGGTTGCCCAATTGCACAGTTAAATTTGCAACATATAATTCTTGTTTTCTACAATTTCTCCTTCTAGTTTTCACTTTCTATCGATATGAGAAATTTGAGTTCTCCATTAGTAGTTCTATGGTGTGGTATGAGGATCCTCTCCTCTAGGGCTGTATTATTTCTTAGTCTAATATAATATTAATTTCTCTCAAATACAGAAGTTACATTTTTGTTGGTTTCATTGTTTTGTATAAATATGAGCTTTGTCTTCTTTTGCCCAATTACCGCATATCTTAAGAGTATAATAAAGAAAAGGGAGTTAGAATTCGAACTATTATGACGTTGGGAGGATTTGTGTTTAATTATTCCTTTTGTTACAAATTAAGGAGGCCAAATATGAAGAACCAGAATTCAAACCCTAACATACAGATGTGAGTTAGACCAATTAGTCAAGATAATGTCCCGTTCCTTTGCATCCCAATTAGATCTCCCCTTTCTGTATATTAGTTAGAATATCACTTTGTGAAAAAGAAAAAGTAAATCCAAACTCTAACATTGGGTGCAGAGATTCATTTGATCTTACAAAAGTTGCAAATAAACAAATTAGCAAAAACAAAATGTAAGATATAGCATCAAACGAAACAAGTTGTGAGAAAATGCTATAATAATTTCATTTAATGATGAGTAGATATTTAAAATAATAGAGGATAATAATCAAAATTATTAGGGAATTTGTATTAAGTGAAAAAATTCAAATGCCATTTTAATATTTGAGGTGCCCTCTGTACAAAGTTTCTCGCTCCGCCATTGAGTAGAATGATGAGATTTACAATTATAACTACTGAATTGCACGTGCCACACACACATGATGCTACCCAAATCAATCAAGCGGTTTCCCACTTTTTTTTTCCTTTCTTTTTTTATGTTTTTGTTGGATGAGTGTCCAGTCCAATCCAAATGATCATGATTAAACTAAAAAATGGTACCATTAATTTAAAACTCTCTGCTTAATTTATTTTTTCTGATGGCTTTGTCCACCTAATTAAAGTTGAATTTCACAAATCCATCCTTTTTCAAATTCGTTATTAAGATTAGTGAAAATTGGTCATTACGAAGCTTGAAGAATCTTGACAACTTCGAATTGAATCAGAAACATTCTTTTGACCAAAGAGGAAGCTTCCTAGAAATTTCACCATGGAGGTATACTAAGAATTATAACATCTGAAGAAGTCATTGACTAGGTCCTCTCTTCACTTTTTTATTTTCTTATCTTCTGAGTGATTTGCTTTATTACCATCAAACCAGTCTCCTGTCAATTATGAACAATGATTTTGATAAACATAGGAGAAAAGTTTTTCTTAGTGACTGGTTATGATTTTCTCTGCTCTGTTAAGACCTGCCTTTGATTAGGGTTACGGAAAATTGGACTTGTCACTAAGTAGAATAGAAGTGTGGAACAGTAAAAGTTGGTGCTTTCAGTTTTTCTTTTTTGTAGTTTGTATGAAGGGAAAGTAAAAGAGAAAGATGATTCAAAGGCAGATTAGTTAGACAGCAAATCTAACTGCGAAAAGGTTTATTAAAATACTCAGAACTTGACATTTTACAATCTCTCTCATTCTCATCATAGTTTTTCCCCTTTGGTTTGTGAGGAAGATCCATACATACTCTCGGAAACAATTTATTTTGATGATTCAACAAGCCAATAGCCCAAAAGTAGCAAGATGCACTGAATTATCTACCTAGCATCATTTGATAAAAGATTGTTCCTTTCAACTGTTCTAACGTTGCACAGCTCATCGACTGAGTCCCCTCTCTCAAAAACTGCAGCAGCCCCCATACCCGAGCCTGCAACAGAGGACACACTCTCAGTCACGTCTTATATTATCACAAGCTCTCAGTAACCAGGAAGAAGATGTGTGTGTGTGTGTGTGTGTGTGTGAGAGAGAGAGAGAGAAACCTATGCACATGGATATCACACCAAAGCGGTGATCCTTGCCACGACGCTTCATCTCATTCAATAGAGTTGCAACACAGCGAGCACCTAACACACATAGATATCACACTTCTATTCACCAAACTTAGAGAAAAATAATAATGTGATTGCATTTCCTCTTTGTTCACTAGTTATATTAGCAATTAAACCAGATGATAGCATTAAACGAAATGTACATGCCTGTTTGTGTCATCACATGTCCACTTGAATTCATAGCTTAGCAGCAAAATATGAGGGAATGTGCAATTTAAGACAAAATTTAACATACCTGTAGCGCCTAAAGGATGCCCTAGAGCAATAGCGCCTCCATTAACATTGACTTTTTCAGGATCAAGCTCCAATTTCTTGCAACAATATACATATTGAGATGCAAATGCCTATAGGAAACCAATAAAACAGCTTAGTTAATATATTCAAGCCAAACCATATTTATCATGAATGTTATGGACATCATTAGCACTATACTACCTCATTTATCTCAAATAGATCAATATCATCAAGCTCCAGACCAGCAGATTTCACCGCAACTGGAATTGCAGCAGCTGGACCTATTCCCATGACAGCGGGGTCAACGCCAACAGCAGCAAAACTCCTGCATGGAAAGGAGAAAATTGTAATCCAAGGTACAAATCAAGCTTCTGTTAGTTCACGAACAAACTTATCACAAGGAAATAACACCAATTAACACTGACAAGAAAATTAATAAATGACCAAACCTCAAGCAGCTCATCTCTCCACTTATGGTTCATTAATTTGCTATGATTTTTTTGTTTCGATATTATAGTCATTTCAAGAGGCATAATAATCTTCAAAGTTTAAGTGATGAGTTAAATGTTATTTCACAGAAGTATAAATTTCATACCTGAAAACACCAAGAATAGGAAGCCCCTTCTGCATAGCTAAACTTCTCTTCATGAGGAGAACTGCTCCAGCACCATCACTCACCTGGCTAGCATTTCCTAAGAGACAAAAACAATGAACTGATTCACAATGCTTGATACAAGTCAAAAACATCTCACTCAAAGAAAAAGTTGTGTACAATTAAATGAAGATACTGTCATGGTTTACAAGCAGCGGGCGTCATGACAATCGAGTGATTAAATACCTGCAGTTGTAGACCCATCTGCTTTAAATGCAGGCTTCAGCTTTGCCAAATCATTCATGTTTGCATTTGGCCGGATCCCATCATCCACAGAAATTGTAACAGGCCTCTCCTCTCCAGTTTTTGGATCCACAATCTATGCATACAAGTAGTTAATTACAGAAAAATGAAAGACAGTCACCCAGGATACCAAATTTCTGTGTTTACCTTAGTAGATACAGGGATAATTTCATCTTGGAATTTGCCTGATGCTGTTGCTGCAGCAGCACGGCTATGTGATTCAACCTATACAAATAAATTCATGAAACTACAGCCTCTGCATTATGAGTTTATCAAATAGCTAAGCATGTAAACAGATAGAAAACTCACAGCAGCTTTGTCTTGCTCCTGCCGTGTCACACCATATCGCTGTGCAACATTTTCAGAGGTAATACCCATGGGAAGAAGGCAGTCACGGGCTTGTGCAAAGATATCTACCTGTTAACAGCATACATTCATCTCAAAAGAACATTCTTCATGTAAAACAAACTATAAAGTAAACAACTTGAGATGGAATATACTTTAGGGTTAATTTTGTTCATCCTGCCAAGTTTATCAACTGACATGGACTCCAATCCAGCTGCAACACCTGCATTCAAAACAAAGGTCAATTCCATTGATGGAGACCACCTAAAATAATACTTAATCCAGAATATTCTCTCACCGATTTCATAGAATCCGGCTTTTATAGAAGCAGCTACATCAGCAACTGCCTGAAGGCCTGACGAACATTGCCTGTTGACGGTTCTGATGGGAACCGTATCTGGGCAAAACAGATGAATCATACAACTTTAGACTAAAACAAATATAAATAAATTACTTAAAACACCAAATATAGTCTAAAACTTACCAGGGAAACCAGCATAAAATGCAGCCATCCTGCACTCAGTTGCTCTAAGTGAGCCAGGTGCCATAACCGTACCAACAACTATATCCCCTACTTCACTTGGGTTCAAATTTGTCCTCTCAATTAGTGCCTGCACAAAGAGTAAAACGAATGAAAATTCAGAATAAGATAACTACCACATAATTATGATGGAATTCAAAGAAACATATCCATTCCTCTGGAATTCAGTTGAGAAGTGTATGCTAACCTTTAAAACAGGAGCCAGTAAATCATCAGGTGAAGTATCCTTAAAGCCTCCTCGCTTTGCTTTGCAAATGGCAGTACGGTAGGCTCTATTTAACATGATTTTACAGCAGGGTTTACACATAGAAGGCATAACCCACATAAACTACCCACACAAAAAAAAAAAAAAAAAAAAAAAAAAAAAAAAAAAAAAAAAAAAAAAAAAAAAAAATAACTTTCTCAGATCAGCTAATTACTCACGCCACAATCACTACATCGTCTCCAAAAGCAGCTGTTCTGTGGTACGCAGCACTATCCCCAGCAGCACATATTGAAGCCTAACAAACAAATTATGAAGAAAACAGAATCAGCTAAGCAAAATTAGGTACAATCAAAGTTTCATTCTTTTTTTTATGAAACTGAAAAGGAAGAGAATTGAAGAGAAAATAAGCTGGAAACAAGAACACCAAGTAAAGAGTCACTACAATTAAATCCGATCATCGAAAATGGATATAAACTTACAGATAGGGCAGCAGATTGATGGGTTTCAGGAGGAGCAGAGGAAAAAGAAGAATTGGGCAACAGATGCTGAAGCAGAACACGCTGTCTGTTATGCGCTTTCTCCATCTCTCTCTCTCTCCAAAATGAATTGCAGAAAGCTCTTTCAATCAATCACACACTGTGGAGCAGTAACACATTAATCAATGGTTTATGCGTTTTTATAGTTGAAATGAGGTTGGCCTCTTGAATTTCCAAGTAAACATTGACCACAAGAAGAACCCACTTAGTCAACTGAAAAGGGCAATAATAAGACCCCATTTGCTCGGTGGCTGCCTGGGAAAATACAAGGAAACAATACCCCACGTTTTTCACAGCAACCAAACGTTTTGCTTGCTCAGTTGCTGCTTCTCTCTCTAGTCTCTACCAACTTTTTTTTATATTTTTTTGTGGTGCCATGCCATAATCTTTTCATTTCCATTTGATTGGAAAACCATTACGAATTCCCATTTGAGGCCACTTTTAAAACCATTATGAATCCTTTTCTTTTCTAGTAGAAAACAAAGCAAAATCATTGACTGAAGGCTGCGCTGCAAGTTCATTTCTTTTTCCTTTATTTTCGCCTTTTGGACCCATCATTATCAAAGGTTGGTGAATGCAGGTCTTCGGTGACCCGATAATTTCCGGTGAGCATGTTTCTTTTGTTTTCACACTGAGCATCAATAATAAGAAAAGAAAAGGGGCCGGATAAACCAAAGCTCTATGGATTTCTGTGTATATACATATGGACAAACGTTTCTCCAGCCAAAAAGATGGACACCAAACTTAGGAGAAAACTGTAGATGGTCTCTTGCTTGCATGCTAGTATGACCCGGTGTTTCTTTTACAAAAGAATAAAAAAAATACGATCTCTTTATCAACAGAAGAACGAATCAATAGACCATCAAATTGTGGGGATAAACTGATCAGCCTCAAAGTTTTGTTCCTCAACCACGAGGGTTTCCATTGGAGATACTAGAGAAACCCAGTACCTGAAGAACGTCAAACGTTGGGCTTCATATGTCTTGTCTGATTCTGAGGTGCCTTTGCCTGAAGTGCATTAGACATAGCTCGCAATCTGTTAGTTATCTCAGTGAATGATGGCCGGATTTCAGGATCAGGTGACCAGCACTGTTCCATCAGATTCCTCCACTCGGAATCACAACGTTCTGGAATAGGAGGTCGAAGAGTGTTCTTCACGATTCCCCCTGTGTTCAAAAGTTTCCAAATCAGGTGAAAAAATTAAAATAAAGATAAATAGAATCCATACTAATCGTAATTTAAAGCAAGCAGAACATGCAAAAATACAAGAATCTAAGTCTGCGGGCGTCAATGTTATGTTTGCTATTGAATTTAAAAATTACTAGCTCGAGGTGTGGTTGGAAGATATGTTCTACCTTGAGCTAAGAGACCCATGAATTAATATCCTGATGCATACAGCAACAAATGGTCCAAATGGAAGCAAGGATTTACAGCACCAAGCATAACATTTTTGAAAAGGTAAACAGAAAGCTAAAACTTCCGCCAAGAGATTTTGAATCAACAAAATTTCTTTTATAAAAGAACTCATTTTATTGCCCTTCAGTTATCACATGGGACTTCCATTCAAAATCAATACTGATGATAAGAAGGTCCATGACATAATCTTACCAATGATGGCACCACAATGCATATTCGCGTATGGTTCCTCCCCAGTCAAGATCTCCCACATTGAAATTCCAAACGAGAACACATCCACCTGTCAAAAAATAATGCCAATTACGTTAAAAAACAATCCATTTTTGCCTTCTACATTACAGCACCAAGCATAACAGTTCTACTAACCTTCTCAGAAACCCGGCTGCTGCTACCATTTAATAATTCTGGTGCCATCCAAGGAAGAGTTCCTCGCACACCACCAGATACCAAAGTATTGCGTTTGATTCTCGATAAACCAAAATCTCCAACCTAAAAGCATGAAACCCCAATCACCAGTATTAAAGGAAAATCCAAGCAATAAGTCTCCTGGGAAAACCTCAAAGAAAGAAAGAAACGTGATATTTGGCTGAACTTCCACATAAAAGGTCCCGCAAAGGATACTTGTATGTATAATTATGACTTTCCAGCCTCTTTGTGAGGGAAAAGAAAGCCCCCACTGGATCTCCCCAATTTCATGATCAGGGAAACTGTTGGCATTGAAATACTTACTATATGGTTTTGATAAAATTTGCACTTCTTTTAAGGCATTTCACGGTCTGGAATTGTATAAAGACTACAAAGAAAGACGCTTTCCTATGAAGTGCATTTATGTCAGCCCTTGAATATGAAACTTGGTTTCAATCTAATTTACCTTGCATATAGGTCGTTGAGGATCCCTCAAGTTGACTAGCAGATTGTCACACTTCAAATCAAAATGGACAATATTCTTTGAATGCAAGTATTCCATGCCAAAAGCTGCATCCATTGCAATTATAAGCTTTCTACGACGGTCAAGTGATCTGCATAATGAATACCCATGTTCTAAGATATGCAGAAAAAACTGTAAGAAGCAAATAAAGCAAAGAAATGATATCAAAATTACCTATCCTTCTTAAGTAGTGCATGCCTAAGTGACCCATTGACCATGAATTCGGCTACAGTTGCCAACGTACCACCAGCTCCGTCAGGTACTACCCCATAGAATGCAACCACATTTGGATGATGAAGATTTGAAAGGATCTGCGCCTCTCTCCAGAAGTCTTTTGTCTGGTACAGCCAATTCAACTATCAACTTCACATGTGTGTCAAATTACGATTCAAATTATCACTGAAATTTATAGATAACTACTTGGCAGTCTATAAGGTATACAACATATTCCAGATTTAAATGATACCCTGTTTTAGGACAGGCAGTATAATATAACAAATGCCAGAAGCCAAAGAATCTTTGAATTAATCAAAATTTTAATGTCACAGCTTATTGTCCAAGGAAGAGTTCTAAGATGTTGGCTTTCTTCAACACCAATTATGCAGGAAATGAGAAAGAATAAAGCAAACAGATTGGAAAGAATGTTCAGCAGACCCACCAGTCGGTCTTGCTCTGATGATCTCCCTGCAAAACAGCTCTTTTTAATTCGCTTGATTGCAACATCTGTTCCCCGCCATTTTCCATGATACACAGTTCCATATGTACCAGATCCTAATTCCCGTAATTCTTCCAGATCAGCATTTTTTATAATCTGGACATCATATTCAGAAGATTCAGTTGCATGAAGAAACCAAACTTCTATGAGTACCCACAAATGACAAAATGACAGGAAGCTGGTGTTTCACAAAAGAGAGGGCATTTCAGTCATACTTTTATCAAAAGGAGCAACACAAATCCCATCTAAAACAATCAAAGACAGTATGAGAATTCACACGCATAAGTGATTTGTTGTTTCACGAGTAAGCAAACTGCACCACACATCCCTTTGTTTATCAGTGAATATAGCTCTCTCTCTATAGACTACAAACACACACATAAATATTATCAAGTCAGAAACTCGACAAGAACTTTTGTCACTGCAAAGTATTTAGCTCAGTATCCCTAAAGAAAAATTGGCCACAAGTCAAAACTGTATACTCCAAATTTAGTGGTTATAGGCGAGAGATGCAAGAACCATCTCTTCTTATTAGGCAAAAACACAGTATTAGGAATTTAGGAGGCATGAGAAAGGTTGATAATGAAATTTATTATATTTACCAGGGAGATAATCTCATCATATGTAACCATCAGATGCTAGATCTTTTTTAGAAAATAAGAAAGTAAAGAACTCTCTCTTCTTTAAAGAAATAAATAATCAGTTTTACACTTTCCAATCAACACAATTATTAATGTCCTTAATGTTCACTGACAAGGCCAAGAAATCTTGTCAAAACATGTTATATAGCATGCTGCATCGTACGCTGGAGTGACAGAGGCTTCAGTCAGCAAACATACAATTTTGCCAAACATGAAACAAAATATGCATTTGCAGTATGTTAAATGAAAACATGTCCTGATCAAGAAAAATTAAGACATTGGAAGAATACCTGCAAGCCATAGATGCTGGCTTCCATTTCAGCTATCATTGCATCACTAAATGATTCACTCTTGTCTCCCTCACTGACCCTATCATCCTACAAATATAACAAGCCGGAATTCAAGCCCACAAGTAGATACATAATTTACAAAATCAGTTCCAGAAAATTTAATCAATTCTACCTCATATTCAGAATCTGGAATGATGCTCTCCACCTCTGTTGCAGTAGGGGATATGAGATCACCAATGGGTTCATCCACAGAATATGGGGAAACTACTGATGAAAACTGGATGCCAGGAGTAATAGTGTCGGTTACATCTTCCACAATTATCACCGACTCCAACTGCTTTTTATCATTACTCATTGTTAGGGATTTTGGTTGTCTCACAGCAACATTTTCAACAACATTCGAGCTCAACTTCTCAGCATTCTCATCAGGGCAATTTACAAAGTCATCGTCAATGAGAGAGACCCCTATTTTAAATGCAGCATCTTGGATTGGGTTCTGCAACACCCTATGGTCACTGTCTTGCAACTCAGGGTCATCAAGAACTGTCGACGGGTACATCTTTGCAGAGTGTATTAGCAGGGGTTCTTGGAAACCTACATCCTTTTGACTTGCAACAAGTTGCGGATGTGCAGGTTCATGGTAGTTTGGGCCATCGGACAACCCTGAGATGAGATCTGCTAAAGAATTTTCATTACGAGAATGTCTAGTACTTGGAAATAATCCTGCAACTTCAGAATTCCTGGCCCCTGAAACATTCTGTCCTTGTTCACCATTTGCAGTCCCTGTCAAAGCACAATCCTGATCATTGGCAGTTCTTTGGCTTGTGACAAGAATATTGATAGGGGTTTTGTCATGTTGGAAGTTCTTAGGTTCCTCCATCTTGTTATCTACCAAAGGTTTCAAACTAATGGCTGCAGGAATGACAACCCCAGACACAAAACTAGATGTTGGGTTGGGATTTATATTAGGGAATCCATTCCGATACTCAACACCAGTGGCAGGTGATCTTGTCCCATAAAGGGTCTCATCTTGATGAAGGAAAGGATCCTTTTCATTGAACTTCTTTGTCAGTTCCGAAGGCAAAGAATCTTTCATTTTAGATGTCCAGTATTTGTCAGGAACATCACCATTACCTTTGGGAGCATGTTCATTCCTGCCCAAAGATTCTAAACATGGAGAAGAATTTGGCAAATCCAGTCTTCTCTGCAATCCAATTGACTCCATACCATGTAACTGATTTTGCAGCTGAGGATTGAAAGATTCGGTATTGTCATGCAGTTGGGTTGGCTTTTCTTGTGAGGCACCTGAGTTCAGCAGCAATGACAATTGAGCTTTTGGGAGGTTTAAGGGGGAAGATGGGCTCATGCCTTCTTGTGAACAGTATATAGACCTCCCTCCATTCTCTTGCAGTTTTGAATCAGAAAATGCATGTGGTATGCCATGATGACAATCAATGGAATCATTAGATCCTGACAACATAGCCTTTGGATGTTCTGGGTGTGAGATAGGCCTGTCAGGAGGAGTTAATGTTTCCTTATAGACTGGCCTCTCATGAGAAAATCCATCAAAATCACCTTCGTTTTGACCAAAAGCTAAAGCAGATGCGGCATCTTTGCTGGGATTGCGGTTGTGACTATGTCCTCCATAGTGTTGGCCAGGTTCCATAAAAGTTACTGTCCCCAGTGGATGATTTTTATAACCTGCAGCGCTGATGCTAGAGTTCTCTGGTGGTGGTTGAGAACTAACAAAAGAACTGCTGCTCTCATTACTACCCTGGCATGAGTTAACACCACGTGATTGTAAATGATCACTCTTGGAATCTCCTCGTTGATGTGTAATTGGAGAAAAAGAAGGAGATTGAACGGCAGACCTAGCCATATTCTGGGATTCACTCAAAATTTGATTAGGAAGCAAGACTTTAGAATCACTCTTAATCTCCATAGGAAATAGCGAAGTCTTGGTTCCCTGTTGACTTGCTTCAGTCAAATTCTGCCCTCCACTGTTTTTCCTAGGACTAGGATCTATCATGCCATTTACAGCAGCAACATATTGATAATCAGGGTTGCTTTGTTGTATGCTATCTGCCTCAAAGGAAGATGTATTTTCAGATTCACCTAAAGGAATCAAAAGATCCGTGGTCTCTGAGAACCCTCATGCCTTTCAAGCCCATGGTACTCCTCTATCATATTTTGAAGATCCTCATCAGATGACACAGATATAAGAGCATCAAGATCCTCACTTGGGAGCTGGTACTTGATCGTATGAGGTTGGTTGCAAAAACCAGAAGTTTTTTCCACAAGCTCTTCCCACGAGATATTCTTCCTGAAGGAAATAATCCGTGTCTCCCCCCCAACATACCTGAGTTTCCCATCGCTAGGCCTGGGCAAAATTTTTCCACCAAAGCTGCAAAGAAATTTCATCTTCCCAGATTGAGAACCATCCAACACTCCTGACCCATTAAGGTTGTTGGAATGAGGGGACTCAGACATATAAATAGGCAGGGTAGTTGGTCCAAAACCAGCCCGGTCAAAATTCAGTTCTCCAAAAGCCTTCCTTGATCCTTGTCTGCTATCAACTTCCTCCCTGTTGCATCTGCTTAACTTGTCAACACAAACGCCATTTTCAATCTCTTTGCATGACCCTTTCGCCGAGACAAAATCAGATGTATCAGATGCACACTCAGAATCCGTCCTCCTCAACCCCAGAATACCATTAAGATCCTGATAGCCCAGCTGATAATTCTGATTATAATTTAATCCAACCTTATTTTCACAATTCTCAACCGTATCAGTCACAGCAGGAACTACTCTTGCTGCAAAACGATCCTGAAGAAACTCCATGGAAAATTCCTCCCCTGTCTGTACAGAGACGTGATTGTTTACATTCTTAACCTTGTTTGGAACAACTAAGGTTGCTTCTTTCTGGATCCATTGACCTGATGGGCCAGGCACCTCATTGGTCATGGTATCAAAAAAATGCTCGGACCTGCTTAGCTGCATAAGAACGGCGACTCAGCTACCTGAGCTCCTATAACCCCCTATCCTCAAATTGGCAAATTAAGAACAGGCATACAAGTCACTCTTCATACCAGCAAGCCTCAACTCCAATACTTCTTTTCCACCGTCATCAAGAAGCTATCTTTTCTATTAAAATAACATTCTTGGCAAATCACGATCAAGTTCATAAACCCTGTACATCTTCCTCCGGTTACTGATGCAGTATTTTTCTATGATCCGATCACCAAACCGGAAACTACCAAAGTCCACCTATTTCTACAGAAAAATAATCCCTCTACCTATATGTGTTTGTTCAATTGCAGCCTATATAATCACAAATATGAAATGAATATCATTTACAGATTGGACTAGTAGAAGCTGAGACCAGCAAACAAGAACAATCGAAGTCCAATTTCTTTAGCAAATCGTTTCCTGCAGTCACAGATCCATAAAAAAATTTCTCTAAGAACCCATCATTCAAATCAAAACCAACAACATATCGTCCAAATTACCATCAACATTTTCAAAGCAGAGCTAAACATATCACACACAGCATAAAACCACAAAATCAAAAGCGAATTTCAAGTGGGCATGCTTAAAACTGAGATGGGTACCGATCAAAATGGAAAGGAAACAAAATTGCAGAAGAAAAATTCAAAATTTCAAGTACCTGATGATGGGTGGGAAGGGGGGTGCGTGTGGCTCTGTCTGTGTGTTGCAGCTGGGTTTTGGAGCTGGGAAGCTGTCATTGGTGTGAAGAGGGAAGAAGACGAATAAGGGAAAATTGGGAAAAAGAGAAGGAGAGGGGATTTGGAGATGAAAAAGGAGCGTGGCTTACGGCTACAGGTTCAATCTCGGGCGTCGGAGAGCGACATTGCCGAGAATTAAGCGGCATCGACCCACCCACGGTATTGCCTTTTTACTGTATCAATAACAAATAACAATATTATTTCATTTTATTTCATTTCATTAGTTTTTTTGTTTTAAATATTCATCTATATCCGACGTGGACCCCCAATTTAAAATCCAACTTTGAAGTTTTTTTCCAGAATAATATTAAAGATAATACCAATGATAACAAAAAATAAAACAAAACCAGTCATTAGTTATAAGTTATAACAAATATAGCTTCTTTCTATATAAAATTCCATGATTCACTCATGAATATAACAATTACCGTTATATGATAAAAATTTGCGTATATATGTAATCATGTGCGAATAAAAATACCTAAATTTAAAATTTGTCTCGTATTTACTCCGAGTTAGTTTACAAATACGAAATTAAACATTAAACGAAAACATATATTAATATAAGGTGGTTTTCGTATTTTTTAAGGGGAAAAAAAAAATGTTACATGTGGGCCCTAGCCTCTAGCTACTAAAATAACCCTTCACTAATCAAAAGGGACATTTACCTTCTTCTTCTTTTTTTGTTACAACATTTACCTTATTTTTGGTGTTTAATTTGCATTGCATTTGCATGTAGTGTGGCGCTTGTCTGCATTGGCAACAATGTATGGCAAAAATATTAACCAATTGGGGGAGGGGTGTGTATTAAATATGGTTTTAGGTTGTCAACGGAGCCTTTTGGTTGGCAAGACAGCTAATGGCTCCACCATAGCACCATGACAACATGTCAACACTCAACACCGACTTCTTCTTTTCTCAAAGTTTGCTAAGTCTGAGATTTGTGTTGACTTGACTGTTAGCCGTTAGTTGTTGTCAAACACACATAGACTCCTTCCCCTGCCATCAAGATCATTGTAGCCCACTACTTGCAGACTTAGAGTTAGAGGTACCCCATAAAGTTTGAAATATACGCCATGGATTTTGCTAGAAACAGTCCAGTGAGTGACTCATAGTCCTTGGTACAGTGTGAGCTATACATGTATCAACAATTTGAAATTATTCGATTGTCGGTAAAAGAAATTCGCTTATTCTGTAATGAATAATTGAGAATCGCTCACGCACACGTGCAAACAAACATTGCTCATATATTGATAGTGACTTTGATTTTGCTGAAGACCGACCATGTTTGAGTACACAAATGTGGCACTATATTATATATGTGCGTGTGTGTCCTTATTGACTGTGGACATACATTGTCACCCAAATATTTGCCATTACTCTCAGAGTTGGTAATTGAAAAGGTGAGTAGGCAAATGGAGTGAGTTTTGTGGCATTGAAATCCCACCACGTCAAGCGGAAGTGTTGGTAATAATAATCACTAACACAATAAATAAATAAAACTCCGTTACTTGGGTCAAAAAGTGTCATGCTCATGTGTCAACTACCACATTGAGAGTTATTGTCCTGTTCTTAGTGCAGTGAGAAAATAAAATATAGCCGTAGGGGCTACTTCAATATCGATAATTCGTTATTTCAACGATATAATAAATGTAGAATGTGACAAATATTAGAATAAATTAATAAATACGAAGTACGTGGGATGAGAGCGACAAATTTCTTTGAATGTAACCCTCGTGTTGTCACGTATAAATAAAATACAAGTAATAATACGTGTTAGTATTATGGTCACATCGAAAATTTATTAATAATAGTGAATTGCCCTGAAGAAAAGGGCGAATGTCTAATTAGCATATTTCCTAATATTACGGATAATGGACTGGGCTACCATATGCCTCGATTGGGCCATCAGCCCAATAAATTAGTTAAGTCTAGTTACTTGGCCCAATAAATTAGCCATATATTGCTACTCTTGGACCTTGCGTACATGTAGAGTTGGGTTTGAAATCAAGACCTGGTCTCCAAATCATCAACATGGCTGGTACATTTTCACTTGGAATTATAATACGTACTACTCAAAAGAAAATTATTTCCTTAGAACCGAACCTACTAGCATGCCAAATTTAACATCAATTGTTTTTTACTAAATAAGCGATAGTATTTTATTAAACGAATTAAAAAGTACATAGGGAGCCATCTCGATTAGCGATGGTATTTAACATCAATTTTTAAAACAAAATTACAAGACAACAGTAAATTAACGCAAAATTGGTTTCCAAAATCGGGACGTGAAAATTCTTTTGAGCAAGTCTCGTCAACATTTTTCGTACCACGCCACGGTAGTAAAATGAAAGCGTGAAAATTGTGTTTCTTGCTTGTCCTCGGAAAAAAACGAACATCTAAACAGCGTGGCTGGGAAAAAATACAGGTCACGCGAACAGTTTGCATACGTGTCGCGTACTCAACGAAGCGCACAACACAATCACCCCCTTACAGAGAATTAAGCACTTCCACCCACTTTTTTCGAACGTGCTTTTCTCTGTCTTTCCTTTCGCTTCCTCAGGCTCGGCCTTGTGTTCCGGAGGAGGACATGAGAGCATAAGATTCTCGCTCTCGGGAATCTTGGAAGACTTTCTCGGAATCCAAACACGCTCTACGCCACTCTCTACTCAGGTTTAAGCCTTCTTCTGTGAGGTTCGCCGGATCTGGATCACAACGAGCCACGCCACCCGGACTGCTCGCCGGATTCGGTGGCAGTCATGGCGGAGCCGACGGACAATAGACGGAGCTCTTCGGGGATTTCCGGAGAGGGTCCGGTGAGAATCGAGGAAGAAACTGGAGGCGGAAGTAGCGGGAATAGTGTAGAATTGGAGAGTACAGCGGCCAGAGGCCACGGTGGCAGTAGCTCTACAGGTTTGTAGGTTTCGCTCCAAATTTAGATTCTGTTTGGTTTCTGAGAAAATACCGGAAAATTTATTAGAACTTGCGCACTTACTTTAGTGCGGAGCAAAGTTGAAGTTTATGTTTTTATTGCGTTCTAAACAAGCAATACTATAATTCCGGAGATTTGGTGTCCAATTTACAAATGCATCATCTGATTTCTTTTTTACTCTCTTCTCAACTTAGGAATTTCTAGCGAGAGTTTGTCTAAAGGGAACACATTACCGGCGGAGATATCATCGAAGACTGAAAAAGTAGAATCAAATTCAGGTCCGCCTAAGCTGGAAAGATCAAAAACTGACAACACCAGACATCAAAATATATTGCCCAAAGACGCGGCAAGGATTTTTAACGACAAAATTTCGGTACACCAGAAGGTATGAGTTCTTATCAGAGATGATAGTTTTATTTTGGTTCCTTGTATCATTTGAAAATTGCAGGCTTAAGCTTGTTCCAGTGTTAGTCACAATTGATGTGTAGAATGAGGCAAATGCGATTACAATGCGTTGTTTGTTGTGCAGCTTAAGCTATTAAACAGAATAGCTACCGTGAAAGATGATGGGACCGTAGAATTTGAAGTTCCAGGAAATGTTGAACCTCAGTCTCTTGGTGGTGGGTACAAAGCTGCTCCTACTGAAGCTGCCGATGATGAACCTCTTGATGAAGCAAATCTTGAATACATACCGCCAATGCAAATAGTAATGCTTATTGTCGGAACGCGTGGAGATGTGCAGCCATTTATTGCAATTGGCAAACGTTTGCAGGTCACTGGACTTTTTATAAATGTCTTTTCATTTCTGAGACTAATTGTCTAAAGTGGTGACCATTATTATAACATGATTAGCTTTTATAAACTCTTATGATCTTAGTAAAAATAATTTGTGACTAAAGAGTTTGATTTTTGTTTTGGAAAGTTATTGCTATTCAGGATGGTCATGTGCACAAATTCAAACTTGTTTATGAAATAATTTTTGTGCAGGACTATGGCCATCGTGTAAGACTAGCTACTCATTCAAATTTCAAAGAGTTTGTCTTGACTGCTGGTCTGGAGTTTTACCCTTTAGGCGGCGATCCAAAAGTCCTTGCTGGTTGTATGTACCGAAATGCCCTATGTGTTGATTCGTTGGGTGATTTTGAGCAATCTATGTTTAGTCTTTTAGTATATATTGACGTATATTGATTGTCTTGTATGAGTAAACTTGAAATATTTGTCAAAGCTGAATATGAATTCCATTTATAATTTCTGTGTAACTGGTTTACTTCTATGTTTCTTGAGCAGATATGGTTAAAAATAAAGGCTTCCTGCCATCAGGGCCTTCTGAGATTCCTATTCAGCGTAATCAAATAAAGGAAATTATATACTCCTTACTTCCAGCTTGCAAAGAGCCTGATATGGATTCTGGCATCCCTTTTAAAGCTGATGCAATCATTGCAAATCCCCCAGCATATGGTTAGCTCTCGACACTTACATAATTTAAGTAAGCATTTAAATTCTTTTGGTGATATAAATTAGATTTTTTGGTGACAATATTTGTCTCTGCATTTGGGCAATGGTGGGTGGGATCTTTGGTTGTAAATGTTATTTCCAGTTTTGTAACTCTATTAAAACAATGTTCCTTTCCCCCCTTTAAAGAGTTTGTGGATTCTGAAGTGATTGCACCGTCATCCCCTAATATACATGTGCATGTTATTGTTATATTGAAAGTTATAGTTATATTCAGTTATTCAAAAAGAGTACTTCGATTGCTTTGTTTACCACTAACCTCACAAATGTTATTTAGGGCATACTCATGTGGCGGAGGCACTAAAAATACCTCTTCATATATTTTTTACGATGCCATGGACGTAAGTCTCGTTTGGGTAATGGAATCTTACTGGGTTGTATAGCTTGTCAATGTTTTGTCATTGTTTTCATTCTTTAAAGTTTAAATATGCATTGTGTATGTTTTACCTTTTCCTACCAGGCCAACTAGTGAATTTCCACATCCTCTGTCCCGCGTCAAGCAATCAACTGGATATAGGGTGAGTCGTGTGAATCTCAACCTTTCTTTGTTCTTTTTAAATGTTTTTGAAAATTATATCCGGTTTCCACTTTCATATTTATAATGAGTTCTAACTTTTGGCGTACACAAATTTTCAGCTTTCGTACCAAATTGTTGACTCCTTAATTTGGCTTGGTATACGAGACATGATTAATGATGTTCGGAAGAAAAAATTGAAACTGAGACCTGTCACATATTTAAGTGGTTCACAAGGCTCTGATTCTGATGTGCCACATGGATATATATGGAGTCCCCATCTTGTTCCTAAACCAAAAGGTACTTTAGTTCTATTTTATTTGCATGTTGTTCTTCTTCCATTTATAGTCATTTGGAGTTCCTCAGGTTAATAAGGTAGGGTTGTTTTGGAAACTTGTTAGGTTCAAAAAAACTGTGGCTGTAGGCTGAGTGACAATAATACACACAGTGTTGTCTAGGATAGTGTATCAGACCCCTCCATCTACAGGGCATATCTCTTTTCCTTCTTAACATGTTTTTTTAAAATCACCCCTTCAAAGCAAATAATTGATTTAAATGTGTTTGTTTTCATGATATATACTTATATCTGTTCTCCTCAGTTTTCATTCGGTTTTTTTGTTTAATTGACTAAGTAGAAAACTGTGGCTTAAGAAGGCATGAATCTTGGGAAGTATGCCAATGTCTGTCGGTCTTTTCTACTTAATAATACTTGGTTTGCAGATTGGGGACCTAAGGTTGATGTGGTGGGATTTTGCTTCCTTGATCTTGCATCAAATTATGAACCTCCAGAACTACTTGTGAAGTGGCTTGAAGCTGGTGACAAGCCTATATATATTGGTTTTGGTAGCCTGGTGAGTTTTTTTTATAAATCTTTTTAATCATTACTTGTTAATATACAATATATATATTGAAGCATACTTGAGAAGCCTTGAGACTTGCTTCCAATCTTGAGGATGGACTCGATAATTATCCATCTATGATAGAATAATTGACTTTCTAAGGACACCATTAATTCACTTTAAAACTGAGATCTTCTATGAGGAGAAATGCAATGCCATTTTCAATCAATTTGATTCTATGATTATATTGTATATAACATGAAATGATCTTCGAAAAACCTTTAGATACACAATTGGGATTGCTATTTGTGGTTAGTTTACTGTGAGCTAAAAGATTAGATCTGGTTAGTAGACAACAGCAAATTATTTACCATCTCGGGGATCAAGAAAACTAGTATTTTTCAGTAGACATTCTTTTACATTCTTTTTCAGTCACATATACACTTATGCAGATCACATGCATGGGCACGTGTACACACAAGCGCGCACACACACACAATCGCACATTCGTATATATGAATGCACATACCTACATTCATGCATACAAATGTAGCTTTCTGTGACCAGAATTTACTGCCTTGCGTCAGCCTGTTCAAGAGCCAGAAAAAATGACCCAAATAATTGTGGAAGCATTGGAAAAGACAGGGCAAAGGGGCATCATCAACAAAGGCTGGGGTGGCCTTGGAAACTGTAAGTTTTTAGTTCCCACAAGCTTAGTATGATTTCATGGTTATTACGAGCGTGGTGCTATCCTACTTTTTCCCTTTTCCATTTTATTGCCTATCTAGCTGACTTCTGGAATGCACTAATTTATTTCACTTGATTTGGTTTCTTCCCAGTGGCTGAACCAAAGGACTTCATATACTTATTGGACAACTGCCCTCATGACTGGCTGTTTTTACAATGCAAGGCTGTGGTGAGCTGAATACCTTAGTTTTGTAGTTTTCATTCTGTAGTTTTAAACTGAAGAAAAGGGAAAATAGAAAAAAGGAACATCACCAATGCGTTCCATCTTTTATTCTTAGTATGATTTTGAGATCTATAGGAGAACATTGTGCACTGGGCAAGAGGATGTGAAATTATTAGGATGGTGGCTTTGTAACGTTTAAAATTTTATTCTACAATCTCTTAATATTTCCAGGCTTCAACTCTTTGTTTTTCGACATGCTTTAAAGTAGTTTTAGATCTTAGACAGTTCTTATGGTTTGATTTGGCTTCAGGTGCATCACGGAGGTGCTGGAACAACAGCTGCTGGTCTAAAAGCTGCAGTAATCGTTTTATAACCTAATTTATTGTTGAGTGCTTTCAGCTCATTTGATTTAGTGTTTCCCTAAATGTACATTGTTTTTCTATCCTAGTGTCCAACAACGATTGTTCCTTTCTTCGGAGACCAACCTTTCTGGGGAGAGCGAGTACATGCCAGAGGAGTGGGCCCTGCACCCATTGCTGTTGATGAGTTCTCACTTCCCAAGTTGGTTGATGCAATAAGGTTCATGCTTGATCCGAAGGTAACTTTTTCTCTCTTTCCTGAGAAAAGTTGGATTTACGAACTGACTGCATACATTGAACATCTAGATTCTAAAATGAGTGACAAGATTTGATGTGCAAGTTTGTAAATCTAGAATTTGTTGCCAGATGCATCCCAAAAGTTTTCAATCCAGCTGGATTAAGATATACGAATTGTTTTTTTTTTTTTTTTTTTTTTTAAAACACCATTATCAATGTTTCTATTTTAGAAGTTCCAGCATTTAAGAACATCCAGAACATCAGTACTTATGAAAGTACAAGCAAGCCTTACCTTTTTTTAGTTTGGCTCTAATAAGAAATCGTCATGAAATACTAAGAAGGTTTATTATCATGGTGGATACTGGGATGAGAAAAGCACCTAATGAACTTACCCAAATATTATCCCAGGTGAAGGAGCGTGCTGTTGAACTTGCCAAGGATATGGAGAATGAGGATGGCGTAACAGGTGCAGTGAAGGCCTTCTTGAAGCATCTTCCCTGCAGAAAGCCGGACTCCGAGCCAGAACCAGGGCCATCGAGCCTTTTCTCTGTAAGCAGATGTTTCGGTTGTTCCTGAAAGTCTTTCTATGGCATTTTTGACTTGCCATTCAATCTGTTTATCACAGCATAGCATGAATAGATGTCCTGACTCTGCTTACAAAGAAAAAGAAAATTCAGGCCCCTACTCATAGTCTTGTTCATAATTCTCGACCCCACTTGAAAATTTGTAATTATTTATATTGTTCACTTTCAGCATTTATTTAGAGAAAGCCATGATTGTTCTAATTTCTCCCCGGATATTAGTTGTACAGTTTTTAATGCTGTTGCTTCCACACTAATTTGCAAATGAAAAACTCCCTTTTTTTCCTAAAGAAATATTCACTTGGGGCCAAAGCACAAAGAGGTTGTCTGAATGCTGTCACAAGCAGTTCTGGGCTATAAAATGATTAATTTTTATATATAATTATATTATGAAATGGTTGTTTGGCATTCAAATTCTGTTCTGTGGTTCCGAGTTTGGACAAGAAAACAAAACAATGGTTTGATTCTCACAAGCCAGAAGATAACGTGGCATGGAACTCTGACGCAGTGCTGTCTATTTTCAACTACTGGTTGGTGACACGTGTAACAGAGACGTGCTGATTGGCAAGTATTGGATTCTCTTATTGGGCAAGTGACAGTGTGATGTGGGATTGCAGCGGAGGATTGCATGCAAATTAAAATGGGATTTAATGAAAATGACCATTTACAACATGGGATTGGCGGTGGAGAATAGAGAGAGGAAACTAGTGGCCGTTAGCCCCATCACCATTTATAGAAAAAAGCAGAGGATTAATTTAGTAGAAGAAGCCATTTCCCCATCTGCATGCAGAGAGAGAGAGAGTCTCAGAACAAGTGGGGGACTGAGTTTAGCTTTTAAGTCACCCAATCGTTCCATATTGGCCTTTGGAGATCACAAACCTGATCATGTAAGCTTAGCTACTCTGGGACACTTCTGTGACTTCTTCTTCATTCCTCTCCCCCCCCCCCCCCCCCCCCCCCCCCCCCTCTCTCTCTCTCTCTCTCTCTAATTAATTAGCCACTTGACTTTCATTAATCTTGGGTTTTCTTAAAATTGTCAACTTGGCTAATTACCAAAAACAGAGTTGGTGGAGATAAGAAACCGCTCCACTCAAGAGTTGCAGGTTGTATCACACTGGTTTTGATTGGGGCAGGGCAGCAGTGTCTTTTTCATAAATGTAGGGGACCTGATTAGCCAAAACCTTAATTGGGGAAAGTAAATTCAATTCAATTCAATCCAAGTTGCCTTTGCATGCTGAGGGTCAATTGAGTGATTGGTTAATTACAAGAGATGATTAATTTTGGAGTTGGGAAATGGAATCTTCTTTCTCTCTCTCTCTCTCTCTCTCTCTCTGTTATCTCATCTGTTCCCAAGCCCATACACCCTTCTGTTTCAAGCACTCTATTTAATAATTATACTGACTCTTCACATTTTCCAACTCTTTGAGAGAAGTTAGCTTCTGAACTCCCTTATTTTCACTCTCTGTCACTTTCTTCTTAACCCAACTCAACTATTTCTTCCACACTTTTTCAAGGTTAGTTCCTCAACACTATTTGGTTTTCTCAATTGGCTTTATGTTCTTTTCCATTTCTCTCACAACATCAGTTTTTAATTTTTGTTTGCAGCCATGGAAGACGAGGATCAGAACGGCACAACCCATGTTGATCAAGAAAGCAATGAAGAAGACAGAGACACAACAACCACCTCAAGAGTTTTTCCATGTCTCTTCTGTTCAAGAAAGTTTTACAGTTCTCAGGCCTTGGGAGGCCACCAAAACGCTCACAAAAAGGAAAGAACAGCGGCAAGAAAGGCCAAACGAGCTTCTGAATATGCATCCTCAATGAACTTCCCAATACTTTCACACACTACCCAACCGCCAATGGTTTTTGCTCCAAACCATCATCACCATCTAGGCCTCTTGCATCCTTCAATGTATATAACTGCTCATGCAGCCAACCTCAGATACTTTCCCAGCCCTCAGCAATTCTCATCCGACGGTTTCGGATCCAACGGTGGAGCCAAGTTTGAGAATTTAGCGTACTATGGTGGAAATTGCTCATCAACCAATAACATTAATGGTTATAAGTATGAGGAGGATGAGCAGAGTTTCTTGAATTGGCAAAGGAGCATAAGGTACAATGGCTTCAGTGGAGGAGGAGGAGGTTCCTCTCACCATTCTTCAGTGAAAAATGGCAATCACAGTCCTGGGATTGGTGATACGGGTAAAGAGCAAAAACTTGATCTTTCTCTCCATTTGTAGAAAATAGAGATGGTGTGGAATTGGATTATGGATATAGCAGCAGCTGCATAGAGATCAAGTTGCAATTTTTGGTCCCAATAATAATCATCTCTTTTAGCTTTACTTAGTCATTTTTTAGGTCTTGTACTCGCCAATTATAATGGGATTTTACCATCTGGCCAATTATTTTGATGTATTGCATGGCAAAGACTAGGCATAGTAGGTCATTGTTCAAGAATATCTTCATTTTAATTACAAATGTTGAACTCTACCCAAGAATCTCTTCTCTTCAGTTGATCAAAAAGAAAAGAAACCCTGCCCCAACTCATATTTGGGTTAGAAACCCGGCTCTTAGTTCACAATGTTTTGGTTAGAACAATATCTAATTCTAACCCAAATGTGACTTTAATCCCAAACCCCAACTCATATTTGGGTTTGAATTGAATCTAACTTGAAACCGATATATGGATTTGAATATAACTTTTAGTTGCATTGGAGCAGCCAAACAACAACAAAATTTCTTAGAGCATCTTCAAGGCTGCAGGCAAATGAAGTAGGCAGAAGTGTACTATATAGACTGATGTGGCATGTTGCCTCTTGGAAAAACACTACTCATTTACCTAACAATTTACCTCTTTTCTTAGAGTATGAAAATGCTGATGTGGCAAGGCAAATCAGGTTTGTCTACTCTTTTGCATCTGCCCTTGGAGATACTCTTGGGCGCCATGGTTTTGAGCCCAAAATATAAGAATTCGGATATTGCATTGGTTATGGGCTCATAGAGCAAAGCTTAGATCAAAGAAAAAAGCCCAACTCATACGACTGAGGCCATGAAACTTAGAGCGGAGGAGAAAGCTCAATGGCCTATATAACAAACGTTGGGCCAGCATAAAACAACAGATCCATCCACACGTACATATGAGTGTAAAAACGACATGCCGTGTAGGTGCCTTGCATGGAAAGCATTGTTTTAGGCATCATAAAGAATCCTAACGGAGAAAATGAATGGCCAACCCAAGAGAGTCTGCCCACAAACCGACTTTAAGAATAGTGAAAGACTCGAAATTGTTGGGTTTGCTTTTGCCAGCGGGAAAATAAACACAGGTCAGCACAACAATGAAGTAACATGGGTTGTGTAATATGGTGGGTACAAATAAAGGTATCAGAAAAAAAAGAAAGAGAAATTGAACTTGAAGATCTAACCGTCCATTTATAGGCGGAAATCATGGAGCAAACATTAGGGAAAGAAGTACAATATATCACTCCTTTAATTGGTTGAATATGTTTTTATTATTATTATTTATTTTGGCTTTTAGCACATAAAATATAAGAATATTCCAATATTGTTTATTATAAAAAGACTATGATTATAATCCCCGATAATTAAATTAACCAAGTAATCCTAGGTTCTGATTGGCCACATTTTGATTAAGCAAATGCATATGGCTAAGTAATATATTAATGTGCCTAACCCATGTGAAAATAATAAGATAGGCAGATTCCTTCGCTTCTGATCACATGCCTATAACCTGCAAGCCTACGTGCCGAGGAGAATGTATTTGACTTATCTTGGACACATCCAAATACTCAAAACGCAATAGCTTATACCACCTCTCATATCTCATTATCATCCTTCAATATTAATCCAAAAAAATATTGTACCAAACTAAATAATATATGCCAAAAAGTATTCTACCATACTATATATCATTGACTTTATCAACAATTAACATACATACATGCATAATATTTTTATGTGTGTGTGTTTTAGTGGGTTGCACAACTTATTTTGGGGACGACTTTACATGCATGCACTAAAACATCAAAATTATTGGATCAATATGAAATAATTTTGCAAATGTATGCGGATTACGTTAGTTGGCCGAGATAGTGTGCTTGTCTCTTGCACCGGAGTTTGATTCTCTTTTTCATACAGTAGAGTTGTTTAGAATATCCTCCTTGTCAAAAAAAAAATTATCAATATGAGATAGAAATTTGCCATAATTTTTGCTTGTTATCGTGCAATTAAGAGGTTGACGACTACTCAAGGAAATAGAAAGACATAGATAGAGGCATATATGTATTAGGCTAAATATTATTCTACACAAACATGGGTTTACATAGATGCTTACCTCACGTCTGACGAAAAAAGCGGTTGAGTTAGGTACGTTTGATCATGTTTAATCAGACTTCTATTTCAATCACCACCCTCAAATTCAGCTTATTTATTCTTGAATAGTTCATTAGATTATCATCTAGGTACGTTTGTCATTCCATTATTCTACGTGTTTGTTGGTTTGTAATTAAGGGAAAATAAAGGAGTTAAATGTTGTAACTAACACAATGATGAGCTTTTGATTTTGATTGATATCGCAGGATCTGGAGCCAATCTATCCAAATCTTGTAAGAACTGCCAAAGTTCAAAATGAGTGGATAAGATTGAAAGAATGCACATGTATGTGATTAATGGAACGACAAATTTAGACACCTTACTCTTATGGGCTTATGGGTTGCGCAGTGGATTTCGATGTCCAATCAAGTGGGATTTTCCCTGTTACTTTACAATGGCAAATTTTTTGGTACGGCAAGTGAATTATATCACTCGTTTGGTCACACATAAATAAGAGGATTCATTTGTATTTAGATCTCACATAAAGTTACATTGATCTCATCCTAATGCAGAGAGTCATGCTTATTTATGTGTATAGTTGGACGAATAACATGATTCAATCGATTGACCAAAGAAAGTCTCCCTTAATAATTTCACCACTATTAAAAGTTAAAAAAGGCTCAAATGTACAAATAAAATAATGGAAAACCATTTAATGGCATGGGAACATATGATCCTTCCTTGAAAATGGTAATTAGGGAAACTCTGTAAATTGCCACAATAATAATGCCAATATTAATAAATAAATAAATAATAAAAAAGCGACAATGCCAACGTTGCCAAGGTGGAAAAATTTTGAGAATATAAATCTATTAAAATCAGGGAAAGCCCATTAATTGGATTTGGGATTTGAGTACGGACGCTTACCGAAAGAACCGGTAACCTAGCAGATCGCAAAACTTTGATGCCGTACTCATTGGAATTTGGGAGGACACCTGTCAATTTCGTACTCTTTTATATTCGAGCCAGTTCATGCACTTACTGGACATTCAGTTACTCCCACGTGGCTGCGTGGCTCAAAAACCCCGCGAGTATATTCCATTAGAACTCGCTGCGAGTACGCATGCGAACAAAGTAAAAAACAGCAGGTTCAGTAAAAAAAAACAACAGAAATAAATGAGCAAACGTGGGCTTTTGCGGTTGGCGGAGGCGTGAAGGGAGAGGGTGCGGCACGTGATTGACCGACACACACACCTTCGACACGTGGCGGACTTAAAGAGAGATGGGAGGGAGAGTCTGTTAGCGACGGTTAAGGTGGTGGTAAAGGTTGTTAAATATTGCTAAATAAACACCAACTTTTGATATAAAAAGAAAAAATTAAATTATCTGATCAAATATTAACTTAACCAGGGTTTTAAGTGAGTTTAGCGAAGTAATTAGGCCAACCCATTTCACTATATAAAGACGGCGCCATGACAACTTTTCTTTGACTCCATTTTCCTTCTTCCTCCATATTTTCCTCTCTGCAATTTTCAGAAACAGAGTGAGAGAGAGACATTGTTTCTCTGTGAGATATATACATAGATACAGAAAGAGAATGAGAGCTAGGTCTTCAGCGACAATGGGGGTCTCTCTGAACTTGTTTTCTTTACTTTCAACAATGGTGCTTCTTCTAGCTCTGTTTGTGAGCGCAGAGAATGAAAAGCTTGTAAATTCAAGGTATATTTATCTAAATTCAGCTGCATTTTAATTGGGTTGGCTCAATTTGGAGTCTTTGAATTTTGAGTGCTCATTGCATTATAATTTGTTTCTGATAGGTTTGTCGGAACAGAGGAGTTACAGAGCTCCAAGAATCATCAATGGCAGACTGGTCAGTCTGGTTCAGTACTATTTTATTTTTTTTTTTTTTTTTTTTTTTTTTTTTTTTTTTTCAGTTTCAGCTTCAGTGTCAGATCTTCAGGTGTAGTTTACTTCCGATCTGGACAGTCCAAATGGCATAAAGGGTACAACGTTAAGCCATTGGGATTGGATCTGAAGAATCTAGGCCGTTTATTTGGTTATCACAGCTTTCCCTGTTCTTGCTCTGCTCAAACTCTGAGCCTTCAACTTGACCTTGCTCTGACCTCTTATGATTTTTATTTTTTCACGTACGAAAGTACCCTTTTAATCTGAATGCTTGAAGTAATTAAATTAATTTATAGTTAATCATCTCTCTTTTCCCATAATCAATTCTCTCTCCACGCTTATCGGGCGGTGCCTGTCTCTTTGTGCTTTTTTTATTAGGTGGTTCACGTTAGTAACTTTTACTAACTCTTTCTTAATTATAAAAAAACAAGAAGCAAACTTGTGTACGTGGATTGTACCTCAAAGGATTAGGAGTAATTATTTATGCACTCGAGGACTTGTGTTTGAATTCTCTTTCTCGATATCGCTTGTATTAAAAAAAAAATCGAATCACGAAAATTAACTTGGTGGAAATAATTATCTGTTTACAGGTCTGATGAGGCTTTGAATGAGCATGCAGTGGATAATCCAGATGAAATTGCCTCTATGGTTGACATGTAAGTCTCTGTTTTTTGTGATTTGCATGCTACCCAAAAAAGTGTTTTATGATTTTATGGGGTCACAGAAAAGAAGTGTCACATGCGATTTGTGCATAATTAATTACATTAATTAATAAACCCCACTTGTTTTTTTTACATGTCCTTTCCGCATGCCAATTTCTCCTCCTCTGCATGTAGATTAAAATTCCCAGTCAAATAGTGAAAATCAATTTTACCGCGCAAAAACTCCAGTCAAAATGGTCAACACTTCAGAGGGAAGCCACCCGGTTAGGTTAGATTTGGTCTTCTGCAATCTGTTCCTGTTCCTGCACATTAGGGTTTAGCATCCAAAAAGAACTGCCAAGGACCACTTTTTTGTAATTTTAACCCGCCACTCTGTCATGGTCAAAAAGTACTTGATTGAGTATCCAAAACGACATCGTTTTGAGGCATATAAAATATTCTCCAAAACAATATCATGTTGAGTTTCTGCTCTTTCTGGTGATACTAATTCTGTGTCATTATATTCTATAATGACTAATCCTAGTCTATTACTTTTATATAATATTAATAGCATATTATTATGATACTATAATGGGAATTTGGCTTTTAACTTTTTTGTTAATCGATTGGGTGAACTTGTGCTTTTGGATTCTGGGGAATCAACCACCACGTTGGCATGTTCTTGCTGCACCATGCAGCAATCTCTCTTTCTCTCCCACATGCCCATGTCCCCAGATCCGTCCCTCACGCTTTTGCATTATTATTTTCTTGTCTTTTTTTTTCTTTCCCATTCCTTATCCAAATCTCATTCCATGCACATTTAGCTTTATGTGCCAATACAATTGTTTGTGCACCTTCGGCTTGTTTTCCCATATTTCACATAACCCTAATTAATTGCCCTCTAAAGCCCCCACCTCTCCATGTGTACCCATCCATTTTCTTCACTGCAGCGATTTTCGACACTCTTGATATAATTACTACACTTAGATTGCCAAAATCGTTATTCTGTAGAAAACTCTATATATGTACTTATCTATTTTATTCAGGACAACGATTTCGACACTCTATTTAATTTAGGATGCCGAAATTGGAAAACTGCTGTGTCGGTATCGATTTTAAAACTACAAACCTTTCCATATGCCAATCATGGGAACCAAACTTGCATAATTGACATGTCCGAATCCAATGTTTTTATATATATGATGAATACAATGCACTCAAGAGTCAAAACCTATCATGATTTCACCCATCTCCTATGATTATTTTGTCTGGTCTATACAAAAAAAAAAAAAGCAGTGTGAAAAACTGTTCATTTCACTATTTTTCTGTGCTTACTGTTCCATTCACTTATATACGTAGATCATAATTTAACTTTCATGCAAATCCCACACAATTAGTGGGGTAGGCTAACATAAATTTTGTTTCCCATCACCAGCCTGGCAAAGAGGCAAGCCCCAAAAACCACAGATCACAGATCACAGATCTGGTTTTGTTCTGCAAGACTTTTTTTTCTCAGCAGAATTTTGCTTCAATTTTTTTAACTGATCCAGCAGCTGCCCAACTGACAGAAACTACGTCGTTCTATGGGTCCTCCATGACCTCATTAAATGTCTAATTTTTTCTTAAAAAATAAAATTACCTTCACCGACACACAAGCCTACACCTCACCATTTATTACTTGTGTCACTAAATTTAGGAAAATAAATAAATAAAAATAGGAAGAAAAAAAAACCCCAAATTCCGTATGGACCGTAACCCTCTATCCGTATGTTTTATTTAATTGGCAATATTTTATGTCCCTACCATTTATTCACATGGCCCCTAACACGTGTGTGACAATATATTATTTGGTTCACATGGTTTTTCTCACCCGAACATGTACACTATAATTGCAATGCATAATAATTACAAAAAGTTTGATTAATAATGGGATTATTTTGTTATTTTTTACTATTTTCAGGAGCATTCGGAATAGCACGGAGCGGAGAAATTTGGGATTTTTTTCATGCGCAACGGGGAACCCCGTTGATGATTGTTGGAGATGTGACCCCCATTGGCAACTCCACCGCAAGCGCCTAGCCAACTGCGGCATTGGGTTTGGGCGCAATGCCGTGGGCGGCCGCGACGGCAAGTACTACGTCGTGAACAACCCTGGCGATGACGACCCAATCAACCCTAGGCCCGGAACCCTCCGCCACGCGGTCATCCAAGACCAGCCGTTGTGGATTGTGTTCAAGCGTGACATGGTGATCACACTAAAGCAAGAGCTCATAATGAACAGCTTCAAGACCATTGATGGGCGTGGGGTCAATGTCCACATTGCATATGGAGCGTGCATCACCGTTCAATTCATAACCAACGTCATCATCCACGGGCTGCACATCCATGATTGCAAGCCCACAGGAAATGCCATGGTCCGGAGCTCACCGAGTCATTATGGATGGAGGACAATTGCTGACGGGGATGGGATTTCCATTTTTGGGTCCAGCCACATTTGGATAGATCATAATTCTCTTTCCAATTGTGCTGATGGGCTCATTGATGCTATAATGGGCTCAACTGCAATTACCATCTCCAACAATTACTTTACCCACCACAATGAGGTGCACCCATTTACTTAATTCACCCTAATTTCTCAAGGTAATTAGTAGCTTATTAGAGACTAATTAACTTTTTAATGTCGGTAATTTGGAACAGGTTATGTTATTGGGTCACAGTGACTCTTACACAAGGGACAAGCTAATGCAAGTGACCATTGCCTACAATCATTTTGGTGAGGGGCTAATTCAAAGGATGCCAAGGTAAATATTTTTGAAGTAATATATATATATTTTTAAACTCTTTTTTTCTTCTTGGTTTTTATTTTTATTGTTTTTCTAATTAATTTTGCAGGTGTAGGCACGGGTATTTCCATGTGGTGAACAATGACTACACACATTGGGAAATGTATGCCATTGGTGGAAGTGCTGAACCCACCATTAATAGCCAGGGCAACAGATATCTGGCTCCCAACAATGCCTTTGCCAAGGAGGTATAATTTTCAATAAAATAAAATAAACTAAGGAAGCTCATTTTCATATTTTTGAATACAAAATATAGTCGAAATTACAAGAAGAGGGGGTTTCGAACATAAGACCACTGATATGCAAGTTTTTATTGGACTAAACCCCGTTGGCCAAGCTAATTTTCATATTGATGAGGATGATGAGGTTGGAATTTGACAATATTTGCAATTTAATTGCTATTTTCAGGTGACACATAGAGTTGAAACAAATAACAACTGGAAGCACTGGAACTGGAGATCAGAAGGAGACCTACTGCTCAATGGAGCCTATTTCATTGCATCAGGAGCTGGAGCTGCAGGCAGCTATGCCAGGGCCTCAAGCTTAGGGGCCAAGTCATCTTCCATGGTTGGCACCATCACAGCTGGTGCTGGTGTTCTTAATTGCAGGAGGGGTTACCAATGTTAATTATCAATCCCATGGAAAAGAAACAGAAAAAAAAAGAAGGAAGAAAAGAAATTATTACTCATTCTTTCTTCCTTTAATTATTGGTGAGTTTGCAGCCATTATGTTTACATCCCTTCCCCACCCTATTTGTCCCCAATCCAATATTTGAAAAAGTGTACATTTTTTCTTCTTCTCTATTCTAGTGATCACATTTCTACCTTTTTGTACTCTGTTTTCTTTGGTCCATATAAATGAACTTTAGTCAATTAATGTTTGACGCACTCGAGTAGTTACTCTTGCACTCGAGGTTCTATGTTCGAACCTCCCAACCCAATATTGCTTCTATAAAATGTTGGTGCTTTGTGTTTCCCTTGATTGCAACAGAAACTTTATCAATGCATAATTCGCGTAGCCATGATGACAAGGCCACATTGTTTGCATGCGACCTAAAAAACATCAGCACATTTGATCCAACTAGTTTGTTTCAGATTTGCATGCAAAACCTAATGAAGCTGTCACCTCTTGGTTCTTGTCATGTGGTTAGGCAGGAAAACAAAAACAAAAACAAAATAAAACCCAATAATCTGATAAGCTAAAATGATAATAAAACATGAAAAATATAAAATACGTAGCTTAGACCTTCTTGATTCTTACAAAGATGATTCTGTGTGTTATGTCTTAAGAGATTGTTTTATAGTGAAACATTTATCTTCTGCATCAAAATTGCAGCATAAACATAAATATATTGAGATTTCATAAATTCCAGCACACTGCTTGAGAAGGAGACTAAGAGAAAGCATTGTCATAAAATACATTTAGACCATGAATTGATTTTCATCCTAGAAATATGACCACCATAGAAAGAAACACTATCACCACCATCAACTACAATGCTCTACTGAATGAGAGATAGACAAGATTATCAATTAAAGTCATAATTTTAACATTTGGGAAATGGAAGCTCAAAATGGGGTGCCAATCTCACTCCTCGTCTCTGTGGGGCTGTACAAAGTGGATCTATTCCTTGGTCTGTTCTCCTCCAACTGCTTCACAACTTCATCCATGGAGGGTCTAACCGAAGCAACCGGAGCACAGCAACCCATTGCAAGTTTCAGTGCCTGAACCAAACCTTCTTCCATGGGACTCCTTACCCCCTTCAACACCTCCACATCGAAAACTTCCAATGTTGTATCCTCCAAAACCGCGACTTTCACCATCGAAGGCAAATCCACAAACTCACCACTCCTCCCAGTTTTACCAGGCTTCTTGCCTATTAAAACCTCCAGTAGCAAAATTCCAAATGCATAAACATCTGTCCTGGAATTACATTTCTTCATCTTTTGAAGTTCAGGTGCCTTGTAACCATCATTCTTTGCGACGGTCACCATTTCATCAGCTACGGAAGGGATCATAAGCTTGTCAAGCCCAAACTCAGTGAGCCTAGCTACAGAAAACTCATCCACAAACACATTCTTAGATCTTACAGTCCCATGAGTAATAGGCGTTTCAAGACCAGTATGAAGATAAGCTAGTCCTCTAGCTATACCCAATGCAATCTTGTGACGCCGAGCCCAGTTCAGCACAGGTTTGCCTGCTCTGGTTTCTGCATCCAACCAAAACAAATGAAAAGTTAGTTAAATGAATCTGCAGTGAGTGTCCACAAGTAACCAAATAGTAGAAAATAACCTGTCGACTCTTTCCCTACAGGTCATTGATTGTGCAAGATCAGGTCCAAAGAGATTTTGAAGTTGCTTAAGTTGAGTGGGCCTAAAAATAATATGTTACTGCTAATTCTTCTAAAGTAAGTCGGCTTCCATGAACTTTGGAACTGACTCTTACAGAACAGTAAAGTGACGGTTCCTGTAATTAAGTTTCCACTATTTCATATCCATGGAAATTGTATAAGTAATCCTATGGTGGTTGTGGAAATCCTTTCAGGTATGACAAGGGCAGTGAACCATGTAAACGTTTGTCTTTTCGTGTGTAATCATGCTACAAATATCTATCGCTCCAAACTAACCAAATATGAGACAATTGATGATTTTTAAATGTTTTAACAATCACAAGAGGCCAAAGACATACAATTGGAAGTATTTAGAGATCTATCAGTTACAAAACAAAAAAGACTCAAGTACTTTAAAGCTCATTTCTTTGTAAAATATGGCAATGACCATAAACTATTCAATCTCACAGGATAATTGCATAGCAACAAAGTAGAGAGAAAAGCACGAAAAATATGCATACCATGTAAAAGATCATGAAGGGTTCTGTGAGGAAGATGGTCATATATCAGAAGCTTCTCCCCTCTCTTCCCCTGATAGAAAGCTCTCAGTGGAATCAAATTCTCGTGGCGAATCCTTCCCAATTGCTTTACCACAGGTACGCAAGAACTCCCATCCTTGCAACTACCTTCCCTCAACAACCTCAAAGTAATGGTCCCTCCATCTGAAAGTTTTGCCTTATAAACAGTCCCATAGCTGGTCTTCTCCAAAACTTGTCCTGTGGCATTCAACACATCATCTAATGTCAAATGCTCGCCGCCCTGAAACAAGATAAGCCTTCCCTGATCACCAGCTCCACCACCACCGCCACCACTTTCCTCATCTTCTTCTTCCTCTAACTCATCTTCACTCTCTGCCCTGCTGTTCTTCTTCTTGTTTTGCACATACCCAATTAACAATGAAACAAAAACCACAGTTGCAGCCATCAACCCAATAACAATACCAGCAATTGCTCCAGGGCTCAACCCAGAGCTTCCACTGCAACTTTTCAAAGGTAACCCACAAAGTCCAGGGCTATTTCCCTCAAAATCCTCCACACCAAACTTTGATCCACCAAAAACTGGCAACACTCCACTAAAATTATTGTGTGAAAGGTTCAATTTTTCGAGGTTCAACTGAGCTAAACTCGCAGGAATTGGACCCGAAAACATGTTATTCCCAAGATCAAGTTCTTTAAGCCCACCAAATTGGGTAACAAATTCAGGGAAATTCCCTGAAAACTTGTTCTCACCAAAATCAAGAACCTGCAAATTTTTGCAGGTAGAGTTTGGCAATGCAGGTTCAGGAAGAGACCCAGATAGTGAATTAGCATGAAGCTTAAGTGAAACTAGATTATCACACAAGTTCCATATGGATGGTGCTAAATCCCCATTCAACAAATTGTTGCCCAAATCAATGTCAGAGAGGGAAGAGCTGTACCCAAGCTCCAGAGGGATAGTTCCACTCAGAAAATTGATGTTAAGGTACAAACTTTTGAGCATAGAGAACTCACCCAGCTCTCTGGGCAGTGAACCTGAGAGATTGGCAGATGGGAGCTGAAGAGAGAAAAGGTGAAGAGATGGGTCTCTGGAAAGAGAGAGATTTGTCCATTGGGGTGAAGAGAGGTCATTGCAGAGCAAAGGGGAGCCATTGGAAAAGACCCATTTGAGGCCTCTCCATTGGCAAAGAGGAACAGAGGAATTCCATGAAGATAAGAGTAAGTTCTGAGTGTTACCTTGCAGTGAAGCTTTGATATTTCCCAAGAGAAGCTCAACATCTGCAGAGTGAGGAGAAGAAGAAGAAGAAGAAGAAGAAGAAGTTGAAGCAGACTCAGTGGGTGAGCTAATATTCAACCCTACAACGAAGTAGAAGAGGAAAATGTCAAGAAAGAAACGTTTCAAAATCTCCATGAATGAAGCAGAGACACAGAGAGAGAGAGTGAAAGAGGAAAGGTGGTATTGTAGTGGTGGGCAGTTCAAAGAAGCTCTCTTTTTTTGGAAAAGCTGACAGAGTGTTGACTATGAGCAATCTCCTAGTCTATTATCTATAGGGCCTTGATTTGATTACACAGTCATATGAATTCGTACCATGTTGATTATCCACCGTCGGATTTATGCAAAAAGTTTCAAACTTTATCAGAAGATAATCATACTGTGAGGACCATTACATCTGATCTTTACTCTCATTCTCATAGGATGACAAACAAAACACTTCTCACTTCATTCAATAAATTATTGGGTTTGCTTTTGATATTTAATCCTGTTCTGCACGGTGCACGCCCACCTTTGGAATTAGTTGGTTTTTTTAAGTTCATAGGGTTTGCAGGAGGTTGCTTTGTTTGAGGGAAAGAAAGCTTGGATGTGCAAGAAGCCACCAAGTCTTGTCTTTTCAAGGCAAAGTGTAAGTGCAGGTGTATGCAAGTTGTCGTGGTCCTTAATCTAGTGCCATACACGTGTCCATAATCTTTGACTGAGAATTGACTCGTTGACTGAAGGGTGTAGATGGTGAGTGAGTGTCGGCTTTGATGGTCTTTGATCCGCCGCATCCAGTGGGTCCTCATGCTTGTGGTTGACAGGTTGTGGGGCAGATTTCACAAAGCAAAGTTGCAAAGGTTTAGCAGAAGAGGTTAACATGAAAATGGATAAAGGAGGGGTGTTAAAGGTGTTGTTCACATGTAGTGAGTTCCACCTATCCATCCTGTGGGTCATGCTGAAATTTAGTATTGATTTTCCCTTGAATTGTTCAGAATTTTAGAATATACTAGAATCCAATGCACTAGCTTGGGAGTTTCCTTTGACAGAAAATCATATTCTCTCTTATTAGACAAGCGATATTAGATAAGAATCAAACCTAGAAACTCGGGTGCATGGTAAATGATCTTAACTAATTAAGCTATAAATTTTTTGTAAGAAGTGGAAATTATTTTCACGAAATAATTTCATGGCATTTCTGTTCAAACTCACGCCAGTTTATGCCAAATTAATCATTCATTTTCTGGCATGGTTTTTATCATCCATCCCTTTCTTAATTAGATTCTTCTAAGATAATTAAGTTTATTGGAAGTTGTATGTTAAGTGGTGGGCAGCCAGTGAAACTTAAAATTATCAAAGGAGATTTTGTTATCTTTCCCAGTCGACCACTTGTTCAGCATGGTGGAGACACACTGATTGCTTCTTTTCGGTTGCACCCTAATGATGCAATGAAGCAAAGATACAGAAATCATTCCTCCAATTTAAATTTAAATGTTCACAGCAGATTGAGTTCCTTGACTATTCATAAGTAAATCCAGATTATCACCATAAACTCTCACTTTTTTTTGTTTCCCCAAATTGAATTGCTTAATCATTCTGTTTAATGATTCTGCTTTCTGAAAACCCCTTTTGTCTATGCTTGCATGCGACTAGGCTGAAGATTTTGGGATTTTTACTTTCATGTTATGCTAATGAAATGTGTCTTGCTCTGGACAAAGTGTGGAAATTAAAGGTTCACTCATAAACTCTAGGAAATTGTCCATGGCAATGAGTACGCATGCACCATTCTGAGGAAAACTTCATGTCACACATCACACATTTGTACATTGCATCAAGTAACACAAACAAGGGTTAGCTTAGGAGAAGAATCTAAATACAGTTGAAATGATTATATGTAGGGTTCTTTGACAGACAATTGCAAAAAATAACTGCAAATTGCATTTCTTGTTGACGAATTACCAGTAGTCCATGCAAGAGCATAACCCCTGCTCGAAGTGGTGGAAGCGCTTGCGGTCACGGACGATAATCTTGCGTTCATAAATTTTTGAAATCAACTTTAGAGAAGAGTGACAATCTTCACATATGCGCAGGTTCTTAACAATGCGAAGAGGGGTTTGAGGGGCTGTACTGATTAAGCCAAAGGCAGTTGCAATCTTCTCACTGTGATAATGCAAAACACTTTGTTTTTCTTCTTCATCCATGTTGAGCAACACTTGAGTGGTGTCAGGCCTATGGCCTTCTAAGCTCAACTGGTTAGAGATTTCCTCTAACATTGAATGGATTTCTCTTGCTCGAGGATGCGATTCGTCTTCCACCACAAACTCGTGAATCACTCCATCAAGCTCAATCGAACTGCCTCCCGGGTCTTTCCTAATGTCCATATCCTTCATCTGCAATCTAACCTTTGCAACCGCCTCCCAATTTCCCAAAGAGGCATACATGTTTGAGAGAGCAACGTATGATCCACTGTCATGAGGAGCCAAGTCCATCAAAACCTCTGCCACGCGTTTGCCCATGTCGATGTTCCCTTGCTTCTTGCAAGCTCCGAGCAACGCCTTCCATGTAACATCATCTGGCTGAATTGGCATGTTTAGTATAAGCTCTTCAGCTTCTTCTAACAGTCCAGCACGACCTAACAGATCAACCATACACCCATAATGCTCAATTCTAGGTTCTAAGCTAATTACATTAACCATGTGGTTGAAGAATGATCTGCCCTGCTCCACCAAACCTGCATGGCTACAAGCACTCAAGATACCAATATATGTTACATCACTAGGCACCACACCAGTCGGTTCCATCTTTTTAAAATAATCTAAAGCATCTTCCACTCGACCATGCATAGCAAGTCCACTAATTATGGCATTCCAAGTAATCACATTCTTTTTAGGCAGTTTCTCAAAAACTAGAAGTGCCTTCTCAATGCTCCCACACTTAGAATACATATCAACCAATGCAGAACCAAGCACATCATCAATCTCGATTCTGTTCTTACCGGCATACAAATGTATCCATTTCCCTAGTTCAAGTGCACCTAGCCGTGATATTGCAGGTAAGACACTAACCAAAGTCACATAATTTGGATATACATTCTCAATCTGCATATCACGGAAGAAATCTATGGCCTCCTTAAAAAACCCATTTTGCGCATAACCAGATATCATCACATTCCATGACACTACACTTCTCTGAGGCATTTTATCAAACAGCGCCCTAGCAGCTCTAATATCCCCAACTCTCACATACCCATCAACTATCACATTCCACAAAACCACATTACCCTCTTGCTTCCTCTCATTCAAATGACCACAAACAACAACACTCCTAGAAAACAATAAATGTGCATCCTCCATAACCTTACACATAACATACATCCTCACAAGATTGCTAACAACAAACTCATCGGTATCCAATCCAAACTTCACAACCAACCCATGAACGCACTTGCCCACTCCAAGATTCCCCATTTTAGCACAGGCTTTCAACACAGAAGGGAAGGTGAACCCATTGGGGCCCACAAAACCACAAGAAACCATTTGAGAAAACAAAAGCAGAGCCTCAAGTGGGTGCTCATCAACAGAGCTCTCAGCAAGAGCTCTGATGATGGTGTTCCAAGAAAAGCAATTGGGTGTTTGCATATGGTTGAAAACAGAGCGAGCCCATTCGATATTGCGGTGAGCTGAAAGCGCATAGAACCGGAGGATTTCGGCGGCGGCAAGAGGGTCGTGGATTTGGCGGGTTTTGATGAAGAGGGCGTGGACTTGATGCAAGTCTCTGATGGTTTTGCATGCTGTGATTTGTGGGAAGAGTGAAGATGGGTGGGACGGTGGTGGAGTTGTGGGCTTGAAGATGGTGGAGTTCATGGGATTTTGGTCAATGAGAAAATTTGAGCTCAACTCTCTGGATAGATTGCAATTTTCACGAAGCTCATATCATCCAGTTGAGCTTTATTAGTTTTCAGATAATTCATATGAACGATCTTAAAATTTTGGAATATTTTAAGGTTTCTAAGAGAAAGGCTCGAGCTTTTTAAAGTTGGTAAAATTCTATTCATAATTTCATATCCAATTCTTATCATATACACAAAAATACGAGTATTTCATTTTCAAAATATCTTCTAAGGCTACAGAAGTAATAAGCTTTGATGGGTAAGATTTTTCCATTGGACTCTTCTGTTTTTCTGTTTTAAGAGAAACAGACAAATGAGTTGTCCTGTGTACTGATTACACGTATATACAGAACCACACCAGACTGAGAACTTTACCTTGTATACAGTGTGTTCATTTCTAAACCAAACTGGGAAACTTTTGCTTCGTTAACCCCCATATTCTACAAAATGTCGTCTACTGCTGGCCTTGTGATCCCCTGCAAAGGTACCAACAAAAAAGTTTCTTAATTTTTAAGCCATTTCAGTTTATTGATCATCTTTTTGGTTCGCATCTTGAATTGGGTAGGTAGCAAAATTGGTTCTTTTTCTTACTATCGTTTTTGCTTCCTTTGGGTTTCTCAATTTCATAGAAATTTATGACTTTGTTAAAAGATGGGAGGCTTTTTGTCCTTTGCTTTTGTAGCTGCGGTTGCATGGGAAGCAGGGAAGCCATTGGTGATAGAGAAGGTGGAGGTTGCTCCACCCCAGGCCATGGAAGTGAGGGTCAAGATAAAGTATACCTCACTTTGTCACACTGATCTCTACTTCTGGGAAGCCAAGGTCAGTAATTCAACCAAGCATGTATATATGATTATATGGATTAATATTTTCATTTACTTTATTATAATTAGAAAACAATAGCTAGGTTCTGAAAACTTCATATGATTTCATTTTAGTGTTGGAGTGAGTTGCTCGTGGTTTGAAATTAAGAATAGAGTGGTACAGCCAATTTAGTCATTTTTCATGGTGAAATGTCATGAAATCGAAAATGGAATTGGGATGCCGTTCTAGAACAGTTACAGGATAATTTTTTCTTAGCCCCTGTGAACTTTGCCAACAAAATCGAAAGCATATGTGAACTCTGACAACAAAATGCACTTTTCTTCTTTCCTTCTCTGGCATGTGGCTGATCATCTTCCTCCTTTATAAGTTTAAGTTTATTTATTTGTTTCATCTTTCTCTTCTGGTATTTCAGGGTCAGACACCACTGTTCCCGCGAATCTTCGGCCATGAAGCATCTGGGTATGTTGTTTAATGTTAAGTTTACCTTATGCTCTAACTTAGGGACGTCATGTTTTTAACCGAATATTATGATCCAAAACAGTTTGAGAGGTGTTTAATTGCTTTCTAGTCTTGATTCTCTTTGTTTCTTTGTTTTTCCTTGCTTGCAAGTCTGACTTAGTCCAAATTAAGAATCCAAATGCTTATTTTTTAAACAGAATTGTTGAGAGTGTTGGGGAAGGAGTTGAACACCTCCAGGTTGGTGATCATGTGCTACCAGTTTTCACGGGAGAATGCGGGGACTGTGCGCATTGCAAGTCTGAGGAAAGCAATATGTGTAACCTGTTAAGAATTAATACAGACAGAGGGGTCATGCTTAGTGATGGGAAACCAAGATTTTCCATCAAAGGGACTCCCATTAATCACTTTCTTGGCACATCCACCTTCAGTGAATATACTGTTGTTCATTCAGGCTGTCTTGCCAAGATCAATCGCCTGGCACCTTTGGATAAAGTTTGCATCCTTAGTTGTGGCATCTCAACAGGTTTGGTGTCATTCTCAAAGCATTATGGTCATGATTTATGTATCCAAACATTCCATAATTAATTGTTTGTGTGATACGGATTTTTCTTTATAAATTTCAGGCTTGGGTGCCACCCTGAATGTAGCAAAACCAAAGAAGGGATCTTCAGTTGCTGTCTTTGGACTTGGGGCTGTTGGCCTGGCTGTAAGTTTTGGGAAAATTTTGTTCATCAAATCCTTAATTCCAATAGTTGCATTTATTTCCTTTTCCGTATTTTTACTGATATATTTTTGTCTAGGCTGCTGAAGGTGCAAGAATTTCTGGGGCATCACGGATAATTGGGATCGACCGAAATCCCAAGAGATTTGAGGAAGGTATTTACAATGTTGTCCATTGTCATTTACCATGGTTTTAAAGGTAGTTTCATGGAAAAACGTAGAAACAAATTCTTGCTTAAAACCTTTTCTTTTTCCTGGTTTAGCCAAGAAATTTGGAGTAAATGAGTTTGTGAATCCAAAGGACCATGACAAACCAGTGCAAGAGGTGAAAAACAATTCTTTATTTGTATCAGATGTTGCTACATCGATCCACATAGATAGTTAAGTTACATCCAACCTTCAAATTGATCTTTGAAATCAACAGGTTATTGCTGAGATGACAAACGGTGGAGTTGATAGGAGCTTAGAGTGCACAGGCAATATTAACGCCATGATATCGGCTTTTGAATGTGTTCATGATGTATGTTTTCTGGATTGCAGCAGCTACTTTTTGATTGCTAATATTGGAGATACAATTTGGCCTAGTTGTGTTGGTTCCATGATGAAAATTTGAATCATTGTGTTTTGGGTTAGGCTTCAGACTTTGGTGGCTCCAATTCAGAATTCATGAAACTCTAGGTTGAATTGATTGTACCAGTCATTGATGACCTGTGTGCGCTAGTTCATCTTTAACACTTGTCTATCTACATTCTACCCTCAGCTGCATCTGCAGTCATGAGCTTATATGTTTTGATTGGTATCACAGGGATGGGGTGTGGCTGTGCTTGTTGGAGTTCCGAACAAGGATGCAGTCTTCATGACTAAGCCGATTAATGTGCTGAATGAAAGGACGCTTAAAGGAACATTTTTTGGGAACTACAAACCTAGGACAGACCTTCCCTCTGTTGTGGACATGTACATGAACAAGGTAACATCATTTTCTTCTAAGATTTTCGTCTACTTTATGATGCGTTCAATTCGTCTGTCATGGTTTCTAATGAACAAAGCATTTCTCCTTTTCACTTTCCAACAGGAACTGGAGGTAGAGAAGTTCATAACTCATCGAGTTCCTTTCTCCGAGATCAACAAAGCCTTTGATTACATGGTGAAGGGGGAGGGATTGCGATGCATCATTAGCATGGAAGAGTAGCTGCTATCAGTTCATAATTAAACTTCAATTAGTTTCGTTGATGAACAGCTTTAAGTATTCAACAAAGTACGCAGTTTCACACTGCTTAAGCAATATTTTGTGTAACTTGACATGGAAACTATCAGCCTCCATTCAAAGTCAAATTGGGTTCAATAAGTAAATTGTAGAATACATTTTGAATAAGACGAGTTCAAGTACAATCTCCAATTTTCCATATTTGATAAAACAAACATATAAACCAGCAGACTTTTTGAAAAAACAAAACGGGGTCTCTCTCTCTCTCTCTCTCTCTCTCTCTCTCTCTCTCTCTCTCCAAAGTTTAAGTTATATCTTAGCTAAAAATTTGAAGATGTTACTAGAAAGTTTAAAATGTGATTTCCTAATCAAAATCAAAACAAACTCATCAAATTTGTGCCGAGTGCAATCCATCACATTTCGGGTTAATTCACCGAAGTGTTAGTAGAGAGCCTCATTTTCTCTCCCCTCCTAGCCACATGTGGGTGTGGCCAGTCCATCTTTGCTTTCCTTGCTCCACCCCAGGCTAATGAAGTGAGGGTCAAAATCAAATATACCTCACTTTATCACACTGATGTCTACTTTTGGGAAGCCAAGGTCGGTTCTATTTTTATCAGAATGCTTGCCATTTCTTTGGGGTCTTATTTTTTTTCTTCATTTTTTTCTTTCCCATTTAGCATAAGTTCGAATCTTTTACTTATTTGTTATATGTTTCTTTATGAAACTTCAGGGCCAGACACCACTCTTCCCCCGAATATTCGGTCATGAAGCAGCTGAGTTCGTTGTTGCTTTTACGTGAATCTTACTTCCTCTGGCTTCAGAATGGACTATTTTTCCCAGTATTGGTTCCTTTTCTTTCTTCCTTTCCCGCTCCCTTGGCTTCCATAACCTGGTTTAGTTCACATTATGAATGCGAATGCTGATTTTTATAACAGAGTTGTTGAGAGTGTTGGGGACAGCGTTAAAAACCTTACAAGCCCGGGGATCATGTGCTTCCAGTTTTCACAGGTGAGTGTGGGGATTGCGTGCATTGCAAGTCTGAGGAAAGCAATATGTGCGACCTGCTGAGAATCAATACAGATAGAGGAGTTATGATTGGTGATGGGAAACAAAGGTTTGAAGCTCCATTTTGTTTTAATTTGTGATCGCTACAATTTTCTGTGGAAGCTTGCTACATAGTCGAACCAAGGCAAGCTAAATCGAAGGATATACAGAGGGGTCAGTAAATAAGCAGATCATATTCTTCCACAAATGAGGCAATGGGTAAATTCTCCATGCACACTACCAAGATTACAAGTACCTTAAGATCCACTTTCTGAAATGGATGCCTCACACGCAGTCAAGTTAGCTAGACCTTTCCTAACAGCTTAATTCGGCAAAGCATAGAAATTGGTACTGAAAACTGAATTGACATTCATTTGAAGAGTCTAAGCATCAAGACATCAGATATATTTCTTCTATTAATCAAAATCCTTTGTTCCACCTTCTCTGTGTGTGACCACAAATGATATAAAAATGAGTGAATGAGCCCTACCAGTGAGGATGTTACTTATACTTCTCCATGCTCCTCCTTTGGTGTAGAGGTGGTGCCTCCACCCCCCTTCGGTCCTTCATCCTTATTCAAAGCTATAAATGTAAAGTATACAAGTCCCATCATAGCCTGTCATCATACAGTGCTTAGTTCATTACAATTACATAATATTTATGTACTTCAAAAATAAGGACTATCTATACAAGAATAATGCTCTCTAACTGACAACAGGAAATTTACTTGTCTACATTGCATCTCATTTCCTTATAGAAACTAGTAACACAGAAAAAGGAGTTGATTTTAAAACACAAACACACAAATGGTAGCACATGCATACTTCATATACATTTTGGAAAAAGTGAAGTCAAAATAACATCATCGATCTACTGTTCTTGCAGGAGGAGAGAAATAGAGACATACCAGCACAAAGAAAACTGTAGACAGTAAAGACTTGAGTACAAAGAGTGAAAGAGCCAATGCAACTACTGTCACAGAAACCCTTGCGATTGATCTTGGCACAGAATCCTAGCACCCAAATGCAAAACGCAAACAGAATATCAAAAATCTTCAATTTGTACTAAAATCAAGAAAAATACCCTGCTTTGAAATTGCACAATCGATAAAAGTTTGAAAGGGTAGACTAAACCTAACTTACCGGCACAAGATTGGTTCCTGCCTCAATTCCATCTCTCCCAACCTTCCAAACTGTTTGTACAACTATTTTACACAATTCAAACCAGTAGTCAGCCAAAATGTAAACATAAAACTCAAGGGTAAACAATTTGCTCTCTTGTATGAGCAGGAAAGCAGCAAAAGTAATTCATGTGATGCAGAAAGGTAGAAACACTGTGAATTGGATGTAAACAACCAATGTCGTCCACATATAATGTAACTCATAATCTCAACCAGAAAATTAAACTATTATCCCAACAATTCAAAATTCTGACTCAAAATTAGCCTGCATGAAAGGGTCGTACTTGAAAAGACTTCTTGGCCTACTTTTCATGCATAAGAAAAACAAATTTAAAATAAAAAAAATTACCCTGAGAAAATACACTTGCTGCACATGGCAGCGCGTCAGCTAGGTTTCACCCACCAAATGGTAAGTTCCCATGGATTATGGTAGGATGATTAGCCAGTTCTCTCAACAACCCGAGTGATCAGTCTGTAATGTAAGAAGATTCAAGCTTTTCTAAACGGTTCCATTTTAGTTACAGCTTCACTACAAAAGCGCCTTTACCTTTCATGCCTGATTGAAATCTTTACAATAGCTTTTTATTTTTTGAGGCCAATCATTTACAATTTCATTCTACTCACCACTAATCACCGGAGTTCCAAAGCACTGAATTGAAGTCCACAATCAATGTTGAAAATCGCTAGGCGGTAGGCGGGCGCCTAGGGCGTTTTTTTTTTAATTTAGAATTATTTTGTATTAATCGCGGCCTGGTGGTTGTCGTCTCGGGTGGAGGCGTGGTGGTGGTGGTCTGTCGTGAGTGCGAGAGAGAGAGAGAGAGAGAGGCAGCGTTAGAGTCAAGGGAATTTTTTTTTTTTAAAGGACCTGACCCGCCCAGGCCGCCTAACTCCTGCCCGGCCGCCTAGGTGGCCGCCCTCGCCGCCTAGCCGCCTAGGTGGTCGCTCTCGCCTCCTAGCCGCCTAGGGGGTCGATCTCGCCGCCTAGCGCAGCCTAGCCGCCTAGGTGGCCGCCTCCGCCTAGAGCCGCCTAGGTGGCCGCCTAGCGCCGCCTAGCCGCCTAGGTGGCCGCCTAGGCTGATTTTTCGAACACTCGACAATTTAGTGATGGGAAACCAAGGTTTTCTATCAAAGGGACTCCCCATTAATCACTTTCTTGGCACATCCACCTTCAGTGAATACACAGTTGTTCATTCAGGCTGTCTTACCAAGATCAATCGCCTGGCACCTTTGGATAAAGTTTGCATCCTTTGTTGTGGCATCTCAACAGGTTTGGTGTCATACTCAAAGCATTATGGTCATGATTTATGTATCCAAACATTCCATAATTAATCGTTTGTGTGATAGGAGCATAGAGTGCAATATTAACGCCATGATATCGGCTTTTGAATGTGTTCATGATTTATGTTTTCTGGATTACAGCAGATACATTTTGATTGCTAATATTGGAGATACAATTTGGCCTAGTCGTGTTGGTTCCGTGATGAAAATTTGAATAATTGTGTTTTGGGTTAGGCTTCAGACTTTGGTGGCTCCAATTCAGAATTCATGAAACTCTCGGTTGAATTGATATGTACCAATCATTGATGACCTGTGTGTGGTAGTTCATCTTTAACACTTGTCTATCTACATTCTACCCTCAGCTGCATCTGCAGTCATGAGCTTATATGTTTTGATCGGTATCACAAGGATGGGGTGTGGCTGTGCTTGTTGGAGTTCCGAACAAGGATGCAGTCTTAGTATCTCCCTTTAGATTCTTTGTGAATTGATTGTCCAGTCTCATCCTGAGGAAGGAAAGGAGAGTTTAAGGTCTAGTAAATCTGGATTTAAAGTGAAGAAGAACGCAAATCAAATTCTTGTTAAAGGTCCGATGCTTGCGATTTGTTGTGGTTAATCTTCCCAATTGACTAAGTTCAAGTTAGAACATGCATGACTAAGCCGATTAATGTGCTGAATGAAAGGACGCTTAAAGGAACATTTTTTGGGAACTACAAACCTAGGACAGACTTTCCCTTTGTTGTGGACATGTACATGAACAAGGTAGAGAAGTTCATAACTCATCGAGTTCCTTTCTCCGAGATCAACAAAGCCTTTGATTACATGGTGATGGGGGAAGGATTGCGATGCATCATTAGCATGGAAGAGTAGCTGCTATCAGTTCATAATTAAACTTCAATAAGTTTCTTTGATGAACAGCTTTAAGTATTCAACAAAGTAACCTGACATGGAAACTATCAGCCTCCATTCAAAGTCAAGTTGGGTTCAATACGTAAATTATAGAATACACTTTCAATAAGACGAGTTCAAGTACAATCTCCAATTTTCCATATTTGATAAAACAATATATAAACCAACAGACTTTTTGATAAAACAAAACAGGGTCTCTCTCTCTCTCTCTCTCCAAAGTTTTATTTAAAATGCGATTTCCTAATCAAAATCAAAGCAAACTCACCAAATTTGTGCCAAGTGTAATCCATCACATTTTGGGTTAATTCATCAAAGTGTTAGTAGAGAGCCTCACCATCTTTGCCTTCCTCACAATAGAGGGAAAGAGAGAGTCCTGTGGAGTGGTTATTGGAGGCCATTTTTTCTCAACAACCTCTCTAAAATAGACAAAACTTGTGTTGCTCTTGAATATAATGGATTCTCAATATCACCTCTTTGGATGCCAATTGGCATTTTCAATTGGTTTTTAAGTACAAAACTCTAACTCCTGTGCACTCATTACATATATGTACATATATAAACACAAACAAAATGTATTCGACGTTTAGAACTTTGGTGCACAATGACCATTTCTTAAAGCTCCTAAAAAACCAAAAATTTCGCTTCATCAGCCCCGAGCTCTACAACACTTCGGCTACCGCTGGCCGTGTGATCACCGGCAAAGGTATATACCAATTCATACTTTTCATTACTTTTTTTTTTTTTTTTTTTTTTTTTTTTTTTTTTTTTTTTTTAATTTTTGGGTACAATGTAAAATTGGTTCTATTTATTTGCTTCCTTTTAGAATTTCTTAATTTTGAATGATAAGATTTTTTTTTCTCCTGTTGTTTGATTTTGCAGCGGCGGTCGCATGGGAAGCAGGAAAGCCATTGGTGATAGAGAAGGTAGAGGTTGCTCCACCCCAGGCTAATGAAGTGAGGGTCAAAATCAAATATACCTCACTTTGTCACACTGATGTCCACTTCTGGGAAGCCAAGGTCGGTTCTATTTTATCAGAATGCTTTCCATTTCTTCGGGGGTTTTTTTTTCTTTTTTTTCATTCCCATTTAGCATAAGTTTGAATCTTTTACTTATTTGTTATATGCTTCTTTCTGAAACTTCAGGGCCAGACTGGTCTCTTCCCCCGAATATTCGGTCATGAAGCAGCTGGGTACGTTGTTGCTTTTAAGTGAATCTTACTTCCTCTGGCTTTAGAATGGACTATTTTTCCCAGTATTGGTTCCTTTTCTTTCTTCCTTTGCCCCTCCCTTGGCTTCCATAACCTGGTTTAGTTCACATTACGAATGCAAATGCTGATTTTCATAACAGAGTCGTTGAGAGTGTTGGTGACGGCGTTAAAAACCTCAAGCCTGGGGATCATGTGCTTCCAGTTTTCACAGGGGAGTGTGGGGATTGCGTGCATTGCAAGTCTGAGGAAAGCAATATGTGTGACCTGCTGAGAATCAATACAGATAGAGGAGGTATGATTGGTGATGGGAAACAACGGTTTTCCAAGAATGGGACTCCTATTAATCACTTTCTTGGCACATCTACCTTCAGTGAATATACAGTCATCCATGAAGGCTGCCTTGCCAAGATCGATCCGTCAGCACCGTTGGACAAAGTCTGCATCCTCAGTTGTGGTGTCGCAACAGGTTTAGTGTTAAACTCTCAGAGCATAATGTTATTGCATATTTGATGATATGTGTAATGGTAAATGTTTTTGTCACCAAAAAATGGAAATAAAAATTCAGGATTAGGTGCTACTCTGAATGTAGCAAAACCAAAGAAGGGATCTTCAGTTGCTGTCTTTGGACTTGGGGCTGTTGGCCTGGCAGTAAGTTTTGGATAAATTTTGTTGACATGTCCTGAATTGTAGTAGTTTGCCATTTATTTCCCATGTGGTATTCATAATTATTTATATGTTTCTTTAGGCTGCTGAAGGTGCAAGAATTTCTGGGGCATCAAGGATTATTGGGGTTGACTTGAATCCCAAGAGGCTTGAGGAAGGTACTTGTAATTTTGTACATTTTCATTAGTTTATCATGGTTTAACATTTACTGGAAAACATAAGAAACAAATTCTTGCTTGATACTTTTATTTCCCATGGTTTTAAGCCAAGAACTTTGGAGTAAATGAGTTCGTGAACCCAAGGGACCATATCAAGCCAGTGCAAGAGGTGAAAAATTGTTCTTTATAGAAAACCCCCTTAAAGAGATCAGTTATAACCACTAGTAAATCACCTTTGACACCAACAGATTATTGCTGAGATGACCAACGGTGGAGTCGACAGAAGCATAGAGTGCACCGGCAACATTAATTCGATTATCTCCGCTTTTGAATGTGTTCATGATGTATGTTTTTCAGATTACAGCAGTTACATTTTCATATTTGGTAATAACTTAAGGCTCAAGTTACAGGGTAGGGCTGGTTCTGTTTTGAATCTCTTTTCTGGGTTTTGGATTGAGACAGGGTTGGGGTGTGGCCGTGCTTGTAGGAGTGCCAAGCCCAGATGCAATCTTCAAGACTACCCCCTTCAATTTCCTTGATGAAAGAACCCTTAAGGGAACCTCTTTCGGGAACTACAAACCTCGGACTGACCTTCCCTCTGTTGTGGACATGTACATGAACAAAGTAACCGAATTTTCTTCTAAATATTCAATTACATTTTCAGGTGTTCAAATCTTCTGCGATTTTAACGAATGCCTTTTGATCACTTTCCGACAGCAACTTGAAGTAGAGAAGTTTATAACTCATCGAGTTCCTTTCTCAGAGATCAACAAAGCCTTTGACTACATGTTGAAGGGGGAAGGCTTGCGGTGCATCATTAGCATGGAAGAGTAGGATTAATATCATATAGAAATAAATAAAAAACTTTAATTATTTTTCTTTGCTGAATAAGTTCAAAAATTCAACAAGGTGTGATTAAAAAATATATATATATATATAAATAAAAAATCACTCCTTATGATTTTAAACTTGTTTTTTTAATTGCTTGTTTCTTGAGAGGAAAATGCGAGAAAATGGAGGGGTGGAGAGGGGGCTTTGAAGTTTGAAGCTCCATTTTGTTTTAATTTGTCATCGCTACAATTTTCTGTGGAAGCTTGCTACATAGTCGAACCAAGGCAAGCTAAATCGAAGGATATACAGAGGGGTCAGTAAGTAAGCAGATCATATTCTTCCACAAATGAGGCAATGGGTAAATTCTCCATGCACACTACCAAGATTACAAGTACCTTAAGATCCACTTTCTGAAATGGATGCCTCACACACAGTCAAGTTAGCTAGACCTTTCCTAACAGCTTAATTCGGCAAAGCATAGAAATTGGTACTGAAAACTGAATTGACATTCATTTGAAGAGTCTAAGCATCAAGACATCAGATATATTTCTTCTATTAATCAAAATCCTTTGTTCCACCTTCTCTGTGTGTGACCACAAATGATATAAAAATGAGTGAATGAGCCCTACCAGTGAGGATGTTACTTATACTTCTCCATGATTCTTCTGGCTTCTTCTAGACTGTCCTCCATCCCCTCCTCCTTTGGTGTAGAGGTGGTGCCTCCACCCCCCTTCGGTCCTTCATCCTTATTCAAAGCTATAAATGTAAAGTATACAAGTCCCATCATAGCCTGTCATCATACAATGCTTAGTTCATTACAATTACATAATATTTATGTACTTCAAAAATAAGGACTATCTATACAAGAATAATGCTCTCTAACTGACAAGAGGAAATTTACTTGTCTACATTGCATCTCATTTCCTTATAGAAACTAGTAACACAGAAAAAGGAGTTGATTTTAAAACACAAACACACAAATGGTAGCACATGCATACTTCATATACATTTTGGAAAAAGTGAAGTCAAAATAACATCATCGATCTACTGTTCTTGCAGGAGGAGAGAAATAGAGACATACCAGCACAAAGAAAACTGTAGACAGTAAAGACTTGAGTACAAAGAGTGAAAGAGCCAACGCAACTACTGTCACAGAAACCCTTGCGATTGATCTTGGCACAGAATCCTAGCACCCAAATGCAAAATGCAAACAGAATATCAAAAATCTTCAATTTGTACTAAAATCAAAAAAATACCCTGCTTTGAAATTGCACAATCGATAAAAGTTTGAAAGGGTAGACTAAACATAACTTACCGGCACAAGATTGGTTCCTGCCTCAATTCCATCTCTCCCAACCTTCCAAACTGTTTGTACAACTATTTTACACAATTCAAACCAGTAGTCAACACAAATGTAAACATAAAACTCAAGGGTAACTAGTTGCTCTCTTGTATGAGCAGGACAGCAGCAAAAGTAATTCATGTGATGTAGAACGGTAGAAACACTGTGAATTGGATGTAAACAATCAATGTCGTCCACATTATAATGTAACTCAAAATCTCAACCAGAAAATTAAAATGTTATCCTAACCCTTCAAAATTCTGACTCAAAATTAGTCTGCATGAAAGGGTCGTACTTGAAAAGACTTCTTGACCTACTTTTCATGCATAAGAAAGACGAATTTAAAATAACAAAAATTGCCCTGAGATAATCACACTTGCTGCACGTGGCAGCGCGTCAGCTAGGTTTCACCCACCAAATGGTAAGTTCCCATGGATTATGGTATGGATGATTAGCCAGTTCTCTCAACTATCCGATTAACAGGTGATCACTCCTTAACGTAAGAAGATTCAAGCTTTTCTAAACGGTTCCATTCTCTAGTTACAGCTTCACTGCTTCTACAAAAGCGCCTTTACCTTTCATGCCTGATTGAAATCTTTACAATAGCTTTTTATTTTTAAAGGCCAATTATTTACAATTTCATTCTACTAACCACTAATCACCGGAGTTCCAAAGCACTGAATTGAAATCCACAATCAATGTTAAAAATCGCTAGGCGGTAGGCGGGCGCCTAGGCCTTTTTTTTAAATTTATAATTATTTTGTATTAATCGCGGCCTGGTGGTGGTGGTCTGTCGTGAGAGAGAGAGAGAGAGAGAGAGAGAGAGGGAAAAAAAATATTTTTAAAAGGAACCGACCCGCCCAGGCCGCCTAACTCCCGCCTAGCCGCCTAGCCGCCTAGCGCCGCCTAGGCGGATTTTTCGAACACTCGACAATTTAACGTTAAAAATTATCATAATATAACAGAAATTAACATGCTTTCGACAGATATTCACCAATACAATGCTATTCAGTTGCAAAAATACCTTTTATGAAAATCCAAAAACCAAAAATATAAAAACACGATTCATAAAATAGCAAATTCGACGAACCCACTAAACAACAATGTTCAGGGATCATAAATACTAAACACAAGAAGAAGAAGAAGAAGAAGAAGAAGAAGAAACGCAGGGAGTGCAGCTAGCTAACCTTTTAAGAAATTGGACTGTGCAGCGAACACAACAGGAACAGAGCGATACCTCCGAGTCCTCTGCCTCTTATTAATTTGAAGAGCTGAGACCAAAGACTGCATCTTTAACCTTAGAAATGAATTAGAAGAGAAGAATTGAGAGTGAGAGAAAGCTAGGGTTTGATTCTTGTAACATCTTGGAGAGTGTGGAATTATGCAGCAGAGGCTCTGCAACATAACTGAGCCAGCCATCAATATCTTTCTCCAATTTGATTACTTCACGCAGACTAATTGAGAGCTTGAACCGCCATTTTAGCTTTTACACAGAAAAAAACAAGAGAGACTCTCTCTTTCTCTCCCAGCCTCACAAGCAGCTATCGCTAAATGCTAAGCCCAAATTGAATTTGGATCCTCTCGACTGTAAATACGAAGAGCCCCATATAGTTATGGACCGCGAGTTTTCGTTCTTCTGGTTTTTGATGGTCTAGTAATTGGGCTTGAGTTTTTAGGGCCTCCTGGGCTATTTTCATGGAGTCCAATCCTCGGAAGGGGTTACTCATGTATAGTTAATCATAATTTGAAGCTATGGAGATTGATTTATTTTTTGTGTGTACAAGTTTAGGACGAGGAAGGGGACTCGAACTTTAGGTAAGCGGAACAAAGCTCATTGTCTTGGCTAATTGGTCTAACCATTTGCGAAGATTTATTGATCCATTGATTTATGGATCCATTGATGAGAAGAAGCTTGTTGCATAGGTTTGGGGAGTTTTTGTCAACACTGAAACGTGGATAGATTCCTTAGTGGGAGTTTCCCAAAACCATGCCTTGGAGCTTTGACCCCATGGCCAACATTGTTCTCTGGCCTGTGCTATATATAATTATAACTTTTCTTTCTTGTTTCCACATTAGTAAGTTGTGGTATTTATTTTATTTTTAAATTGACTTGTTAGAACGTGAGGTCAGTTGGAGGCAGAGTCTTAAATATGTTTTTTTGGATGGGCGATATTATAGCACATATCCATTTAAATATCTTCAATATATCGATAATATTGCGATATGAAACTGAAAAATAAATGAAAATTGTTGAGAAATGAAGATTTTGCGCCCAAGGGGACTCAAACCCCTCTCTCTCTAATCCTCCTACTAAGCCTTATCCAACATGCTGCGAACGAGTTTGTTAATAAAGCTACTACGATGTGTAATATTTATATGGTCTTTAAAATATTTGCAAGCTAATATTATCTAGGATAAATTTTCATTAAAAAAAAAAATTCCCTAATGATAAATTTAGGCATATGTTTAATGTTATTTATTATTTTATTATGGATTTGTATTTTTTTGTTTTTGGTTATATATTATGGAGTTGTATTATTTTTCACTATTGAGTTTTAATATTGTTCATTATATGTGATACTAAGTTTTAACGAATTCTTTCTATGTGGTACTAAGTTACTCATATTTATTTTTTTTTATTTTTTTTCCAAGCTCATATATCTTATCATATGTAATATATTGTAGTAAATAATTATAACTAAAAAATTATGGTGTGTTTAATTTTCTTTCACTAATTACTATATTCTAAAGGCACAGTGTTTGTCAGGTCGCTACATAATCAACTTCAATCACTCAAACCCACCATGCCATGCATTTTATTCCAATTTTTTGTGATAAAATAATAGACAATTGACTAAATAAACATCCTCTAAAGTTACAATAAAAATTTACAAGTTTTTCTCACAATTTCCGTGATTTTTATTCAATTTTTATCGATATTGATATTTCCATTGATATATCCGTGTTTTTGGACTATCGATATTTCTGAAACTCTCAATATTTTAGACCTTGGGTTGGACGAGACAGTGTGTTGTCTTTTGTAGGCAACAATACTTTATATTCTTATCGGTTAAAATGTATTAACTCACTAACCAATTAGCGTTTGAGCTAAATTACAATACTTTATATTATTATAAGTTACCAACAAAGCTTCAGCTCTAGCTTATCAACATATGAAGAGCTTCTGTCCTTAGTAGTCGACATAGTTTCCCACTCTATGGTTTTCTTAATTTAATAATGGTGTACTAAATTATAAATTAATATATAAGCCTGCAAACAAAAAAGAGAAAAAAGAAGTGCAATAATATGCCTTGCATTCTGAGATGAATTTGTCATAAAACTTAGAAAGAGTAAATGATGCCTATCTTGTTAACTGTGTCACATGGAATTCCTTTGTGTTATATTACATATAATAGTAATTCTGGCCATTGCTGCTTGTTTTTGGCTTTGGGAAGGGACAAATCTAAAATGAGAAGAATATGGCATGGCAAGATAGACAGTTGACCAGACACATAATTAACAAATGCCTCTCCTTATTTTAACACTCAATTACACCACCTTCCTCTTCACTCTATAGCCAACAACAGCTAGGTATAATGAAAATTTTGAAACCATATCTGTAGCTCTCTCTCTCTCTCTCTCTCTCTCTCTCTCTCTCTGTAGTCAAAAAAAGCAAAGAGAGAATCAAAGATAATGTGGCAAATGGCCTTCATAAGAGGGGCTCTTTTATCAAAACCAAAAACAGCCCATTTCACTGAACCTATTGAGGAAAACAATGCAGGACACATGGTGTAGCAAACAGCCCTATTCAATTCAAAAATATGTAGCAAAGAAACGGAACCCCGAGGTGAAGGTGGTGGAGCTGGTGTGCCTGCTTTCTTTATTCTTTTAAAACCTCTCTTTCTTCATCTCTCTATCCTTTTCTTGCTTGACTGCAAAGGATGTATTAATTATAGAAAACCAGTAGAGTTCAAGAAAAGAATCAAGAAAAGAGAGGGAGAGAGAGACCCAATGCAAAACCAAGTAGAGTGTGGTTAGGGTTTTGAGGCAGTTTGGCAATGCCAATGCTGCTGAACAGGAAGCCTTGTATCTCCCACAACCACCACCAAATGCCGAGGAAACTCTTCCCAACTCACCTCCACCACCACCACTTCCTCTCTCACTATTCTCTCCTGCTCTTCTTCCTCCTCACACTTCTAACTTGTTCTGCTTCTGCTGCAAATGTTGAGGTTCTTACTCTACATTCATGGCTTCAAAGCTCTCCCTCCCCCTCACCCTCTTCTTCATCAGATTTCTCCAACTGGAACCCTTTAGACCAAAACCCTTGCAGCTGGTCCTACATAACTTGCTCTCCCCAAAACTTTGTCACTGAAATAAATATCCACTCTGTTGAGCTAGCCCTTCCCTTCCCTCCCAATCTCTCCTCCCTTGCCTTCCTCCAAAGGCTCATCATTTCTGGTGCCAACCTCACTGGAACAGTGTCACCTGATATTGGTCATTGTAATGCACTTACTGTGATTGATGTTAGCTCAAACAGTCTTGTGGGTTCTATTCCTTCAAGCATTGGAATGCTCCAAAATCTTCAGGACTTGATTTTGAACTCTAACCAGCTCACGGGGCAGATACCAAAAGAGCTTGGTGGTTGCGTCAGCCTGAAGAATCTCCTTGTATTTGATAACTGTCTCAGTGGGAGTGTTCCTGCTGAGCTTGGCAAACTATTAAACTTGGAAGTTATTCGTGCCGGTGGCAACAAAGACATTTCAGGAAAAATCCCGGATGAGCTTGGAAACTGCAAGAATTTGCTGGTGCTTGGTCTTGCTGATACTAAAATTTCTGGTTCCATCCCTGCTTCATTGGGTAAACTAAGCATGCTCCAGACGCTTTCGGTTTATACTACCATGATATCCGGTGAGATTCCACCGGATATTGGCAACTGTTCTGAGCTTGTCAATCTATTTCTGTATGAGAATGACCTCTCTGGTTCACTGCCACCAGAGTTGGGTAAGCTTCAGAAGCTGGAGAAGATATTGCTTTGGCAGAACAATCTTGTTGGGAACATTCCTGAGGAAATTGGGAACTGCAGAAGCTTGAAGACTATAGATCTCTCTTTGAATTCTGTCTCTGGAAGCATACCCCAATCTTTTGGAAACCTCTCAAATCTTGAAGATCTTATGCTTAGTAACAATAACATTTCTGGTTCAATCCCATCAGTTCTTTCCAAAGCTACAAAACTCTTGCAGTTGCAGCTTGATACTAATCAGATATCAGGCTTAATCCCAACTGAGCTGGGAATGTTGACAGAGCTAACAGTCTTTTTCGCTTGGCAGAACAAACTTGAAGGTAGCATTCCATCAGAATTGGCTGGTTGTAAGAGCCTCCAAGCTATTGATCTCTCACACAATGCTCTCACTGGTAGCTTACCTCCTGGCCTGTTTCAGCTGCAAAATTTAACGAAGCTTCTCTTGATTTCGAATGAAATTTCGGGGTCCATACCTGCGGTGATTGGAAACTGTAGTTCTCTTATCCGGCTCCGCCTCGTAAACAATAGAATCAGTGGAGAGATTCCAAAAGAAATTGGGCTCCTTGACAATCTTAGTTTCCTTGACCTGTCTGAAAACAATCTTGTTGGTCTAGTGCCAGATGAAATTGGAAAATGCAGTGCATTACAGCTGCTGAACTTAAGTAACAACAGCCTTGGAGGTACTTTACCTAGCCTTTTTTCTTCTCTCACTAGGCTTGAGGTATTGGATGCCTCTGTGAATCGATTTGTGGGTCAGATTCCTGAGAGTTATGGTAGGCTTGCTTCACTTAACAGGCTCATCCTCAGCAAGAACTCACTCTCGGGACCAATCCCCTCTTCGCTTGGTCGCTGTTCTAGCCTTCAGCTACTTGATCTTAGCAGCAACAAGCTCACTGGCACAATCCCGGAGGACCTGTTTGAAATTGAAGCTCTTGACATTGCTCTAAACCTGAGTTTCAATGCCTTGTCTGGGATAATCCCACCACAGGTTTCTGCTCTTAATAAGCTATCCATACTAGACCTCTCACACAACAAGCTTGAAGGCGACTTGTTGGCACTATCCGGGCTCGAAAATCTTGTTTCTTTGAACATCTCATACAACAATTTCACCGGCTATCTTCCTGATGAAAAGCTGTTTCGGCAGTTGTCAGCAACGGACCTGGCAGGAAACGAAGGACTGTGCTCTAGAGGTCATGACTTTTGCTTCCTCAGCAATGGTACAACAATGAGCATGCCAAAAAGTGGCGGTTTCAGGAGGTCATGGAGGCTTAAGTTGGCCATTGGCTTGCTGACAACCTTGACCATTGCCTTGACAATTTTTGGGGCTCTTGCAGTGTATCGAACACGAAAGATGATGGGAGAGGACAATGATTCCGAGATGGGAGGAGACTCATGGCCTTGGCAGTTTACTCCATTCCAGAAGGTAAATTTCTCGGTTGACCAAGTCCTGAAATGTCTGGTGGAAACCAATGTGATAGGAAAGGGATGTTCAGGAATTGTTTACCGGGCAGAAATGGAAACCGAAGACATTGCTGTAAAGAAGCTATGGCCAACAACAATAGCTACACGATACGATTGTCAAAATGACAGGTTCGGGATCAATGCAGGAGTTCGTGATTCCTTTTCAGCTGAGGTGAAGACCCTTGGCTCGATTCGCCACAAGAACATTGTTAGGTTCTTGGGTTGCTGTTGGAATCGAAACACAAGGTTGCTAATGTATGAGTACATGCCAAATGGGAGCTTGGGTGGCCTACTTCATGAAAGAAGTGGTAACTGCTTGGAATGGGACCTGAGATACCGGATAGTACTGGGAGCAGCACAGGGCCTGGCTTATTTGCACCATGACTGTGTTCCTCCAATTGTTCACAGGGACATCAAGGCCAACAACATCCTCATTGGTCCAGACTTTGAGCCCTGCATTGCTGATTTCGGGCTTGCCAAACTTGTCGATGAAGGAGACTTCGCTCGATCCTCCAACACTGTTGCTGGTTCTTATGGCTACATTGCTCCTGGTTAGTACAAATTCTTATGGCGACGTTATAAATTTCAAGTAGTATATAAACACAAAGTGGTCATAAACTGCATCACGAATAACTAAACAATTGTACATTATTCTCCCTTGCTTTTTCTGCTTCATCCACAGCAGCAACAAACAATATTAATGCTCCACATTTTCTTGGATTTGATTTACAGAATATGGATACATGATGAAGATAACAGAGAAAAGTGATGTGTACAGCTATGGTGTAGTTGTGCTAGAAGTGCTAACAGGGAAGCAACCAATTGATCCAACCATACCAGATGGCCTGCACATTGTGGATTGGGTAAGGCAGAGGAGAGGGGGAGTTGAAGTCCTGGATGCAAGCCTACGTGCCCGGCCCGAATCCGAAATTGAAGAAATGTTGCAGACACTAGGTGTGGCTTTGCTCTGCATAAACTCAACCCCAGATGACAGGCCAAACATGAAAGATGTAGCAGCCATGCTCAAAGAAATAAGGCAGGAGAGAGAAGAGTGCATGAAAGCTAACATGCTTCTCAATGGCTCTGCTGAAAATGAAGGGCGAGAAAATATCAGTTGCAGTGTAGGAACCTCATCAGCCATGGTGATGCAGCATTCTTCTTACCCTTCAAGTCACAGCACAAGCTTCTCTGCATCCTCATTGATATACACTTCTCCCCCTAATGTCAAAAACAACAGTTAACTGATCAAATAAGAAGTTATTTCAGACTTCAGCTTAGAAATTTGTTTTCTGCTTGAGTTTTTGTTTCAAATTAGGCTCAGGTTTTTCTGTGTGTAAAATTGAGGAGAAGTTTTTAATAATCAGAAGCAGCGCAAGTCACTTCTTGGTTTTTATGTAGAGGTGATCCTTGTCTTGGTTGACATTTGACTTAGTTTGACTACTGGTTATGAAGTTTGACCACTTCAAACGACGTTCCAGTGTATGTCGTTTGGGCACGTAATGTCATATGGATTATGGGCCATATCAAACAAGAAATATGTGTGGACTGGAATATAGCGAATGTAGCGAAATTCTATGGTAGAGCGACATATATAAACCATTCATGTGGACCTTTATGTTAACCACAAGATCATTTCATTAAACTTAAGTGATTTGTTCATGTGGACCATTCATGTGGACCTTTATGTTAACCACAAGATCATTTCATTAAACTTAAGTGATTTGTTCATGTGGACCTTTATGTTAGTCACAAGATCATTTCATTAAACTTAAGTGAAGTTACTATTCAGATGAATCCTGAAAGCAGACTGTAAATTGTAGAACTTTCTAAATTTCCAGAAGAAAAAAAGGAAACTTTAAAGTTACAAGATGGTCAATTAAATGGTTTACAAGCGATTGGGGAGGGAAATTTCACAAATATTGATTAGGTGTCTAGGAAGGGAGGTGAAAGAGCTCAACGACTTGAGCCCACTAACGTCAATTAAATGGTTTTAAATTTTAAAGAAAAGATTGAAAAATTTCCCATTACGTATTCTAAAAGACCTTTCGAAAACTTTAAAAAATGACAAATATAATACAATAATTGCATGTAACACAAATATTTCAATATGATCAAATATCAGACCAATAATTTATAATTAATTTAACCAACATGCAGCGATGCTAACATGATTTTGAAATTTTTTTAGTACAACATACATATATATATATATATATATATATTGAATGAGCGAGCATTATACATCCCTCCTCATATACATCATTTACGAATTAAGTTCTACAAAATACAACATCAATAATTAACAAGACAAAACAGACACTAATTAACACTTAATTGGGGTCATATTTTGACACTGCAACCCCAAAACATCTATATAATCATACACTATTTTGAACCCTCTATACGTCAGATGGTTTTTTTTTCATCTCTAAAACCAAAAGCCCTGCCATACCGACTGAACCAACCTGCGCAAAAAAGCTTGAATATTTTCAAAACGCAATGTGATCGCTTTTGGAGACAGTAATCTACATTGACTTTGACTGGAGAGAAAATCGACCAATTAACGATGAGGAGGAGCTTCAACAACCCCCCAGGCTACTCTTCACCGTCCATCTGTCCATCCATTTTCATGCATGAAAGAGAGAGAAAAAAAAGTAAGAAAAACAAAGAAGGAAGATGTGGCCTTCTGTTTCGATTTCGTTTGCTTGCTTGCTTGTCTCTCACTTTACTGTTTCTTGTGTGTGGCTGAGGCTGAGGCTGAGACTGAGGAAGGTGACGAACCATTAGTGCCAGCTGGAGTGCTTGCATGCTGGTTCCTTTGCGACTTTCCTGGCCTTTTGTTGCCCTCTGATTTTGGCCCGGCTTGCCGTACCTTCACTCCTCGTATCATCTGTATATCAATGTATAAATACACATAAAAAATTAACACTATACGAAAAATTAGTCACTAATTAATTCGTAGATTAGGAAAATACTAATAAACATACATATTTGTTACATTTCACGTCTGAGTAGATGACTATGAAGTCCCCTTCTTGGAGTCCATTGGCTCTCACAAAATCTCCTTCAACCACATAATAATAAATCCATGACAAGTTCAGAAAACAAAACAACAATTAATGACAAATTAAGAGCAAGAAAATTGCGCTATGTGCACCTGTGTTTTCTAGGAGATACATCCTGCTTTTATTGTTGGGCCAGTACCTGAAACTCCACATATAGATAGAAAAAGAGGAGCAAAATAATTACTTACAATTTCTCGGGCGGTATCGAAAACAATTAATTAACATTGATAAACAAAAAAATTGTATTGAAAAATGAACATGGCATGAACATTAATAGACTCAATATTTGTAGAATACCTGTAGCGCATGTTCCACACGTGAGAAGTCCCAATGTCTTCCATTGGGATGGAAATCCCGTCTCTTGCCTCCAGTTCTGGAAGATGGGTTTCTGCTTCCTTCTAATTAATCATTAATTAACAACACCACCAACAATTGCAATTAACAAAATGAGTATAACCAATTTCAATCAAGTAAGTGAAGAGTCAGTTCAAATGATGATTAAGGAAATTAATGACGTACTTTTGGTAACACAATCCTTCCAAGACTACCCACATCGCTCTGCTTCAACACCTTCTGCAGAAGAAACTTCAAATTCTTCTCAGATTTCCATCCCTAAAAAATAAAAAAACACAATGGCAAGCAAGTATTAATTAGTTGATCAAAATTGTTTTCTATATCATCCATCCCCAATCAATTAAGAATGTTGAGCATAACTGCACCAAATTACACTACCCACCTGGCGCCTCTCCTGCCTTTCCTGTGCAGCACTACGCCCCTGATTGTAATTCTGTGCTTGAGTACTAGCCGGCCGATCCATCTGCTGCACTGGAGGAGGCGGTGCAGCCTCTTGTGTAATGCTAGGCATCATGGCCGGGGATGGGGACGGGGCCGCAGTAGCAGTGGGCCAGTAAAACCAGTTGCCCGGATTGGCTTGTAGCGGCACAGAATTAGCGCAATTCAGATCGCCTGCGTTCCCAACAAGCCTTGTGTGCTGCTGATGAAGAAGATGATCCGACATTTGAACATTAAGGTGCTGATGTCCATGCCTATGGTGTGACACAAGTCGTCTCTGCCTCGCCATCCTCTTCTTCCTCGCCTCTTTCGTAACTGAAGACCCTAACCTCATCAATTGATGCTCACCATTCAATGGAAAATACTGGTAAGGCTGGTATTGACTTCCATACCCGGCAAAAGCCTGGGGATGATGCTGTGGAGGAGGGGCTAGGTGAATGTTATTGTCCGGGAACGACCCGTAATGGGCCGTTCCCATGCCGAACGGAGACGACGGCCAGGTAGATTGCCCAGAGTCAATCATGTGATGATATTCCGGTGATGGTTGGTATGGACCTGGCCCGTTAACATACTGGTCAGGCGCTATGTACCCCATCATTGAAGGGTAAGCTGCCGGAGGGGGCGGCGGAGGCGGAGTGGGGACAAGGATTCCCCCGGCGTGATCATAGGCTGCATGTGGCGGAGGTGCCATCCAAGGAGTTTGGGTGAAACTACAAGAAGGATTTGATTCAAGAACTCTAGGGCTTGTGTTAGGGTTAGGGTTTTGAAAAGGGTCTTGGTACTGTTGTTGTTGGGCAACAATATCGGCGTCTTTGGTGGTAAGACTATTACCGCGCCTCTTCTGGAGATGGTTGGTCTGAACCCACTCAAGCACAAGTTTAAGCAACTGCTTCATGGCCTCTTTACCTCCGCCCAACCGCCTGGCCGCGCACTCGATTGTCGACTTCTTGATCTTCACACTTCTCAAGTCTTCAGCGGAGACGGTCTCTCTGTTTGACCTCAGCCACTCCAAGAACACCATGGCCATGTCGTCCGGCTCCTTGTTCTCTTTCTGATCATCCTTCTTGTTATTCTCCTCATCACGAACTGCAACTTCTTGTTCTTGTTGTTGTTGAGAAATAATTGCAGTGGCTTCATTAGGGTCTTGTAATTGGGGGGGCGCTAGTAATTGCTGGTGGTCGTCATCTTGTTGAAACTGCTCCATCAAAAGGCTGTCACTTTGGAAAATGGAGGAGGGGTCAAAAAACTCATTGGACTCGAACAGATCCATGTACCCAAAAGTCTCCATCGCACCCATGCAATCCATGGCTCCGCCTTCCCTGCCGAGATCCGAAGGCTGAGAGATCTCCATCGAGGCGGTGGAGGACAAGGCATGCGCATCAACCGCCTTATCATCAGCCTGTGAGTACTGGTGGCGGTGGTTGTAACTGTTATGGTGGTGCTGCTGCCTTCTCTCCCCATCTTCCTCCGCGTCCGATCTCAAGATGGCCCAGGAGGCCGCGGAGGAGGACGAGGAGACCGAGGACGAGGTGGAAGATGAAGTGACCGACTTGACCGGTGCAGGGGTTGAAGATGAGGAGGAAGAAGATGACATGCATGGGAAATCAGGGAGAGGAGGGAAGTGGTCATTGTAGAAGATGGAAGGGTCATTGACATCAGCAAGGAGAGCAGTTTCTTGGTCATTGTCATCAAGCCACATCTCACTAGGGTCCACACCCAAATTATCCTCCTGATCTTCCAGTTCCTCCATGGCACCACCACCACCAAACCCATCTGAGATTGGAATATTTACATCTTTCATGTGGTGATGATGAAGATCTCCTGCATGCAGATCTTGATGATGATGAACTTGAACTTGCTTCCCCTTCATTTTTTTTCCTCAAATAACTGATTTTTTTTCCTCAAATAACCGAATTTTTTTCCCTTTCTGTTGGTATCAGATATTTTTGTGAAAGAGATAGTGGAGAGAGAGAGAGAGAAGGGTTTAAGTTTTTTTTCTGCTTCTGTGTACGGATAAGTGCAAAGAGATAGAGAGAAAGAAGATTGTATTAGATTAAGGAAGCAAAAGAGTGAAAGGGCCCGCTTTTGGTATCAAACCCTCACACAGAAGCAACATAAAGCATCTGATACTCTCTGCGCTATTAACAACACCATCAAAGATAACCACACAAATAATAATAATATCAAAACAACAATTTTATTATTTTAAAAAAACCTATTTTAAGTCATCTCACCACCACAGAAGGCGACGTCACTGCTCTCTAACCCATGAATCTGTTGATATTTAACTGGGTCATTATCTCAGAACATCGACCTCACCAAACACTAAATCTCTGCTCTACGACCGAGGTTAACAGAAAACCAGAGAGGAGATTACCAAAACCACCAGCTCTTTCTGCAAAAGTCCGGCGAGGGCAAGACAAACAGAGCAGGAGCCTCTCCAAGAATGAGAGCACGCACGCTTAAATGGAGGGAAAAAGCTCAACAGCCCCCATGTGTCTTCTGGTTTGTTCTGGGAGGTTTCATTGTATTTGCACCAACTTCTGTTTATTTCTTTTTCTCTCTTTTTATTTTTTTGGGTTTTTTTTTATAGATAAGTTCAAATGGTTTTTTCCTCGGGTTTTATTTTATTTTTCTGAGAGTAGTGGGGTTTTAATCCGAATCTCATCCCTCATTAAGTAAGAGAGAGATAGGAAGAGAAAAGAATCCAAAGAGATGGAGTGGCAGTTTTAGAGAGAGTGCAATAAAGAAGACGGATTAAAAGAAACAAGAAAACAAAACCGCGTGCCGCTACTTTCTTAGCCCTCACTCCGGATTTTGTGCCACCCGCCATACGTTCCCACCTGAATGGTACCACCATGCGGTGCCTCAGCCTTTACCATTACAATTTACAACTTCATCATTAACCCACATTTCACATTAACAGCCTCTAATTAGGGTTTTCTTCAACATACTTTTGCTAATTAAAAAAAGAAAAAAATTAACTGATCCAAGCGATAGTCCAAATTACCCTCATGGCACATTTACTAATCCGTAATCGGGTTAGGATGAATTAAACTGAGGAGTTAGAATCCAAATTCTCATTAAAATTGTTTACTAAATTATCATGAATTGGAAATTAAAGTAGTTTTATTGCTAAAATACACTTATTCTAAATAATTATTAGGTTAAAGTGAATGATAAATTTGGAATTTTAAAATTTTTGTGAGGATATAATGAGTAAAAAAAAAGGATTCCGAGCTAGTTCTCCATGAATTATAATATCACCTCCTCCCAAGAGTTCAATTCCTTCTAAATTTGTTTTGTGTGGGCCCTGCTTGCTTATGCATTCCTTTATGTGAAGTAAACACATGAATAATCAGTAATGTGAATTCAACTACTTATTTTGATTCCCATTAATGATTTGTAAACATGCCATAAATTGATCTAATTTATGGTGAGAGGATTCAAACTTTTTTGTTGTTGTTGAGAAAAAGCGATAGTAATTATTGATGAAACATATCATAGTACAAAGCCATAAACAAACCAAAATGGGTACAACATCTCCAGTGACCAAACACAATAATATGTTGATTTGATATGGAGAGAATTACGCCTAAACTAACAAATATTCAAACCCTTGATTCAGCATCTCGAAGGACTCGTACTCAAACTAACAATACATCACCACAGCGCAACGGCAAAAATGACAAATGTGGATTGCAACCAAAACTAGAATACAAACATAGCAAACTCCTAAAGAGTTCCTGAGAATTAAAATAAAAATTATAACAAACTCCTAATACTTAAAACAAGAACAGGAACATCGCTCCACATCCTCTTTGGCAACTGAAGAAATCCATAATACCATACTGGCTAAACCCTTAGTGCCGCACCGGCTAAACCCCAACCCACACAAACAGGTAACTTTCATTGAATTGAATTGAAGCCAAAACCCTGTATATGTGGGCCAAAAGCGGCAACTAAATCATGGCGACAATGGTGTTTCGCTGTGTCTGCTTCCACATCACATACGAATCAGCATAGCAACTGTTACTACCTCACTCACTTCTTCATATCACCAAAGTGATCAAAACAGTTGCATAATGCGCATAATAAGTTCATTTTATGGAAAGTGGAATGGTTATAATTCTTTGGTATTTTTTTTTCTCTATGTTTCCTCTATAAACTGTAGAGAGAGAGAGAGAGAGAGAGAGAGAGAGAGAGAGAGAGAGAGAGAGAGAGAGAGAGAGAGAGAGAGAGAGAGAATGGATCCAATGGGTTTGTAATTTTTGATTTTTGATTTTGTAATTTCTATTGGTTAGAGTTAGACTGATAATTGATGTTGAGTTTAAGAAATTTAAACAACATTAAAAATAATAATAATAAATAAATAAAGGTTAATAATTGACATAACAAGGTTTGTCTTGATTCGTGAGTGAAGCGGCAGGGAATTACCATTTGCTACTACGCGTCCATGCACTTCTGACGTAATCACGCTCGTTCGTTCAACTCATTATGTCTTTAACCTATATCTAATGTCATTCTCTGGCTCCAATTAGATTCACACCTAAACAACCCTAGCAATCCTGACAGACCAATCGAGTATCACCACGTATTCCTAATAAATCGTAGCGGTCACATGACCTGTTTTAGTTTTCGTATATGGGTGCTTCTTATTAGTTTTTAGGATGAGAGAGTTGATGACATTCGTCACAACTTTAATGGGCTTTTGTTTTCCGTACATCACAGTCGCTTTGGATTTGCTCTATTACGACTTTTTGTTTGTGGGCACTCATATGGATCTCGGTGAAGTTACCCAATAACAACTGCCACATTTGAGCTTTTTTTCATATTAAAAAAGCAATTTATCCTAAAAATTTAAGACTCAATTAACACGATGGTTTAATAAATTTAAGATATGTTTCTCTTTTAATTGTTCACAATTTTCGTATTATATTGTCAAATAAAGCACTTTACCAACAAAAACAGAGAGAGAGAGAGAGAGAGAGAGGAGAGAAACATTAAGGACAAAGTAGTGTGCATAATGGTGATCCTATTGGCTTAACTATTCTTTTGTGGTATCACTTGCTCGATTTTTTAGAAAAGTCATTTTTTGGGCAAAGGGGCAATTTAGTCTTAATCACACGCTTAAATGACAAATGATAATCATGTCGCGATGATGTTGTAATTCAATGAATATAATATATATCATCTTGTACTCTTACATAATTACAAATGATACTTTTGGCAACCAAAAAAACATAATTTTCACTAAAAAGAAAGATAATTGAAAATGATACTTATGTTTAAATGACACATTAAGTATGATAAAAAACCGAAAATTTTATCTTTCATCTTTTACCTTTATGACAGGTGACATATGATCACGAGGAAAATAAAATCTTAATGGCAAATAATCATAAGAAAAATCCGTAAAATTGTATCTTTCTTTTATTTTTTACTTTTACAGCAATGATAGGTTGCACTCATGTAACAAGGAAACCAAATCTCGATGGCAAATTAATTATGATCAAAATTCGTAAACTTTTATCTTGTGAGAATGTGAAGGTAAAGAGTCATACATTGGAAAATTTGAGAAACCTAGTAAGGGGTTATAAGGAGTTGAGCTATTTCCCCCCCATTGCCATTGGTTTTGGAGTGGAACCTCAACTTCCTTCATGGTATAGAGCAGGTAGCCCACGTATGAAAGCCCGATGACCACACGTGGGCCACCCAAAAATAATAATAATAATATCAAAATAACAAAATTTTTTAATACAAAAACTTATTTTAAGTCAGTTCATTTTTTCGATGGTTTTAATTTGCCCCGGTTGGTTATTTTTTTTTCTGAGAGTAGTGTGATTTTAATTTGAATCTCAACCCACAATCCCAAACCCATAGTAAGAAAGACAGAGAGAGGGAGAGAAGAAAAAGAATAAAAAAGAATCACTTTGGTTTTGTGCCACCCCCGCCATTTTTTCCCACCTGAATGTGCCGCCATGCGGTGCCTCACCCTTGACCAATTTTATTCACAACATCATCATTAACCCACATTTTACACACAAACCATCTATAATCATGTCGTTATTTTGGGACTCATACTTCAGTGTAAAGACGAGCTCATTATCCTATCAACGGACCTGACCTCGCACTTGCCTATAACCGAAGTAACATTGCATAATGCATGTAACAAGTTCATTTAGTGAAAATTATGAAATGGTTAAATCTCTCTTTAATATTTTTTCTCCCTATTTCTTTATGTTCTCTATAAATGTAGACAGAGAAAATGAACTGACTGGTTTGTAATTTGTTATTTTTCGATTTGATAATTGACTTTGAGTCCAAGAAATTTAAACAAATAAAAAAGGGGTTGATAATTGACATAACAAGGTTTGTCTGGATTCGTGGGTGAAGCGGCGGGCATCACCATATGCTACATGAGTCCATGTACTGGCGTAACCCTTGTTTCTCTTTCCTCTCCTCTCCTTCTGCATCTGCCAATCAAGCTGGTCCGTTTCAACTCACTTGGTCTTCTCCAATATATGACGTCGTTCTCTAACACCAGTTACATTCACACACTAAACAGATCAACCATTCATGACAGACCAATCGAGCACCACCACGTATTTGTAATAAAGTCGTAGTGGTCATGGACCCGTTTTCAGTTTTTGGTAGATGGCTGCTTCCTATTGGGTTTCGGGATGGAGTGTTCGTGCCATTTGTCACTGCGTTACATGGGATTTCTTGCTTCCGTACATCACAGTCGCTTTGAAATCACGACTTTTTGCTGGTGAACTCTCATGTGGATATGGGTGATGTTATCCAACCTTTGAACCTTTTTTTTTTTTTTTTAAATTTCTTTTAAAGGTTAATCTGGAAAATTAAAACTCAGTTGGTGTTATCCACCCTCATGACAAATTAAATTTGATCAAAATCCCATAAATTTATCTTTCATATTGTACCTTTTAACAACAATGTCTAATGACTCTATATGCTGCGAGAAAACTAAATCTTAATGGAACAATAATTATGATCAAAATCCGTAAACTTTTATCTTTCATCTTTTACTTTTACGACAATGACACGTGACACTCATGCCACGAGGAAACCCAAACCTCAATGACACATTAGTTATGATCAAAAGCCGTAATATTTTATCTTTATCATCTTTTACCTTTACGACAACGACAAATGACATTCATATCTTGAAGAAACCAAACCACAATGAAACATTAGTTGTGATAAAATTTACCTTTTATATATCCTACTTTTACAACAATGACATAATGACAATCATCTCTTACTTTTATAACACATTAGTTGTTATAAAACCCGTTAATCGAACATGAATACTACACCATACGTGTTGGCAATATGTCTGAGATAATATAGGAATGAGGTTGCTGTATTGAACAATGTAACTTCAAACAAGCAACACTGAAAACCATACATAAAACTATATTTAAAAAACAACCCAAAAAAGATGGTGAATCCAAATTAAATAAAATGTATCCTTTTGTAATTTCCTTCTTCCTTATAATCTTGTCATCCATTCTCATTTTATATCTGGTCCTTTTTTGTCACCACCACGCCGCTGACTACGAAAACCAAGCTATTATTTTATATCGGAAACCCACATGAGACTGATGTTATCCTCTGCAACTGTGATGTCAAACATTGCGTCCCCCATCTATGAAATCAACTCTTATTGGTCAAAGAGTCAATTGCAAAGACTTTCATGCCCCTCGAAGAATCACACATACGTACGTTTTCACAAGCACCAGCTGCTGCCAGCTGCCAGCTGCCAGCTGAAAGCATAACCAATGATGGTTCATTCTTCTCAGGCTGACTGAGGTGTGTTGGAATTTTGATCAAGCCTAGCACCTCAAATGAACAACAAGCACAAAGTAATAATAAAGGAGAAGAAAACTTATAAGCAACAACAGACGAGCCACTTTTGTGCTCTCTGTGTTCTACTATCGTTTGTGTCGAAAATCAAAGTGCAATCGAGCTTATCTGTATGGAACTTAATTTTATTTTAAGAAGATAGCCCAAAAGAGGCTCCTCTATTTTAGTTTGTGATGGGCTTCCTTCCTAGCCCCCCTGTTTGATTTTAATTTTTTAATTTTCTTTTTGGCGACTAGTTTCTCTCTTTCTGTTGCTTTTTTGAGGATGTATAGTATTAATAGTTCGACCTACTTATTGCAGCAGCAATTCTGATACATAGGTCCCCCATGGGATGATCTCTGTGGCAGTCTAGTCTCTGTAATGTGAACATGGCCTACTTTCTTTACTGCCAAGGCCATCAATTGTCTCTGTAATGTGAACATGTCTCTCAATATATAATTTAGGGATAATGAACGGTGATAAGTATGATGCGCGGTAAGAGAAATTGATGGCATTTAACAATAGCTGATCACAAAGAGCTCTACTTTTTTTGAGTTTGGGTTTTTCCAAATTAATAAATGAACAATGATGAGTATGAGGCATGGTAATGGAGATAATTGAGGGCATTTGACAATAACTTTTAGTGCTGCTATTTTCATCCCTCTGTCAATATTTTTCATTTACCTTATCGTCAAAATTTTGAAGACAAATTTATTCCTTTGTCAGATGACTTCTAAGAACTAGGAAAACATTATCTAACAAGTTAGCCAATCTACATGCAACTTCACTCTCGACATAACCCACACCAATTACCCAGACTCCCAATCCCCCTACAAAATTCATACCTCTCAATTAAGTTTTCTTCTATCTTCAATTCTTGCAAATTACAAATAGAAGACTGATAAGAGAATTAAAAAAGATAATGGGTAAGTAGTTTGTTTTTTCCTTTTTTACAAATTACAAATAAAGATGAGAGTAATTGTGTTCCATAAAAACTAATAGAAGGAATCAGAAAATCCCTATTATCTATTTTAATTCTAACATAAAATAAAAATTTATAAAAAGACAAATTGGCACACGCTCACGCTAGTATATATATATACAGTAAGGATTTGCCGTTTATCTTGCTCAGCATTTTTTATCGTGCAATTGATTTTTCAGTCATACAAAAGGTACGTTGCTGTGGAATTTGGATTACTTGGTGGGAACAAATTAGCATTTTCCAGGATTAATTGGTGGAAACAAATTAACATTTTATGAATGGCTCAGAGTGTGTTGGAATTTTGATTATGCTAGCACTCAAATGAACAAGTACAAAGTACTAATAAGGAGAAGAAACTATAAGGAGAGACTTGTTATTTTCTCCAAACTTCTCACATAGGCTTGCGCGGTTCACACTTTCTTTAATTGAAACATCCTTGTGGTACCCTATGGGGACCCTTATCTCTGATGTTTTAGTTTCAAGTGTAGTTTGCTTTGACATCAAACATATGATCGCCTGTTCTATATTAAAAAAAGAGGTGCAATCGGGCTTATCTGTATGGAACTTATTTTTATTTTAAAAAGATGGAACAAATTCAAGTGTTTTAAGGCCCAAAAGAGGCCATCGGGTCGTGATCCAATCAGAAAAACAGGGAGAAACTCAACCGCTAATTGAACCCGCGTTTGAATTACTTGAACCCCAAGTTTCAAGTAAGACAATCCTAAAACGCGTCGGGATCAAAAACACATGCTATATAAAGAGATATAAGAGATATAAAAGGTTAAAAAAAAAAAAAAAAAAAAAAAAAAAAAAAAAAAAAAAAAAAAAAAAAAAAAAAAAAAAAAAAAAAAAAAAAAAAAAAAAAAAAAAAAAAAAAAAAAAAAAAAAAAAAAAAAAAAAAAAAAAAAAAAAAAAAAAAAAAAAAAAAAAAAAAAAAAAAAAAAAAAAAAAAAAAAAAAAAAAAAAAAAAAAAAAAAAAAAAAAAAAAAAAAAAAAAAAAAAAAAAAAAAAAAAAAAAAAAAAAAAAAAAAAAAAAAAAAAAAAAAAAAAAAAAAAAAAAAAAAAAAAAAAAAAAAAAAAAAAAAAAAAAAAAAAAAAAAAAAAAAAAAAAAAAAAAAAAAAAAAAAAAAAAAAAAAAAAAAAAAAAAAAAAAAAAAAAAAAAAAAAAAAAAAAATATAGAGTAAGAAAATGATCTTTTCATATTCTCTTTTCCTAATGTGTTTTTCAGGAAAGACTCATGCTTACTGAGGTAAAACAGAAATGCCTGAATCTTGTTCCTCAACCAGAGATCTATCTTTGTCATTCAGACCGGCATGGTGTAATCCAATGCCAAACTGCAAGGTGTGCCTCAGGTTAAAGAACCATCTGTCGGGCTTCTTCTGGCATACTAAGAAACTGCATTGGATATTCATCTGACGTTGCCAACTTCAATAACAGAAAAGCACAAAAAAAATCAAATCAACGCAGCAGCCGAAACTGAAAAAAAAATCCAAGCTTGATTTGAATTTTGAAGATTGGACTGCGAGTGCAAGCTTCGTCTTCGCTTCTCTGTCTCTTCATTTCGCTCGCACACCACATTCCTCAGCGAGAGCAAGCTTCGTCTGTCTTCATTTGGAAAAAAAAGGACGCTCAGACCTGCCCAGGCCGCCTAGAACCGCCTAGACGCCGCCTAGACCCGCCTAGGCCGCCTAGCCGCCTAGGCCGCCTAGGCGCCGCCTAGAACCGCCCAGGAAGCCTAGACGCCGCCTAACTCCCTTATAGCATCAGAGTTGTTATCTTAGTGGAGATTTCAATAGCTGAATGACATTTGATGGTTTTCATAGAGAGAGTCCAATCCAATCCAATCCAATCAACGCAACAACCGAAACGAAAGAAAAAATTTCGAAGCTTGAATTGAGAGAGAGACAGAGAGAGAGGCTCGAGACAGAGTCTTTGAAGCTTGGAAGCGCTTATAGAGAAGGAAATGGCTGTGACTGCGAGTGCAAGCTTCGTGTTGTTTTGAATATATTTCAGAGTACAGCCGCGCGGCTACACCGTTAAAATATTCGAATATATTCAAAGCGTATAGCCGCACGGCTATTCCTTTAAAATAATCTATACTCTTTAAATATACAATTTTGTCATGTTATTTTAGGGTTTAGGGCTAAAATACCACTTTAGCTAATTAGGATAGAGTTATTTCTTCAATTATTTTATTTATACCAGTGATATTGAGGAATGAGAATTTAAATTCTTTTTGATACCTCCCATTCTAATGATTTCCAGCTATTAGCCTATTAGGCAAGAATAAAAAATATATTTTATTTATGAGAAAGAATACAGGTTAAACTCATAAATACAACAACAAAAAATAGGGATCCACCAACATTTTGGGGATAAAAGAATCTTGAATTTCAAAGTATAAAATTGCTTGTGTAAGAATTTACTTTCTAAAATGTATCCATCGTAATTATGAACTAAAGCTCAATGACAGTCTTTTTCTCATTGCACTTGATTAAAATATGAATAACAAATTAAAATTAAACACAATCTCTCCCCTCTATCAGGATTTCTACTCCCCCCAAACTTCTTTTTTGGTTGGTTTTTTTATTTGATTTTTTTTATTGTTATTTTAAAGATATAATTTTTATTCATTTTTTGGTTTTAATATAAAAATGCCATTTTGCCCCTGCATTTAACAGTAAAAATTAACAAAATTGACGGTAGGACCATTTGTCCTAACAAAAGTGAAGTTAAAGGAACACGGGAACGATTTTGGAAATTGAAAGACTCAAATGCAAATCGGGTCTAAGTTCAGGGACTAATAAAACGATTAACCCCTAGAAATTAATTCAAATACTCAAATACTAATTATTCATTAAATAAATAATAAATAATATAATTAAATAAGGCTAAGATATTACTTAATTGCAAATATTAAACTAAACAACTAATTTTGTATAATAAAAAATTCCACAAAATAATTTAAAATAATTAATTACTATTTATTAAGTAATTTATGAAATTAATAAAATATTTAAATACTAAAGAAAGAATAATTAAAACATAATTACTAATTAAAGTAACAAAAGGCTATAACTAATTTTGTGCAGTATAACCACGCGGCTATGCGTTTAAAATAGTTGAATATATTTAACCAGTATAGCCAAACGGCTATACTCTTTATATATTAATATATTTTAACGGTTTCGCCGAGCGGCCGCAAAAAAAAAAAAAAAAAAAAAAAAAAAAAAAAAAAAAAAAAAAAAAAAAAAAAAAAAAAAAAAAAAAAAAAAAAAAAAAAAAAAAAAAAAAAAAAAAAAAAAAAAAAAAAAAAAAAAAAAAAAAAAAAAAAAAAAAAAAAAAAAAAAAAAAAAAAAAAAAAAAAAAAAAAAAAAAAAAAAAAAAAAAAAAAAAAAAAAAAAAAAAAAAAAAAAAAAAAAAAAAAAAAAAAAAAAAAAAAAAAAAAAAAAAAAAAAAAAAAAAAAAAAAAAAAAAAAAAAAAAAAAAAAAAAAAAAAAAAAAAAAAAAAAAAAAAAAAAAAAAAAAAAAAAAAAAAAAAAAAAAAAAAAAAAAAAAAAAAAAAAAAAAAAAAAAAAAAAAAAAAAAAAACTACGCCCCTGATTGTAATTCTGTGCTTGAGTACTAGCCGGCCGATCCATCTGCTGCACTGGAGGAGGCGGTGCAGCCTCTTGTGTAATGCTAGGCATCATGGCCGGGGATGGGGACGGGGCCGCAGTAGCAGTGGGCCAGTAAAACCAGTTGCCCGGATTGGCTTGTAGCGGCACAGAATTAGCGCAATTCAGATCGCCTGCGTTCCCAACAAGCCTTGTGTGCTGCTGATGAAGAAGATGATCCGACATTTGAACATTAAGGTGCTGATGTCCATGCCTATGGTGTGACACAAGTCGTCTCTGCCTCGCCATCCTCTTCTTCCTCGCCTCTTTCGTAACTGAAGACCCTAACCTCATCAATTGATGCTCACCATTCAATGGAAAATACTGGTAAGGCTGGTATTGACTTCCATACCCGGCAAAAGCCTGGGGATGATGCTGTGGAGGAGGGGCTAGGTGAATGTTATTGTCCGGGAACGACCCGTAATGGGCCGTTCCCATGCCGAACGGAGACGACGGCCAGGTAGATTGCCCAGAGTCAATCATGTGATGATATTCCGGTGATGGTTGGTATGGACCTGGCCCGTTAACATACTGGTCAGGCGCTATGTACCCCATCATTGAAGGGTAAGCTGCCGGAGGGGGCGGCGGAGGCGGAGTGGGGACAAGGATTCCCCCGGCGTGATCATAGGCTGCATGTGGCGGAGGTGCCATCCAAGGAGTTTGGGTGAAACTACAAGAAGGATTTGATTCAAGAACTCTAGGGCTTTGTGTTAGGGTTAGGGTTTTGAAAAGGGTCTTGGTACTGTTGTTGTTGGGCAACAATATCGGCGTCTTTGGTGGTAAGACTATTACCGCGCCTCTTCTGGAGATGGTTGGTCTGAACCCACTCAAGCACAAGTTTAAGCAACTGCTTCATGGCCTCTTTACCTCCGCCCAACCGCCTGGCCGCGCACTCGATTGTCGACTTCTTGATCTTCACACTTCTCAAGTCTTCAGCGGAGACGGTCTCTCTGTTTGACCTCAGCCACTCCAAGAACACCATGGCCATGTCGTCCGGCTCCTTGTTCTCTTTCTGATCATCCTTCTTGTTATTCTCCTCATCACGAACTGCAACTTCTTGTTCTTGTTGTTGTTGAGAAATAATTGCAGTGGCTTCATTAGGGTCTTGTAATTGGGGGGGCGCTAGTAATTGCTGGTGGTCGTCATCTTGTTGAAACTGCTCCATCAAAAGGCTGTCACTTTGGAAAATGGAGGAGGGGTCAAAAAACTCATTGGACTCGAACAGATCCATGTACCCAAAAGTCTCCATCGCACCCATGCAATCCATGGCTCCGCCTTCCCCTGCCGAGATCCGAAGGCTGAGAGATCTCCATCGAGGCGGTGGAGGACAAGGCATGCGCATCAACCGCCTTATCATCAGCCTGTGAGTACTGGTGGCGGTGGTTGTAACTGTTATGGTGGTGCTGCTGCCTTCTCTCCCCATCTTCCTCCGCGTCCGATCTCAAGATGGCCCAGGAGGCCGCGGAGGAGGACGAGGAGACCGAGGACGAGGTGGAAGATGAAGTGACCGACTTGACCGGTGCAGGGGTTGAAGATGAGGAGGAAGAAGATGACATGCATGGGAAATCAGGGAGAGGAGGGAAGTGGTCATTGTAGAAGATGGAAGGGTCATTGACATCAGCAAGGAGAGCAGTTTCTTGGTCATTGTCATCAAGCCACATCTCACTAGGGTCCACACCCAAATTATCCTCCTGATCTTCCAGTTCCTCCATGGCACCACCACCACCAAACCCATCTGAGATTGGAATATTTACATCTTTCATGTGGTGATGATGAAGATCTCCTGCATGCAGATCTTGATGATGATGAACTTGAACTTGCTTCCCCTTCATTTTTTTCCTCAAATAACTGATTTTTTTTCCTCAAATAACCGAATTTTTTCCCTTTCTGTTGGTATCAGATATTTTTGTGAAAGAGATAGTGGAGAGAGAGAGAGAGAAGGGTTTAAGTTTTTTTTCTGCTTCTGTGTACGGATAAGTGCAAAGAGATAGAGAGAAAGAAGATTGTATTAGATTAAGGAAGCAAAAGAGTGAAAGGGCCCGCTTTTGGTATCAAACCCTCACACAGAAGCAACATAAAGCATCTGATACTCTCTGCGCTATTAACAACACCATCAAAGATAACCACACAAATAATAATAATATCAAAACAACAATTTTATTATTTTAAAAAAACCTATTTTAAGTCATCTCACCACCACAGAAGGCGACGTCACTGCTCTCTAACCCATGAATCTGTTGATATTTAACTGGGTCATTATCTCAGAACATCGACCTCACCAAACACTAAATCTCTGCTCTACGACCGAGGTTAACAGAAAACCAGAGAGGAGATTACCAAAACCACCAGCTCTTTCTGCAAAAGTCCGGCGAGGGCAAGACAAACAGAGCAGGAGCCTCTCCAAGAATGAGAGCACGCACGCTTAAATGGAGGGAAAAAGCTCAACAGCCCCCATGTGTCTTCTGGTTTGTTCTGGGAGGTTTCATTGTATTTGCACCAAACTTCTGTTTATTTCTTTTTCTCTCTTTTTATTTTTTGGGTTTTTTTTTATAGATAAGTTCAAATGGTTTTTTCCTCGGGTTTTATTTTATTTTTCTGAGAGTAGTGGGGTTTTAATCCGAATCTCATCCCTCATTAAGTAAGAGAGAGATAGGAAGAGAAAAGAATCCAAAGAGATGGAGTGGCAGTTTTAGAGAGAGTGCAATAAAGAAGACGGATTAAAAGAAACAAGAAAACAAAACCGCGTGCCGCTACTTTCTTAGCCCTCACTCCGGATTTTGTGCCACCCGCCATACGTTCCCACCTGAATGGTACCACCATGCGGTGCCTCAGCCTTTACCATTACAATTTACAACTTCATCATTAACCCACATTTCACATTAACAGCCTCTAATTAGGGTTTTCTTCAACATACTTTTGCTAATTAAAAAAAGAAAAAAATTAACTGATCCAAGCGATAGTCCAAATTACCCTCATGGCACATTTACTAATCCGTAATCGGGTTAGGATGAATTAAACTGAGGAGTTAGAATCCAAATTCTCATTAAAATTGTTTACTAAATTATCATGAATTGGAAATTAAAGTAGTTTTATTGCTAAAATACACTTATTCTAAATAATTATTAGGTTAAAGTGAATGATAAATTTGGAATTTTAAAATTTTTGTGAGGATATAATGAGTAAAAAAAAAGGATTCCGAGCTAGTTCTCCATGAATTATAATATCACCTCCTCCCAGAGTTCAATTCCTTCTAATTGTTTTGTGTGGGCCCTGCTTGCTTATGCATTCCTTTATGTGAAGTAAACACATGAATAATCAGTAATGTGAATTCAACTACTTATTTTGATTCCCATTAATGATTTGTAAACATGCCATAAATTGATCTAATTTATGGTGAGAGGATTCAAACTTTTTTGTTGTTGTTGAGAAAAAAGCGATAGTAATTATTGATGAAACATATCATAGTACAAAGCCATAAACAAACCAAAATGGGTACAACATCTCCAGTGACCAAACACAATAATATGTTGATTTGATATGGAGAGAATTACGCCTAAACTAACAAATATTCAAACCCTTGATTCAGCATCTCGAAGGACTCGTACTCAAACTAACAATACATCACCACAGCGCAACGGCAAAAATGACAAATGTGGATTGCAACCAAAAACTAGAATACAAAACATAGCAAACTCCTAAAGAGTTCCTGAGAATTAAAATAAAAATTATAACAAACTCCTAATACTTAAAACAAGAAACAGGAACATCGCTCCACATCCTCTTTGGCAACTGAAGAAATCCATAATACCATACTGGCTAAACCCTTAGTGCCGCACCGGCTAAACCCCAACCCACACAAACAGGTAACTTTCATTGAATTGAATTGAAGCCAAAACCCTGTATATGTGGGCCAAAAGCGGCAACTAAATCATGGCGACAATGGTGTTTCGCTGTGTCTGCTTCCACATCACATACGAATCAGCATAGCAACTGTTACTACCTCACTCACTTCTTCATATCACCAAAGTGATCAAAACAGTTGCATAATGCGCATAATAAGTTCATTTTATGGAAAGTGGAATGGTTATAATTCTTTGGTATTTTTTTTCTCTATGTTTCCTCTATAAACTGTAGAGAGAGAGAGAGAGAGAGAGAGAGAGAGAGAGAGAGAGAGAGAGAGAGGAGAGAGAGAGAGAGAGAGAGAGAGAATGGATCCAATGGGTTTGTAATTTTTGATTTTTGATTTTGTAATTTCTATTGGTTAGAGTTAGACTGATAATTGATGTTGAGTTTAAGAAATTTAAACAACATTAAAAATAATAATAATAAATAAATAAAGGTTAATAATTGACATAACAAGGTTTGTCTTGATTCGTGAGTGAAGCGGCAGGGAATTACCATTTGCTACTACGCGTCCATGCACTTCTGACGTAATCACGCTCGTTCGTTCAACTCATTATGTCTTTAACCTATATCTAATGTCATTCTCTGGCTCCAATTAGATTCACACCTAAACAACCCTAGCAATCCTGACAGACCAATCGAGTATCACCACGTATTCCTAATAATCGTAGCGGTCACATGACCTGTTTTAGTTTTCGTATATGGGTGCTTCTTATTAGTTTTTAGGATGAGAGAGTTGATGACATTCGTCACAACTTTAATGGGCTTTTGTTTCCGTACATCACAGTCGCTTTGGATTGCTCTATTACGACTTTTTGTTTGTGGGCACTCATATGGATCTCGGTGAAGTTACCCAATAACAAACTGCCACATTTGAGCTTTTTTTCATATTAAAAAAGCAATTTATCCTAAAATTTAAGACTCAATTAACACGATGGTTTAATAAATTTAAGATATGTTTCTCTTTTAATTGTTCACAATTTTCGTATTATATTGTCAAATAAAGCACTTTACCAACAAAAACAGAGAGAGAGAGAGAGAGAGAGAGAGAAACAATTAAGGACAAAGTAGTGTGCATAATGGTGATCCTATTGGCTTAACTATTCTTTTGTGGTATCACTTGCTCGATTTTTAGAAAAGTCATTTTTTGGGCAAAAGGGCAATTTAGTCTTAATCACACGCTTAAATGACAAATGATAATCATGTCGCGATGATGTTGTAATTCAATGAATAGATAATATATATCATCTTGTACTCTTACAATAATTACAAATGATACTTTTGGCAACCAAAAAAAACATAATTTTCACTAAAAAGAAAGATAATTGAAAATGATACTTATGTTTAAAATGACACATTAAGTATGATAAAAAACCGAAAATTTTATCTTTCATCTTTTACCTTTATGACAGGTGACATATGATCACGAGGAAAATAAAATCTTAATGGCAAATTAATCATAAGAAAAATCCGTAAAATTGTATCTTTCATTTTTTTACTTTTACAGCAATGATAGGTTGCACTCATGTAACAAGGAAACCAAATCTCGATGGCAAATTAATTATGATCAAAATTCGTAAACTTTTATCTTGTGAGAATGTGAAGGTAAAGAGTCATACATTGGAAACTTGAGAAACCTAGTAAGGGGTTATAAGGAGTTGAGCTATTTCCCCCATTGCCAATTGGTTTTGGAGTGGAACCTCAACTTCCTTCATGGTATCAGAGCAGGTAGCCCACGTATGAAAGCCCGATGACCACACGTGGGCCACCCAACAAATAATAATAATAATATCAAAATAACAAAATTTTTATAATACAAAAACTTATTTTAAGTCAGTTCATTTTTTCGATGGTTTTAATTTGCCCCGTTTGGTTAATGTTTTTTTGTCTGAGAGTAGTGTGATTTTAATTTGAATCTCAACCCACAATCCAAACACATAGTAAGAAAGACAGAGAGAGGGAGAGGAAGAAAAAGAATAAAAAAGAATCACTTTGGATTTTGTGCCACCCGCCATTTGTTCCCACCTGAATGTGCCGCCATGCGGTGCCTCAGCCTTGACCAATTTTATTCACAACATCATCATTAACCCACATTTTACACAAACCATCTATAATCATGGTCGTTATTTTGGGACTCATACTTCAGTGTAAAGGACGAGCTCATTATCCTTATCAACGGACCTGACTCGCACTTGCATATAACCGAAGTAATAAATTGCATAATGCATGTAACAAGTTCATTTTAGTGAAAATTATGAAATGGTTAAATCTCTCTTTAATATTTTATTCTCCCTATTTCTTTATGTTTTCTCTATAAAATGTAGACAGAGAAAATGAACTGACTGGTTTGTAATTTGTTATTTTCGATTTGATAATTGACTTTGAGTCCAAGAAATTTAAACAATTAAAAAAAGGGGGGGTTGATAATTGACATAACAAGGTTTGTCTGGATTCGTGGGTGAAGCGGCGGGCATCACCATATGCTACAATGAGTCCATGTACTGGCGTAACCCTTGTTTCTCTTTCTCTCTCCTTCTGCATCTGCCAATCAAGCTGGTCCGTTTCAACTCACTTGGTCTTCTCCAATATATGACGTCGTTCTCTAACACCAGTTACATTCACACCTAAACAGATCAACCATTCATGACAGACCAATCGAGCACCACCACGTATTTGTAATAAGTCGTAGTGGTCATGGACCCGTTTCAGTTTTGGTAGATGGCTGCTTCCTATTGGGTTTCGGGATGGGAGTGTTCGTGCCATTTGTCACTGCGTTACATGGGATTTCTTGCTTCCGTACATCACAGTCGCTTTGAAATCACGACTTTTTGCTGGTGAACTCTCATGTGGATATGGGTGATGTTATCCAACCTTTGAACCTTTTTTTCTTTTTAATTTCTTTTAAAGGTTAATCTGGAAAATTTAAAACTCAGTTGGTGTTATCCACCCTCATGACAAATTAAATTTGATCAAAATCCATAAATTTATCTTTCATATTGTACTTTTACAACAATGTCTAATGACTCTTATGCTGCGAGAAAACTAAATCTTAATGGAACAATAATTATGATCAAAATCCGTAAACTTTTATCTTTCATCTTTTACTTTTACGACAATGACACGTGACACTCATGCCACGAGGAAACCAAACCTCAATGACACATTAGTTATGATCAAAAGCCGTAATATTTTATCTTTCATCTTTTACCTTTACGACAACGACAAATGACATTCATATCTTGAAGAAACCAAACCACAATGAAACATTAGTTGTGATAAAATTTACCTTTTATCCCTTACTTTTACAACAATGACATATGACAATCATCTCTTACTTTTATAACACATTAGTTGTTATAAAACCCGTTAATCGAACATGAATACTACACCATACGTGTTGGCAATATGTCTGAGATAATATAGGAATGAGGTTGCTGTATTGAACAATGTAACTTCAAACAAGCAACACTGAAAACCATACATAAAACTATATTTAAAAAAACCCAAAAAAGATGGTGAATCCAAATTAAAATAAAATAGTATCATTTTTGTAATTTCCTTCTTCCTTATAATCTTGTCATCCATTCATTTTATATCTGGTCCTTTTTTGTCACCACCGCCGCTGACTACGAAAACCAAGCTATTATTTTATATCGGAAACCCACATGAGACTGATGTTATCCTCTGCAACTGTGATGTCAAACATTGCGTCCCCATCTATGAAATCAACTCTTATTGGTCAAAGAGTCAATTGCAAAGACTTTCATGCCCCTCGAAGAATCACACATACGTACGTTTCACAAGCACCCAGCTGCTGCCAGCTGCCAGCTGCCAGCTGAAAGCATAACCAATGATGGTTCATTCTTCTCAGGCTGACTGAGGTGTGTTGGAATTTTGATCAAGCCTAGCACTCAAATGAACAACAAGCACAAAGTAATAATAAAGGAGAAGAAAACTTATAAGCAACAACAGACGAGCCACTTTTGTGCTCTCTGTGTTCTACTATCGTTTGTGTCGAAAATCAAAGTGCAATCGAGCTTATCTGTATGGAACTTAATTTTATTTTAAGAAGATAGCCCAAAAGAGGCTCCTCTATTTTAGTTTGTGATGGGCTTCCTTCCTAGCCCCCCTGTTTGATTTTAATTTTTTAATTTTCTTTTGGCGACTAGTTTCTCTCTTTCTGTTGCTTTTTTGAGGATGTATAGTATTAATAGTTCGACCTACTTATTGCAGCAGCAATTCTGATACATAGGTCCCCCATGGGATGATCTCTGTGGCAGTCTAGTCTCTGTAATGTGAACATGGCCTACTTTCTTTACTGCCAAGGCCATCAATTGTCTCTGTAATGTGAACATGTCTCTCAATATATAATTTAGGGATAATGAACGGTGATAAGTATGATGCGCGGTAATAGAGATAATTGATGGCATTTAACAATAGCTGATCACAAAGAGCTCTACTTTTTTTGAGTTTGGGTTTTTCCAAATTAATAAATGAACAATGATGAGTATGAGGCATGGTAATGGAGATAATTGAGGGCATTTGACAATAACTTTTTAGTGCTGCTATTTTCATCCCTCTGTCATATTTTTTCATTTACCTTATCGTCAAAATTTTGAAGACAAATTTATTCCTTTGTCAGATGACTTCTAAGAACTAGGAAAACATTTATCTAACAAGTTAGACAATCTACATGCAACTTCACTCTCGACATAACCCAACCAATTACCCAGACTCCCAATCCCCCTACAAAATTCATACCTCTCAATTAAGTTTTCTTCTATCTTCAATTCTTGCAAATTACAAATAGAAGACTGATAAGAGAATTAAAAAAGATAATGGGTAAGTAGTTGTTTTTCCTTTTTACAAATTACAAATAAAGATGATGAGTAATTGTGTTCCATAAAAAACTAGAGAAGGAATCAGAAAATCCCTATTATCTATTTTAATTCTAACATAAAATAAAAAATTTATAAAAAGACAAATTGGCACACGCTCACGCTAGTATATATATACAGTAAGGATTTGCCGTTTATCTTGCTCAGCATTTTTATCGTGCAATTGATTTTTCAGTCATACAAAAGGTACGTTGCTGTGGAATTTGGATTACTTGGTGGGAACAAATTAGCATTTTCAGGATTAATTGGTGGAAACAAATTAACATTTTATGAATGGCTCAGAGTGTGTTGGAATTTTGATTATGCTTAGCACTCAAATGAACAAGTACAAAGTACTAATAAAGGAGAAGAAAACTATAAGGAGAGACTTGTTATTTTCTCCAAACTTCTCACATAGGCTTGCGCGGTTCACACTTTCTTTAATTGAAACATCCTTGTGGTACCCTATGGGGACCCTTATCTCTGATGTTTTAGTTCAAGTGTAGTTTGCTTTGACATCAAACATATGATCGCCTGTTCTATATTAAAAAAAGAGGTGCAATCGGGCTTATCTGTATGGAACTTATTTTTATTTTAAAAAGATGGAACAAATTCAAGTGTTTTAAGGCCCAAAAGAGGCCATCGGGTCGTGATCCAATCAAGAAAACAGGGAGAAACTCAACCGCTAATTGAACCCGCGTTTGAATTACTTGAACCCCAAGTTTCAAGTAAGACAATCCTAAACGCGTCGGGATCAAAACACCTGCTATATAAAGAGATATAAAGAGATATAAAGATAGAGAGGCCTTAGGTCTTCGTTTTCTTTGACTTCTCTTAGCTTTGCGCGGTACCGGAGCAGAGCATCCATCAGGTGAGTTACTCCTTCCCTCTTCTTAGTCATATTTTCTTTAGTTTTGAGGTTTTTTCTTCCGTTTTTTTTGTGTCAACTAGGTATCTCAAACTGCCAATCCAAAACTTAACCCATCGTAATGACAAGTTCCACATAAAAAGTTAGCGAATCCTTACTTAGTTAGGTTTTTGGTTCCTTACTATGTTAGGGTTTTTGGTTACTTACCTGTTTGTCTAGACTCTAATCCTATTATAATTGAGATTTATTTCATATTGTAATTTAGGGTTGTTTTCTATTGTAATTTAGATTTATTTCCTATTTTATTTAGGGTTGTACTTCCTTATAAATACCTCCTTATTGGAGAAGAATACATATCTGAAAATTTGCCCTACTTTGTTTGACTTTCATTCTTATTGTTAACATTCTCAACTGTTATTGTTTTGCCTTGAAGTTGTTATTTGCAGGACAGGCTGCTCAACCGTTGTTTCTGTTGTTGCTGTAATTGATCCTCATAATGGAAGATCGTCATGAGACTCCGGATAAGAACATTGAGTTGTGGAAAATTAAGAAGCTCATCAAGGGGCTTGAAGCTGCAAGGGGGGCAATGGCACCAGCATGATTTCTCTCATCGTACCTCCCCGCGATAAAATACCTCAAGTTGCGAAGATGCTCAGTGAAGAATTAGGATCCGCTTCCAACATCAAAAGCAGGGTGAATCGTCAATCTGTTCAAGGAGCAATTGCATCTGCTCAGCAGCGGCTCAAGCTTTACAACAAGGTTCCTCCTAATGGGCTTGTTCTGTATACGGGAACAATTGTTACGGAAGATGGCAAGGAAAAGAAGGTCACGATTGATTTTGAGCCTTCCAAGCCCATCAATGTGTCTCTTTACCTCTGTGACAACAAGTTCCATACTGAAGCTCTGACTGTTCTCTTAGAATCTGATGAGAAATTTGGTTTCATTATCATGGATGGTAAGGAGTCTCTGTTTGGAACATTGAGTGGTAATGTAAGGGAGGTGCTTCACAGATATCTTGTTCACCTCCCAAAGAAACATGCAAGAGGAGGGCAATCAGCTGCTCGATTTGCTCGTATTGGACAAGAGGCCCGCGACAACCATGTTACCAAGACAGCAGAGCTTGCCACAAACCTTTTTATTGATCCAGTCACCAATCAGCCCAATGTTAAAGGATTAATACTGGCAGGATCAGCTGACTTCAAAACTAAGCTTAGTGAGTCAGGTAGGTTTGATCCTCGTCTGCGGGTCAAAATACTGAAAGTTGTGGATATTTCTTATGGAGGAGAGGAAGGTTTTAATCAGGCGATTAAGATGTCTGAAGAGATTCTGTCCAATGTGAAATTTATACAGGAGCAGCACTTGTTAGGCAAATACTTTGAGGAAGTTAACCAGGATACAGGAAAGTATGTTGTTGGTGTAGATGACACACTAAAAGCTTTGGAGATGGGTGCTATTAAGATACTCATTGTGTATGAAAATCTGGTGATCAATAGGTATGTGTTAAAGAACTCCAAGACTGATGAGATTTTTGTTAAACAGTTGAACGAGGAGGAGGAAAACAATCAAAGCAACTTTCGAGATCCTGTCACCTCCGACCAACTAGAGATTCAGGAGAAGATGTCACTGCTAGAGTGGCTTGCTGATGAGTACAAGAACTTTGGTTGTACTCTTGAGTTTGTCACCAACAAATCACAAGAGGGGTCACAGTTCTGTCGAGGTTTCGGGGGGATTGGAGGAATTCTGCGGTACCAGCTCGATATGAGGTCATTCGATGAGTTTGCTGATGATGAAGTTGAGGAAGACGGGGAAGTTTACGATGTTGGAGAAGCTGAAGATGATTCTGAATAGGAATTAATGAAGTATTCCCCAATGCTGGTGCAGGAAGGCAGGGGTGAAAAGGCCTGCACCAGTGCGCATGTGGCTGTGGCGGCTGCGGCTCGTGCTCCTGAGTGGTGTTCAAAAAATTTTTTCAGGCTCGACCAAGGTTTCTATATATTTATTCTCTGCTAGCTTCTTCAAATTGCATCCTTTTATTTATTTTGTATTGACTAGTTCCTTTATCATTTATTTCTTAAAGGACATTGCATCTTCATCTGGTCCCGGAAAGCTTGATATGGTGATTGGATTTGAATCACAAAAAGGTGGGGTTGGAAAAGCCTGCACCAAAGTTGTTGCTGCTCCAGAGAGCTGCTCAAAAGATTTCTCAGGCTTGATCAAGGTTTATATTTCTACTCTCTCTACATCATATGACATTATTTTCTTTTTCAATGACTGGTTGCTTAATCATAGTTTATTTCTTGAAGGGCACTGCATTGTTATCTGATCCTGAAAAGCTTGATGTGGTGATTTCTTCTAGATCACAAAAGGGGAACTGGAACAGAACAATTAGGACATTATGCAGAGAGCGCCTCTTTTTTTGGATGATCAAGTGTCTTTTTTGCTTATGTGGTTTTTTTACAACTTAATTAGTATTATAACCAAACATTATTATTATGACTATTTGTTTTTTTTTGTTATTTTTTTTTTTTTTTTTTTTTTTTTTTTTTTTTTTTTTTTTTTTTTTTTAAATGGATGGATCGATGTTTCTTTTCAACAATTAATTTCATACTCTGAGATGCTATATAACTATGTGATGACTTTTGTTGGTTATGGTTTGCAAATAAAATTTTCCCTGTGATTTAAACTGAATCAAAGCTCCCCATATATAATGTATCCTTCAATCGAGGAATCCCTCAAATATCAAATGTCTTGTAAATAAATAAAAAAAGCAGCAAATTAAAAGAAACCTTCTAGAATAGTGGACATGGTACTAGTCCAGTTGTAGAAAGGTTCCCAAAGTTTATTAGTTCTAAATTTTGAAGGTCACAACTTACAGAGCTTCATGCAATTGGGTAAATTTGATGAACCTAATAATTTATTTGTAAATTAAAACCTAAACATTAGTATTACAGCAGCAAGTCGGAGGTTCAGTCCCAAATCCCATACAGGCGCCTCCCTTGGGATGCTGCTTGGCTATGCAAGCCCCATTGCAGTCTTTGAATTCTGAACATGGTCCCAGACAAACAACTGGTGCTCTTATTGCCCCTACTGGCCCTGCCACTATTAATCCATTCAAAATTAAGTCAAAAATTACAGCATTAATGATAAGTGGCCTAGAAAATTAGTGTGCATTAGATACATGATTAGTATTAATTAAGTAGTTCATAAGAGATTTGAGGAGCCTAATTACCTGAAGCCAAAAGCAAAGCAATGCAGAGAAAGCCAACCAAGTTCTGAACCGCAGAAGAAAGCTTGCCAGCGGCCATCTCTAATTCCTTTGTTGATGAAAAATGAAATAATTTGTATGTTTTTATTTACACAAGCGATAGTCTAAAAGGGCGATATATATAAACTTTCCTACATTGATATCAGATTTTGTTGCTTTTGGAGCGTTTCTTTTCCTATATTATATGGTAAGGTTTTAAAAGTCCATAGACAATATCCAAACTTGCCTAAATATCAAATTAAAATATCAATAGGGTATGAGTTGGATTGGCTCATGCCTTTTGTATACTCCTAAGTGGTATCAGGTTCAAGCCCCCACGGTACCCGTGTGTGTGAATTTTTCCCCCTCTCCCTTCCTAATTTAGAAAAAAAGATTAAAAAAATAAATATTAATTTAGAATGTATGGTTAATGGTTGAAATTCAAAGAATACAAAAACAGTTAGGAAGATAAAGTAAAAATTTACAGAAAATCTGCACTCTGACTCTGAGTTCTGGCAATGCATCCTTCTAACTTCAAACCCAAGCCATATATCTGATGAATGTGGTGGTCAATGAATTGTTTATTTATTTATAGCAGTAGGTCCACACTTGGCCCTTGTCAGTCAGCTAGCTGTCTTTGTATCAGATATACACGTGTCATCATCTGATTGAATCTGAACAAGCAATATTATATATCCACGGTCACAAGCTGGAGTAGAAGCAGCTACTCTGTTTGCTCTGTTTTGATGAAAATTCAAACAGCTAGAGCTAGTCTTCAATGCATGCCATTAGTCTTTCTGGCAACAATTGGAACTGATTTTGGTTCGAAATATATTGTGGTTTGTTGATTTTCTTGTGAACTTTTAAAAAAAGCACTTTTAGGCTTAAGCTAATGAAGGCTCTAGCTAAAGTAAATCATAAACAGTGATGAGCCTGGGAAATATTAGAACGCTAGCTACCAAAGCCAGCATTTAACCTTATTTACTACACCCAACTGCCCCCCACCGCTGTTTTTGCCTTTATAAGCAAACCCTCAAACCCTTCTCCACAAACCAAGTGACCTAAAGAGAACACAAGTACTCAAAAACAGAGAGAGAGAGAGAGAGAGAGAGAGAGAGAGAGAGAGAGAAGAAACAGAGAGATGGCAAGGTGGTGCATTGTGCTGGTTCTTGCTCTAGTTGTAGCTCACACTACAGCTAGAAACGTGCCTACAGCGAATGACGCTGGTTTCAAAGACCAAAAGAACTTCCTCGGTGGCGTTGGTGGCTTCTCTGGTATTGGCAGCAATGGGCTTCCATTTGCGGGAGCAGGGGCTGGTGTTGGTGGTAATCTTGGCGGCGGACTTGGTGGCGGCGCTGGGATAGGCGGAGTCGCCGGGCTTGGTGGTGGTACTGGTGGAATCGGTGACTTGGGCGGTGCAGGCGGCTTGGGTGGTCTAGGCGGCTTAGGAGGCGGCACCGGAGGCCTGGGTGGTCTAGGCGGCTTAGGAGGCGGCACCGGAGGCTTGGGGGGTCTTGGTGGAGTAGGCGGTGCTGGCGGCATTGGTGGTGGTGTTGGTGGCGGAGTTGGTGGCGGTGTTGGTGGTGGAAGTGGTGTTCTTCCCTACCCTTGAAGATGTAGTTCAAATATGGGATTGATTGTGTTGTGTGTTTACCTCTTTATGGGATTAATTTGTTAAAGTTTAGCTGTTTTAGTGTTTGGCAGTTAAGTTAGTTGTGTGAGATCATCACTCATGAGCTAAGGGTATTTTCTTAAATATTTCGTTTGTGTCTTCCTAATCCTAGTTACTAATCAGTCAAACAATATTATATCAAGAAAATGTTTCCTTGTGCCTTATTAATATTATATCAAGAAAATGTTTGATCTTTATCTTTCGTATTAAACCAGTAAATGTTTCTGTTCTAACAAAAGTTCTCCCAGAAAGAAAAGAAAGAAAAAACATTCCGAGAATTCATCTGCATAAATATTTCATAATGGAAGCAATCGTAGTCGTGAAGGTCATGATCATCAGAACCATCACCAAAAAGGTCATTTACCAGAATCCCGATAGAACACCATTAGCGATGACCTCCTAGGAAGTTCTCGTGTTGCGTCCCTTTTTTTCCTCATAAAGAAAAAATAGAACATCATTAACTTGACCAAGAAATGGACATTGTTTCTTCTTTTTTTTTCTTGCTACAATAAATGAACGATAAATTGTTCCAGAAAAATGCAGCATTTCTCGTACGTCTATTTTTTATTGTGGCAATCTTGCCTACCATCAATTCATCAAAGCAAAATCACCCACTTGACCAACCTAGCATTAACTTGGTCGATTGAAAGAGCTCTAGGCCATGAATGAGTTCATGTTGCAATGCTGGGTTTGAGTCTGGAGCACCAGTGCGCAATAACTCTCCATCTCTGTCACTGACAAAAATGTGTGGAACCCAGTAAAGATCGAGACTGAACACATAATGTGTGAAAAATTTAATACGTCTGGTAAATTTTTTTTATTTAAAAAGAAATAAAACCATAAATGAGGTGACCCCCGTGTTAGCTTGGATGGCAGCTCAATTATTGAGTGAATTGAATTAGTAACCAGAAAAGCATCCACCCTCTACAGAAAACAACAACCACCTTCTGCTTCTACTATAATGCATAGCCATAGTTAGGAGAAAGACTAACATCAAACGGGATATTACTATTTTACTATTCGGGCCAATAACATTATGACACGTGTGATAATACTTTCATTTGGCATATTGACCGGAGATAACAAAACAATTATATCCCCACTGCAACTAAGTTTTTCACCATAGGTAGCCAGGTCGATCTCCGTGTTTTGGTTGTGATTTTTTTCTTCTTTTCTTTTTTTCGTTGAGAAGCTATTTGCAGTAAAACAACATGCATGTAGATGTAGTTGAGAGATTGAGCACGTATATAATATATACATGTTTCCTTCATGATAGCACAAAAAGCATTCCATGGGCCCATGTTTTTTGTTTCCTTAAATCTGTCTTCATTTAATCAAGGATAAGGTACAAGTGATTCAATTATCAACAACATTAGTGTAATAAATAAATACTAATCTCCCTTTCTCTTGAAACTTTTAATTTAAGAGATGCGTGACCACATAAGGATAAGGTCATGAATATTTTGTTTAATCATAGGCTCAAAAAGCACTTTTTGTTGGGCAATTGATCTGGGACAAGCACTTGAAGATAGGTTTCTTTCTACAGGCTAGCTGCATCAGTATGAGCACATCCACAAGGGAAATAATTGAAGGCCAAATTGGGTCAAATTTATAAGTCCATGTCCAACTTTCCTCAATACGTTTGTGATTATCAAAAAGTTTATTACTTACTGTTACTACTTATAATTACCTGACTAATTATGTCACAAACTGCACACAATAAGTTTAATTTCCGTATGTTACACTAATCTCTTACTGAACGTATATAAACACTCATCATCCACCTATAAAAGCTATAGTAAGAAAGAATAGGCCAAATCAAATCAAATCAAACCAAACCATGAGCACCATGTCAAGCAACACGGTTTTCTTACTTGTAACAACGCTGTTAGCCAAGGCTGCTCAATGCAACGCTAACTTTCCTTATTATTTTGGTGACTTCAAAGTAAGCATTCGAAACGGATTTAGCGGGAACATCAAGTTGGAGGTGAATTGCACATCATTTGACGATGATTTGGGCAGGCATTGGCTCCGAAAGGGAGAGACTTACAGCTTTAGTTTCCACACAGACATTTTGGGCACAACAACATGGGATTGCCGTTTAGCAACACAAGATGCTCCTCTTGGCACCTCCCAATTGTTCAAGTGTGACTATGATTTTCTCAAAAAGTGCGATTTCAGAGAGTGCAAATGGGATGTCAGGGACGACACAGAATATTTGCTAGACATTCCCCAAAACAAATATGTACGCTGGGCTCATACTTAGTTTAGTTGATGCTTTTCAATATCTAGCCCAGTGCCAATTACAAGTACAAGAAGATTTCGTTTGACCTATCCCTATAATATGAGATTTATATTTATGTTTATAGATTTAAGAATTGTTTATTAATCTTGGCATACTACTTGTCACTCAAATTTATTAATCTTGCAACAATACATGTCAAATATAATATATGGTAAGAAATTGAACAATTTTTCTTTTTGTTTCTTATCATAGGATGAGAACTTAGGATATCGCATTCTCACCTCATCTAAATGAGACTTAAGTTAGATCTCACCAGACGACGACGTACAATATATATCAAATATCACGCACCCTATGCCCTTATTGAATGACTTGCGCGATGTTAAAGAAAAAAAAATTGTTTTTTTTATTATAAAAGAATCTTGACTGTACGAAGCTTTATATTAAATACTGAAAATCGAAAGAAAAGACGTAATACTTGACAACAATTACATTATTCTGTGTCTCCATGAATATCAGAAAACTTGGACTATGACGATGATTTTGTTGATATTGCAATATTCATTGATACTTTAGAATTACTCATCAACTATTAGGTTCTGATTATAACTTCTCAACACTCATCAACTCTTATTTTCTGATTATATAAAATGCCTCCCCATTAGATTTATTTTTAGCGTTATTATTTCTCAATATCGTGCATGCAATCGATTTCATAAGATCTTTCTTATGAATTAACATATCATTATAAATCTCAAGTCAAATGTGCTTTTGGATCGTCATAATATTCATATTGTTAAAATTCCAAGTACATAATGAATGCAAAAAGAGCAAAAACTTGGAGCAAAAGGGAAAGCATTATTGAATACTAGAAATCGAAACGGAAGACGTAATACCTTACTTCAATTACATTATTCGTCTCTCCATGCATATCATAAAACTTGGACTACGATGATGATTGTGTTGATACTGCAATATTCATTGATATTTTAGTAAACTCATTAGATTCTGATAATAACTTATCAACACTAATAATTCTTATGTTCTTATTATATAAACACGCCTCCCATTAGATTTATTTTTAGCGTTATTATTTCTCAATATTTGTGCATGCAATCAATTTCACAAGGCCTTTCTTATGAAATAATACATTTCATTAAATCTCAAGTCAAATATGCTTTAATTTTCATGTTGTGCGTGCCAAAGCATAAATACCAATCTTCCCACGCCATCATATATTAGTCAAAATTCCAAGTACATAATGAACCGAAAGGAGCCAAAAACTTGGAGCAAAAGGGAAAGAAAAATAGCCACGACAATGAGCCCAATCAGCAAAACCCACCTACTTGTTCTTGGTTTTGCAATAGCAATAAGCCCCATCTGGTGCTCTCCTTCGTCCAAAAGCGAAGTGTTTCCAGAATTCACAAAATGGCATGTCTACGTCGTCAATGGATTGAACGACAACCAGACTATGTCGGTCCACTGTAAATCCAAAGACGATGATTTGGGCATTCAAAATCTGCCACAAGGGGCAAATACGACATGGAGTTTCAGAACAAACTTCGTCCACTCAACTCTTTTCTGGTGCTACATGAGCAAGGCCAACGTCCATGCTGCCCTAAAAGTCTTTTGGCAAGACATCTATCTCTTTCAGAAATGTAATTGGAAGAAATGTATTTATATAGCAAAAGATGATGGGGTTTACATAAAAGATTTTCCAAACGATTGTGATGTGTTTGCCAAGAAATGGGAAGATGGATGGCGATGATAATAATAAAGATTTCAATATACTAGTCCAATTTATTCAAAATTTTAATGTTTATTAATAATTGAGGTTGTATATGCATCTTCTTTAAAATAAAATTTTCGTTGTTTTTTATTTATTTTTATCTTTGTTAATTATTCTTTCGTGCTTATCCTCTTTTGTTGTATTTAATTTGTATCCAAAAAGCAATAAGGACCACATCATCGATACAATGAATTGAATTTTATTCAATTAAATAAGATGCTACCAAATATAATTTTGAAACTTTTTTGAGATAAAAATAATAGAGTGTATTTATAATTCAGGCACAAAAGTCGTCAGTGAGCCAATACAAATACAGATAACTACACAAGGTTATTACAAATACGGAAGCGCAGTAACCACAAAGGTTTAAAACAAATACTAAGGACTCCACCAACAACATTAGGTGCACAAGTGTACCTCCACGCATATTCATAAATTGAATCGTCTTTATGCTTCAAAATATTTCATAATTTTAGAAATCAGGAAAAATAAGGATGGCAAAAAAAACTTATGGATAGGAAAGAGAGGCAGATAATTCCTTAGTTAATTCAATGAATCTATAGTCGAACGTCATTATAATATGCTTCCTTTTATGAAAATATGCAAACTTGGAAAAGAGTTATATGGATAATCCAAAGTTCCATAACGAGGTCAATTTGGCAATATAAAACAAGAAGAAAATGACCCTAACGTTACATACAGAACACAAAACAATGAGAGCTTCCAAAGGATATGTGGTTTTCTTCGTCTGTGTAGCAATGTTAGCCCTCAGTGCCCCATGTCTTGGAAGCCCTGTGGGAATTCGTTATAATAGCTGGCATGTGCACGTGGTTAACAACTTGAGCGCCGGAAAAACATTGTTTGCGCATTGTAAATCCAAAGACGACGATCTAGGCGAGCGAAACCTTGCACCGGGGACTGAGTTCAATTGGAGTTTCAAAGAGAATTTCTTAGGAACGACGTTGTATTGGTGCTACATGAGCACGGGCCAGAACCATGCAGCATTGGATGTGTTTTGGGTGGAGGGTGAACATATTTGGCTTCAGTATAGATGCAATTGGAAAGATTGCATTTGGATTGCGAAAGATGATGGGATTTACATAAAGATTATTCCTGAAAATCGTGATGAGTTTTCTCATAAATGGGAGGTGTAGGTGACGCTTGATGATCATGGCAACAACTATGTGATTGTAAAAGGAATTAGGGTGTCCAATTTCCAGTATTTATGCAATAAAGAATACAGCCCAGAAAATTATGTGAAAGTGTTACATGTATTATGGTAGCATTTCCCTGAGTTTCGGTGACAATTTTCCTCATTTTCGGTTATTCACATGACAATTTTCCTCATTTTCCCTGTAAACACATCTTTAATAACCAGATTATTCTCATACACTAAGAGACTTTTGTTGATAAGAAAGAAATGGTCAAGAATTTTCTGAGCATTAGCAAAAATAGTCAAGATGGCTCTTGGGATTTCCTTCCAAACAAAATTTATTTTCATGTGGTCTAACATGCACCCGGACATGAATTTCTCATTTTATGATTAATTTCTTGAAAACTTCTTAATCACCCTTCTAGTGCTTTCCCTTTTTTGAAACACAAGGGCGATAGTGTTTTATTAATGAGGAAAAAGGGTAACAAGTACAAAAATTGGGCAAAAGCCCTAAGAGGATTAGGCGAGTGCTCTACACCAAACGAAGCATAGTGATCATCGGCTACATCCCTAGGAGCATAGCCATAAAAAACTACAAGTTACACTCCTTATACAGGACATCAACTAGAAGATCTGGCAGTTCTTCAAACCAAGTGGTCGTAGTTCCAAGATGGGAAGCATAGCGTGCCAGACGATGAGCCGCTCCATTTGCAACCTGGCGGATATGGGTAAAACCATCCCCAGTGATCTGGGTTAGCAGTGCCTTAGTGCTTTCCCTTAAATCAAGATTAGTATTTGCACTAAAAATTCTCAATTTAAATAATAAAAAAAATCTTTCTCTTCCTCTTTCAACATTAGGATTTATGAACATTTTTTGTATTTCTTTTGAGTTTGAATAGTGTAGATGATGAGATTAATCTTCAACCATCTAAAAATTTGAATTCATAAGAACTATGATTGGAATGAATGTATATATTATCAATCAATATGAAATGATAGTATGAAGTGGGCCAAAACGAGTAGTTAATTTAGTATTAACTAATTAACTGGTTAGTGCTTGAGTTCAAATAAAATGAAAACCCTATAATTATTTTTTAAAATTTTGTGAAGGACCCTCTCTAATATAAAATCCTGACTCTGCCACTAAAATTGGGTGTGCCCATCTTAAACAAAGGTTCATCCATTACTATCCAAGACCAAATAAGGATTTATGGATATCCATCAACAAAGCATTCCATAAATCCTTTTTTTTATGCAAACGTTTTTCATAGGCGAAGCTACTTGCATGTGAACTCGGCGCGAAGAGTTGTATAATGGAGTTGGTGTTCATAGTGATCTGGATTTGAAGGAGAAGAAGACGAAGGTTCATGCTTCCTTGAGTCCTTGGAAGTTATTTTATAAAATGGTAATTTGTCTTAAATTTTTTGAAGATAAGATGGGCGAGAAAAATAAGACAATGATGGAAATAACAACACTTGCATTTTATCACTACCTAGCCATCTTACATTTGATTTTAGATTAATTTATTCCTTTATTTTCATTTACAGCCATATATTTAATTTCACTAAAAAAGGAAATTTGAGTTAATAGAAGAGTGAGAAAAGTGGTCACCAAATTTGAAGATTGAAACATGGAGTGCAACATGAAGTTTATGGGAGTTGCCAATGTAACTCCTTGTTTTCTCTACATGCATGTGTGACAACTCACAAAAGAGGCAGATAATTTGCAAATGACTCGCTAATGTAGTGGTTTGGAGTAATTACTCTCCAGATAAAATTCTGGATTCGAGTCCTAACATCCGTATCGTGTGTGTGAGTTTAGGAAAGGTCTTTAAAAAAATCAAAAAACAAAAAGAAAGAGGCAGATAACTCCTCAAATAATTAAATGAATAGTACAAACTTCCATTGATGATTAATATATATACCAAAGTTTGGCTACCTATATATAAACCAACAAGAAAACTGAGTTTGCAGATCAAAACCAGAGATAAAACAATGACTATATTTCCTTTCAGCTTCAAACCCAATTATGTGGTTTTCTTTGCGTTTGCTGCAATATTTTTAGCAGCCTTGGCTCTCCCATGTCATGCAAACTCAGCTAATCAGACCAACTTGGGTTATCCGATAAATAAATGGGTTGTTCATGTTGTTAATCAAATGGGGGCTTCAAAAGCATTGGTAGCTCATTGTAAATCCAAGGACGACGATCTGGGAATCCGTGACGTTCCGCCCGGGAATGAGTTCAACTGGAGTTTCAAAGAGAACTTCGGTGGAACAACGCTTTTCTGGTGCAACATCCACAACAACCATCAACACGCTAATTTTCAGGTGTTTTGGCATGAGGATGAGACTAAGAGCAGTTGGCTTCACTACAGATGCAACTGGAAAGAGTGCTTTTGGGTTGCTAAAGATGATGGGATTTACATCAGAAACACTCCTGAAAGCCGTGACGAGCTTCAGCATCAATGGGAACCAGGGTGGTAATTGATTAATTAATTAAGATGATGATTAGCCATAAACAAGTTCTGATTTGCACTTCCTGTATGTAGTTATGATCCAAGGAGTTGTAAAGGAAGATGTCAGATCACTACCCTTATGCAATAAAGAATTTGAGACCAATCAATTATGTGAAATTGGTTTGCAATTTTAACAAGCTCACGCTGACCCAATTCGAATCTAAATTGAAATTTGGACGAGTTTAAATTGGTTATATATTGGAAAATAAATTAAAGTTGGGCATATGGTTTGATACAAAGGCTAGACCATATTGACTTCTTATTTTTAATTTTAAAATGAAGAAATTAGTTGAATACAAAGTTGAAAAGTCGGTATAATTATGGTAGATAGAGAGAGAAGGAGGGACATAGAGAAAAAGACATGTCGCATTCAATTTGAAATTTCCATTTCCTGAGGCACCTTAATAACCTAATAATTTTTATCCGGAAACATAAAATAAATATGACAAAATAACAAATTTCCCTATATATCTTGATAATTCAAAAACAATACTAGATGTTGAGCAACTCAACTTATGTAAACATATAACATCCCGAGATTTTATATTTAGTGTTTGTGCATTTACTTGTATTTTACAAATATATAAATAAATGAAATATTATTCTATTGGTCGAGATTTTTTTATTTTTAAAAAAATACAATTGGTGTCTAAAATATTATTGTAAATTATAGGAATTTCTTAATTTTAAGGAATAAACAAATTCATTTTTTACTAAGACGCTTGAGCAATCAATGCAGTCTTTGAATTTTGATTGCATGCATGCCTCATGGCATCCATTAGCACCCTTTGGACCTTGCATGCCCTTCAAGTGTAAGAGATACTATTTTTCCATAACTCATGCATTAATTTCCATTATTTGGCACCAAGCAATGCATTGAATTTTCTGTGTTACATTTGTACATATCTTCTTTCGCCCAATACTGCTTGTATGAACTAATACAATTAACATGAGCCTTTTTTTTATTTGGTTAAGTAAGCAAGTTTGATTATTTTAACAATGAGGTGTTAGTTGGATTGGTCTAGGCCATTGGTATGCTCCCAAGTAGTCCTAAATTCAAGTTCCCACGATACAAGTGTCTCCCACGGTACTTGTGTGTGTGAGTTCCTTCTTCTTCCTCCTAACTTCCGCGAAAAAATAAAAAAGTTGGACTATTTCTGGTAATTGATGGCTATTTAAACCCCTGGACATGTAATCAGAAATATTCAACCAAATTTACAGCAATCAAGTACAGAAACAATGAATCGAATGAAACCATCCCTATCCTCTATTTCTATGCTCTTACTTGCCTTACTTATCTTCCTGAGCCAAACCCAAGTCACCTATTCACTTTTCAACAAGTACCGGGTGCATATTATCAATGGATTGACAAATGAGACTCTTACGGCTCATTGTAAATCCAAGGACGACGATCTGGGAGTTCATGAACTTGCAGTGGACCAGGAATTTTCATGGGAATTTCGCATCAACTTTTTTGATAGAACACTTTACTTTTGTAATCTGGCCTGGAAGGGTGGACATAAAACTTTTGATGCGTTTCTAGTCGATGAGAAAGCTTTGCTGAATTCTTGTAGTTCTTCTGACTGCATGTGGAGAGCAAGAGATGATGGAGTTTACTTGTTTAATTATCCGCACAAACAATATAGACTAAAATATCAATGGGAAAAATGAAATTATTGATGTAAAAGAGTAGTCAAATGTTCGCTAGGAAAATAATCTTGTGAGTTGCTGTGCTCAACATCCAATCAATGAAATTATTATAGCATTTTCTCACAACTTGTTTCATTTGATGCTATATCTTACATTTTATTTTTGCTAATTTGTTAATTTGCAACTTGTGTAAGACCAAATGAATCTCTGCACCCAATGTTAGAGTTCGGATTTTTTTTTCTTTTCACAAAGTGATATTCTAACTAATAATATACGGGGTGGGGAGATCTAATTGGGATGCAAAGGACCAAGAACATTACGGAGAACTCAAATTTCTCATATCGATAGAAAGCGAAAAGTAGAAGGAGAAATTGTAGAAGGCAAGAATTATGTGTTGCAAATTTAACTCTGCAATTGGGCAACCTGTTACTAATTAAGATGTCAATCATACAAGTCTAGCAGTACAAATTTTAAATTTGTGAAGGCAAATCACTCAACAAGCAAAGGCCAAAAGAGTGGTACCAAAATATGGCACACAAAAATGTCCTGCTTAGCTCACACACAAAGAATAGCAGCAAGGTAAGCTCAAATCCCCTGCATAGTAATCATCTTTTTTTGTATGGAAGAGATTCATCTGCATATTGACTTCATCTTTTTTCTTTTTTTTTCCCTTTTTAATACAAGTCATAGTGTAATGTATAATAGTATAAAGGGGATGAGGGTTTCTCACACACACAAATTGTTGGCAAGTCCTTACTTAGTTAGGATTTTGGTTACTTACCCATTTATCTAGTCCTATTATAATTTAGAATTTTTTCCTATTGTAATTTAGAATTTTTTTCCTATTTTATTTAATGTTGTACTTCCTTATAAATACCTCAATATCGGAGAAGAATACATAATTGAATATTTGCCCTACTTTGTTTGACATGATTCTTTTTTCATCAAGGTGACATGGGTTCGAACTTGAGACCATTCATTTGCAAATCAAGGCTCCTTTTCACTCTGCTAAACCCCATTGGAAAATTGACTTCATCTTAATATTGGTAAAATAAGGAATTAATTCTTAACTAAATTACCAAATGGCATTATTCTTATTCTTTGGCACCAAGCGAATACATTAAATTTTCTGTTTCAGTTACATATCTTCTTTCACCCAATAATAGATATGAACTAATACAGTGAACATTGACCCCAAAAAAAAACTAATGCAATGAACGTAAACCTTTTTTATTTGGTAAGTAAATGAATTGAAATGAATTTGACCTTATCCACAGGTTGGACTAATCAGTAAATGATAGCTATTTAAACCCACATACATAATTAAAAAAAAATCAACTAAATTTACAGCAACCAAGTACAGAAACAATGAAGCCAATGAGGGCGCCATGCGTATCCTACATTTCCATGCTCTTACTTGGCCTACTTGTCTTCCTCAGCCAAACCCAAGTCACCTATTCACTTTTCAACAAGTACCGGGTGCATGTTATCAACGGGTTGTCAAAAGACACTCTTACAATTCATTGTCAATCCAAAGACACCGATCTGGGAATCCATGAACTTGCAGTGAACCAGGAATTTGAATGGAAGTTTCGCACCAACTTTTTTGATTCAACACTTTTCTTTTGCAACCTGCAGTGGAACGGTGGGCATAAATCTTTTGATGCGTTTAAAGTCGATGAAAAAGGTCTGTTGAATGATTGTAGTGCTAATGACTGTATGTGGTTAGCAAGAGATGATGGGCTTAACTTGTTTAATTATCCCCACAAAGAATATCGACAAAAATATAAATGGGATAAATGAAATTGATGTGGAAAAGTACCCAATCGTTCGCAAGATGATCTTGTGAGTGGCTATGTTCAACATCCAATATATAATGTTATAAGTATTTTCTTACTACTCGTTTAAATTTCTTTTTTAATGTCTCGCATTTTGTTTTTGGATTAATTTGTAGTGTAATGCCAAATGAATCTATGCACCCAATGTTAGATTGCATGTGGAGAGGAACATATCTAAGTGAGCCAACAATGGTATGGATGAAAAGAAAAAACTATTAACAGTAATAGTAGTAGAGTTGAAATGGTATAAATATCCCAGATCTATGATATAAATAAAAAGGAAACAACTTCTTACAAAAAAAAAACAGAAACAAATTCTTACCAGCCATATGTGGAACCAAAGAACGAAAAAAGAAAAGAAAGAAAAGAAGTGGGGGGAGTGGAAGAGGAAGAGGGGGCTGGTTATAGAGGGAACGACAAGTTAAAGGAGGGAGAGAGAGAGAGAGAGAGAGACGTGCAAAACAAGAAATATATAGAACAAATGGAGGCCGGCTTTGAACTGCTTTTTTGGGCGGTCAATGTTCTAATTTTCTTGCTTGTAATACACTTTGGACCCACTGGCCCCATGCATATCCACCGTACCACACAGAGACACAAAATCTCTCTGCCTGGTCATGGATTGGTCACCCATTGAGAGTTTTTGTGACGCCAAAAAGAAAAAGAAAAAAGAAAAAAGAAAATTTCAAGGACACAGCATCAAAATGTCCATCAAATCTAACAAATTTACTTGACCTTTGGTCACATGTTGTGGCCTTTTTGGCCAAATGTTACCTCCAAGATTGAACACCAGCCAGCCATGTGCAAAGCAAAGCCCTCCACCAAGCCTTAAGGCCAGCTGTGGAGGACTACTTGTCCACACACCAACTTGGTCTGATTGCATTTGGCCAGGAAAGTGTGGCCAATGACAACAGAGGACCAAGACCGTAGGATTCAGAAGCATTTAATTGCTGTTCCTTTTCATCCATGCATATACCAAAAGCACAGAGAGAGAGAGAGAGAGAGAGAGAGAGAGCAGATAATGCGTTTCACTATGGAAGAAACCGGCTGTTTTTTTTCAAAGCAATTTTGAGAAGCTGGGTCCAACCTGCTGTGGAGGACTACTTGTCCACACACCAACTTTGTCTGATTGCATTTGGCCAGGAAAGTGTGGCCAATGACAACAGAGGACCAAGACCGTAGGATTCAGAAGCATTTAATTGCTGTTCTTTTTCATCCATGCATATACCAAAAACACAGAGAGAGAGAGAGAGAGAGAGAGAGAGAGAGGAGAGAGAGAGAGAGAGAGAGAGAGAGAGAGAGAGAGAGCAGATAATGCGTTTCACTATGGAAGAAACCGGCTGTTTTTTTTCAAAGCAATTTTGAGAAGCTGGGTCCAACCTGCTTTGAAAAACTCAGTTGGCAAAACGCTTGCTTTTTAAACACCGCACTCCGAAACTCAGTTGGCAAAACGCTAGCACCCCACTAAACATAGGACAGGACTTATCCTAGACAATTCTTATTAACGGCGCCTAAAAAGATCTCTATTTAAGAAAACACTTTTGAGAAGCTGGGTACAACCTGCTTTGAAAAACTCAATTGGCAAAACGCTTGCTTTTTAAACACCGCACTCCGAAACGCTACCTTTTAGTCCCTCTATTTAAGCACACTAACACAGAAGGAAGGAATCACACATTCAGAGAGAGATGGCAATGAAGGAAACTGCAGATGCAGAGAAGGCGTTGAAGCACTTGAACCCAGATGGGGAAGAAGACCTCCTCTGCTCCAAAACAGAGCACCACCCAAAGGAGCCCATGAAGCTGAACTCGATCCCATCTGAAGATCAAAGCAAGGCTGAGCCATGGCAGTCGTTCAAACCAAAACCTGGAAGTGTCCTCCCGGCAAAGAAGAGGTCCGTGCTGAGGATGATGTTTGATAAAATTGTCCAATGCTTTTGCTCTGTTTCAGATGATACTAATAGTCCTTCAGCTTCTGCTGGAGCCTCTGAAACCACATCAAACGCCAACAAGGTCATCAGCAACCACGTTTACCCGAGCCCTTAGCCCACCGCCATAGATATGGATACAGGAGCCGATTTAGTCTGTTTCTTTCTGGTAATTTCAATGGTGTTGTTGCTGTAGTTTTTTCATGGCTTTCATAAAATGCTACTGGGTTTTCTTTGATCTCTTTCTTTCTGGTAATTTCAATGGTGTTGTTGCTGTAGTGTTTTTATGGCTTTCATAAAATGTTGGGTTTTCTTTGATCTCATCTCTCTCTCTCTCTCTCTCTCTTTTTTTTATTTATTATTTATTTTTTTTACAGCTTAATTTCCATCTTCTTTCTTTCCCTAGAAAATGGTGTTCGGGGTTCCACCCCCAATATGCATGCCCTGCATGCATGGATATTCTTCATATAACACTCCATTCAAAAATGCAGACTTCACATCAATCGAACCTGGCTCTGAGGCCATGTTAGAATTCAAACTATGATCTGAATTGTAACTTGCATGCTACTAAATGCTACTGAATGAATAGAAGTTTCAGAGGAATTTTCAGAATGAGAGAGAGCTTTTGGAAGGAGCAAAAGGACGAATTCTGTTATTCTTCTCACGCATACATTGTGCACTAATAACAGCTGGAATAAGATATTCCAAATTACATCATCCAAATCTAGCCATCCATTCTTCTATTATAAGATTAGATCTTAGCTGTCCATTGGACTATAATCCAAGGGCTCACATTTAAATCCGTAAATTTAAACTAAATACAAAATCATATCAGCTAAAACACTTATATTTCAACACAATTGTCATTGCTGCTGAACTCAGATGCCCCACAAGAAAAGCCAACCCAACTGCATGACAATATTGAATCTTTCAATCCTCAGCTGCAAAATCAGTTACATGGTATGGAGTCAATTGGATTGCAGAGAAGACTGGATTTGCCAAATTCTTCTCCATGTTTAGAATCTTTGGGCAGGAATGAACATGCTCCCAAAGGGAATGGTGATATTCCTGACAAATACTGGACATCTAAAAAGAAAGATTCTTTGACTTCGGAACTGACAAAGAAGTTCAATGAAAAGGATCCTTTCCTTCATCAAGATGAGACCCTTTATGGGACGAGATCACCTGCCACTGGTGTTGAGTATCGGAATGGATTGCCTAATATAAATCCCAACCCAACATCTAGTTTTGAGTCTGGGGTTGTCATTCCTGCAGCCATTAGTTTGAAACCTTTGGTAAATAACAAGATGGAGAAACCTAAGAACTTCCAACATGACAAAACCCCTATCAATCTTCTTGTCATGAGCCAAAGAACTGCCAATGATCAGGATTGTGCTTTGACAGGGACTGCAAATGGTGAACAAGGACAGGATGTTTCAGGGGCCAGGAATTCTGAAGTTGCAGGATTATTTCCAAGTACTAGACAGCATTCTCGTAATGAAAATTCTTTAGCAGATCTCATCTCAGGGTTGTCCGATGGCCCAAACTACCATGAACCTGCACGTCCGCAACTTGTTGCAAGTCAAAAGGATGTAGGTTTCCAAGAACCCCTGCTAATACACTCTGCAAAGATGTACCCGTTGACAGTTCTTGATGACCCTGAGTTGCAAGACAGTGACCATAGGGTGTTGCAGAACCCAATCCAAGATGCTGCATTTAAAAGAGGGGTCTCTCTCATTGATGATGACTTTGTAAATTGCCTCGATGAGAATGCTGAGAAGTTGAGCTCGAATGTTGTTGAAAATGTTGCTCTGAGACAGCCAAAACCCCTAACAATGAGTAATGATAAAAAGCAGTTGGAGTCAGTGATAATTGTGGAAGACGTAACCGACACTATTACTCCTGGCATCCAGTTTTCATCAGTAGTTTCCCCATATTCTGTGGATGAACCCATTGGTGATCTCATATCCCCTGCTGCAACAGAGGTGGAGAGCATCATTCCAGAGTCTGAATATGAGGTAGAATTGATTAAATTTTCTGGAACTGATTTTGTAAATTATGCATCTACTCGTGGGCTTGAATTCCGGCTTGTTATATTTGTAGGATGATAGGGTCAGTGAGGGAGACAAGAATGAATCATTTAGTGATGCAATGATAGCTGAAATGGAAGCCAGCATCTATGGCTTGCAGGTATTCCTCCAACGTCTTAATTTTTCCTGATTAGGACATGTTTTCATTTAACATGAAAACATGTCCTAATCAGGAAAAATTAAGACGTTGGAGGAATACCTGCAAGCCATAGATGCTGGCTTCCATTTCAGCTATCATTGCATCACTAAATGATTCATTCTTGTCTCCCTCACTGACCCTATCATCCTACAAATATAACAAGCCGGAATTCAAGCCCACGAGTAGATGCATAATTTACAAAATCAGTTCCAGAAAATTTAATCAATTCTACCTCATATTCAGACTCTGGAATGATGCTCTCCACCTCTGTTGCAGCAGGGGATATGAGATCACCAATGGGTTCATCCACAGAATATGGGGAAACTACTGATGAAAACTGGATGCCAGGAGTAATAGTGTCGGTTACGTCTTCCACAATTATCACTGACTCCAACTGCTTTTTATCATTACTCATTGTTAGGGGTTTTGGCTGTCTCAGAGCAACATTTTCAACAACATTCGAGCTCAACTTCTCAGCATTCTCATCGAGGCAATTTACAAAGTCATCATCAATGAGAGAGACCCCTCTTTTAAATGCAGCATCTTGGATTGGGTTCTGCAACACCCTATGGTCACTGTCTTGCAACTCAGGGTCATCAAGAACTGTCAACGGGTACATCTTTGCAGAGTGTATTAGCAGGGGTTCTTGGAAACCTACATCCTTTTGACTTGCAACAAGTTGCGGACGTGCAGGTTCATGGTAGTTTGGGCCATCGGACAACCCTGAGATGAGATCTGCTAAAGAATTTTCATTACGAGAATGCTGTCTAGTACTTGGAAATAATCCTGCAACTTCAGAATTCCTGGCCCCTGAAACATCCTGTCCTTGTTCACCATTTGCAGTCCCTGTCAAAGCACAATCCTGATCATTGGCAGTTCTTTGGCTCATGACAAGAAGATTGATAGGGGTTTTGTCATGTTGGAAGTTCTTAGGTTTCTCCATCTTGTTATTTACCAAAGGTTTCAAACTAATGGCTGCAGGAATGACAACCCCAGACTCAAAACTAGATGTTGGGTTGGGATTTATATTAGGCAATCCATTCCGATACTCAACACCAGTGGCAGGTGATCTCGTCCCATAAAGGGTCTCATCTTGATGAAGGAAAGGATCCTTTTCATTGAACTTCTTTGTCAGTTCCGAAGTCAAAGAATCTTTCTTTTTAGATGTCCAGTATTTGTCAGGAATATCACCATTCCCTTTGGGAGCATGTTCATTCCTGCCCAAAGATTCTAAACATGGAGAAGAATTTGGCAAATCCAGTCTTCTCTGCAATCCAATTGACTCCATACCATGTAACTGATTTTGCAGCTGAGGATTGAAAGATTCAATATTGTCATGCAGTTGGGTTGGCTTTTCTTGTGGGGCATCTGAGTTCAGCAGCAATGACAATTGTGTTGAAATATAAGTGTTTTAGCTGATATGATTTTGTATTTAGTTTAAATTTACGGATTTAAATGTGAGCCCTTGGATTATAGTCCAATGGACAGCTAAGATCTAATCTTATAATAGAAGAATGGATGGCTAGATTTGGATGATGTAATTTGGAATATCTTATTCCAGCTGTTATTAGTGCACAATGTATGCGTGAGAAGAATAACAGAATTCGTCCTTTTGCTCCTTCCAAAAGCTCTCTCTCATTCTGAAAATTCCTCTGAAACTTCTATTCATTCAGTAGCATTTAGTAGCATGCAAGTTACAATTCAGATCATAGTTTGAATTTTTAAAAAAAAAAAAAAAAAAAAAAAAAAAAAAAAAAAAAAAAAAAAAAAAAAAAAAAAAAAAAAAAAAAAAAAAAAAAAAAAAAAAAAAAAAAAAAAAAAAAAAAAAAAAAAAAAAAAAAAAAAAAAAAAAAAAAAAAAAAAAAAAAAAAAAAAAAAAAAAAAAAAAAAAAAAAAAAAAAAAAAAAAAAAAAAAAAAAAAAAAAAAAAAAAAAAAAAAAAAAAAAAAAAAAAAAAAAAAAAAAAAAAAAAAAAAAAAAAAAAAAAAAAAAAAAAAAAAAAAAAAAAAAAAAAAAAAAAAAAAAAAAAAAAAAAAAAAAAAAAAAAAAAAAAAAAAAAAAAAAAAAAAAAAAAAAAAAAAAAAAAAAAAAAAAAAAAAAAAAAAAAAAAAAGGTTTCAAGCTTCTCAATAAACTCCAACACCTGTCTATTCAAGAATGTCCTGAGCTTGAGGAAAGATGTAGATGCGGTAGTGGTGAGGATTGGTCAAAAATAGCCCATGTCCCGCATGAGTACATTGAATCGCCTCAGGTCAGGCAGTCTAGCGAAGTGAGCACATCGGGAAGCTCTTCTGTCCAAGCATTTTCTCTATAAGAAACTTCTATTTCATTGTCATCAACAAGCTATTATCATTATGGTAAGTCATTCATCTTGGTGTTGTGGTGTGCTTTTTTATTTTCTGTTTATAGGGGATTTATGTATTTCTATGTACAAGGCTGTTTTGAGAATCCTCTGATTTTGTATTGTATGGATATCATATTAATTAAATTCTTGTGTTTTCGTCTGAGAATAAAAAGCAACACTCTGTATAGATGTTGTTGATTAATACTTTTGTTTCAAAATGAGAACATTGTAGATATATGACTTTCAATATTAAAAAAGCATAAAAAGCAACCTTGTATAATTAGTTCAAAAGTGTTACTTGTCTCCGTAAGTTGATGAAAGGAATTTTCTTTTGTGGTTTTGCTGTTGCAGAGCCTCAGGGGTTGGATGTTTAGGGGAGAGAGATAGTGGCCATACGGGAAGGTTTATTGATGATAGGCTTTTTGGGTTTTAATCGTTTTATACTTGCAACTGCCTCCCAAGAAGTTGTTTCAATGCTTAATGGCAGAATGGGTTGGTGGAGCAACATTAGCAATGTGATGGAAGATACTAGATGGTTGGTGGTCGACATGTATGTGACGGATGTTCTGTATCAACCTCGAAAGGGCAGCGGTGTGGCACATGCTCTTACTCAATTTGGCTTGAAGAAGGCTCCAGTTTCGTTTGAATGGCACCTTGGTTAGACTCTCTTCTAGGGAAAGATAGGGATGCTCGGTAGGGTGTTTTTTCTGTATTTTTTGTGGAGGTGTTGTGGTACTTTTTTTTCTTGTCCAGATTTTCCTCCTTGTGGGGATTTTTTCTTCTTCATCGCAATTCAAGTCATTGTTGTTTAGCTTCATATAAACCAAAATTCAATGTTTTTGACAATATGGAAATCGGCAAGACCTAGTCACAGTAGGATGATTAGGTTCAAAGGCCTACAACTTCTCTGCCCAGCATGAATTGTAAAGAGAAAATGAGTTCAAATCCAAATTTTTGCCCTTCCAATAATCTCCACTTCAGATGTTGCCATTGGGTTTCAAGCTTCTCACTAAACTCCAGCACCTGTCTATTCAAGAATGTCCTGAGCTTGAGGAAAGATGTAGATGCGATAGTGGTGAGGATTGGTCGAAAATAGCCAATGTCCCGCATAAGTACATCGGATCGCCTCAGGTCAGGCAGTCTGGCAAAGTGAGCACATCGGGAAGCTCTTCTGTCCAAGCGTTTTCTTGGTAAGAAACTTCTATTTCATTGTCATCAACAAGCTATTATCATTATGGTAAGTCATTCCTCTTGGTGTTGTGTGCTTTTTATTTTCTGTTTATAGGGGATTTATGTATTTCTATGTACAAGGCTGTTTTGAGAATCCTCTAATTTTGTATTGTATGGATATCATATTAATTAAATTCCTGTGTTTTCGTCTGAGAATAAAAAGCAACACTCCGTATAGATGTTGTTGATTGATATATTTGTTTCAAAATGAGAACATTATAGATATATGACTTTCAATATTAAAAAAGCATAAAAAAGCAACCTTGTATAATTAGTTCAAAAGTGTTACTTGTCTCCGTAAGTTGATGAAAGGAATTTTCTTTTGTGGTTTTGCTGTTGCAGGGCCGCAGGAGTTGGATGTTTAGGGGAGGGAGATAGTGGCCATACGGGAAGGTTTATTGATGATAGGCTTTTTGGGTTTTATCGTTTTATACATGCAACTACCTCCCAAGAAGTTGTTTCAATGCTGAATGGCAGAATGGGTTGGTGGAGCAACATTGGAAATGTGGTGGAAGATATTAGATGGTTGGTGGTCGACATGTATGTGACGGATGTTCTGTATCAACCTCGAAAGGGCAGCGGTGTGGCACATGCTCTTACTCAATTTGGCTTGAAGAAGGCTCCAGTTTCGTTTGAATGGAACCTTGGTTAGACTCTCTTCTAAGGAAAGATAGGGATGCGCGGTAGGGTGTTTTTTCTGTATTTTTTGTGGAGGTGTTGTGGTACTTTTTTTTCTTGTCCAGATTTTCCTCCTTGTGGGGATTTTCTCTCCTTCATCGCAATTCAAGTCATTGTTGTTTAGCTTCATATAAACCAAAATTCAATGTTTTTGACAATATGGAAACCGGCAAGACCTAGTCACAGTAGGATGATTAGGTTCAAAGTCCTACAACTTCTCTGCCCAGCATGAATTGTAAAGAGAAAAGGAGTTCAAATCCAAATTTTTGCCCTTCCAATAATCTCCACTTCAGATGTTGTCATTGGGTTTCAAGCTTCTCAATAAACTCCAACACCTGTCTATTCAAGAATGTCCTGAGCTTGAGGAAAGATGTAGATGCGGTAGTGGTGAGGATTGGTCAAAAATAGCCCATGTCCCGCATGAGTACATTGAATCGCCTCAGGTCAGGCAGTCTAGCGAAGTGAGCACATCGGGAAGCTCTTCTGTCCAAGCATTTTCTCTATAAGAAACTTCTATTTCATTGTCATCAACAAGCTATTATCATTATGGTAAGTCATTCATCTTGGTGTTGTGGTGTGCTTTTTTATTTTCTGTTTATAGGGGATTTATGTATTTCTATGTACAAGGCTGTTTTGAGAATCCTCTGATTTTGTATTGTATGGATATCATATTAATTAAATTCTTGTGTTTTCGTCTGAGAATAAAAAGCAACACTCTGTATAGATGTTGTTGATTAATACTTTTGTTTCAAAATGAGAACATTGTAGATATATGACTTTCAATATTAAAAAAGCATAAAAAGCAACCTTGTATAATTAGTTCAAAAGTGTTACTTGTCTCCGTAAGTTGATGAAAGGAATTTTCTTTTGTGGTTTTGCTGTTGCAGAGCCTCAGGGGTTGGATGTTTAGGGGAGAGAGATAGTGGCCATACGGGAAGGTTTATTGATGATAGGCTTTTGGGTTTTAATCGTTTTATACTTGCAACTGCCTCCCAAGAAGTTGTTTCAATGCTTAATGGCAGAATGGGTTGGTGGAGCAACATTAGCAATGTGATGGAAGATACTAGATGGTTGGTGGTCGACATGTATGTGACGGATGTTCTGTATCAACCTCGAAAGGGCAGCGGTGTGGCACATGCTCTTACTCAATTTGGCTTGAAGAAGGCTCCAGTTTCGTTTGAATGGCACCTTGGTTAGACTCTCTTCTAGGGAAAGATAGGGATGCTCGGTAGGGTGTTTTTTTCTGTATTTTTTGTGGAGGTGTTGTGGTACTTTTTTTTCTTGTCCAGATTTTCCTCCTTGTGGGGATTTTTTCTTCTTCATCGCAATTCAAGTCATTGTTGTTTAGCTTCATATAAACCAAAATTCAATGTTTTTGACAATATGGAAATCGGCAAGACCTAGTCACAGTAGGATGATTAGGTTCAAAGGCCTACAACTTCTCTGCCCAGCATGAATTGTAAAGAGAAAATGAGTTCAAATCCAAATTTTTGCCCTTCCAATAATCTCCACTTCAGATGTTGCCCATTGGGGAAAAAAAAAAAAAAAAAAAAAAAAAAAAAAAAAAAAAAAAAAAAAAAAAAAAAAAAAAAAAAAAAAAAAAAAAAAAAAAAAAAAAAAAAAAAAAAAAAAAAAAAAAAAAAAAAAAAAAAAAAAAAAAAAAAAAAAAAAAAAAAAAAAAAAAAAAAAAAAAAAAAAAAAAAAAAAAAAAAAAAAAAAAAAAAAAAAAAAAAAAAAAAAAAAAAAAAAAAAAAAAAAAAAAAAAAAAAAAAAAAAAAAAAAAAAAAAAAAAAAAAAAAAAAAAAAAAAAAAAAAAAAAAAAAAAAAAAAAAAAAAAAAAAAAAAAAAAAAAAAAAAAAAAAAAAAAAAAAAAAAAAAAAAAAAAAAAAAAAAAAAAAAAAAAAAAAAAAAAAAAAAAAAAAGGCGAGCAGTTGTCGGGCAGAGACCCACTTGGCTTGGGGCTTTTGTTTCTCCCGTCGGTGCATCACAAGTCCCTTCGTTTAGCAAGCTTGGCATTCCAGATTTGGTTCCGCAAGGGTGTTTGAAAAACACGGAGCCGGGGATGTTGGAGCTGGGAAGTCGATGACTTAGGTCCTTTGGTAGGTGGCTTGGAGCTGGGGTGTATAGTCCTTCCAAAGTTGGGTGGTCTGAATCTCGTGAGTTGGCCGTGACTTGGAGCTGGGTTCTCCTTGCCATTGGGGCGGTTTGGCTAGGAGTTGGAGCTGGTCCAGAACCGGGTGCCGAAGTTTCGGCAAGGTTTGGCTGTCTCAAACCATTTCGGCAGGTGAGACTTGGCCTTCTAGCTTCGGCAAGAGTGGAGCTGGGGTCGGAGTTGATTCTTGGAAGGAAGGTATCGGAGTTGGGCCTTTGGCAGGTTTAGGCTACACGAGCTGGATCTCTTCGAGTCTCTGGTCTTCGGCAGTTTTGCGGCAAGGGGTTGAAGTGAGAAGGGCTACTATGGTCCGTCGGCACCACGAGTGATTGAGGCTTCTCCCAAAGTTCTTCCACGGAGGTTGCCGTTCTGCAATTGAGCTGGGCTGGTTCCAGCTTCGGCAAGGGTGCTAGTTTCGGCCCCTACTTGGGTCCGGGCCCTTGAGAGCTTGATTCGCTGAACTTTGCTGTTGTGGGTGTCTAGATCACATTCAGCAGGTGGGTTTTGCAGAGACTTGAGGGGCTGGCCACTTGAGCTGATTACCGTGAGTTTTAGCAAGAGCTGGGCTGTTGGGCAGATTCGGCTAGCGGGTGCCTTGAGCAGTTTTTGAGGTGAGATGTTGTTCATGGAATCCTCCATGTTGTTGCCACATAACCCTTGCCGTTCGGCAAGGGTGTTTGTAAATGTTTTTTGAATGGTTGTTGTTGTTGTGTAGCTAGCTTCCTTGTAGCCGGGCATTAAGGAGATGCCGGGTCAGATACCCAGCGAGTGGTGTGGCGTCTCGGTTTAGCTTGAGCTTCGGTAGGTAGGCACTTGAGCTGGGTGCCTGGCCATTTGGAGCTAGACCTTCGGCAAGGCTGGGCCTTGGGAGCTGGGCTATCCGTGGCTGGGGTCCCTTGTGAGATTTTTTTTTTGTTTTTTTTTGTTTTTTTTATTTTCAGCAAGGTAGCCAAGACAATTTTGGGGCTTAGCTGTGTATTGGGGCTGGGCTTAGCAAGTTTGGCTTTGTTGATGAGCCTCCCCATTTGGGTTTGCATGGTCCCTTGCCGTTCGGCAAGGACCCTGGAATATGTATTGATGGTTATTGTTGTGACCTTGGAGCTGGGCAGTATGAAATTTCGTGGAGCTGGGCTCGGGAGGCTGGGTGCCGTGATCAAAATTTTTGGTTTTTGTTTCGCTGTGCTCGTAGAGGCAGGTTCGGAGCTGGGCCACCTTGGATTTTTTGGCAAGAAGTGAGAGCCTAGAGCTGGACCTTCGGTAGGTGTCCAAAAGGGTTTGGCCAATATTGGAGCTGGTCCCGTTTTGGCTAGGGGTTAGCTAGGATTTGGAGCTGGGCTCCGTGAGGTTTGGTTGTTTTGTGACTTGGGACCGTGAGCTGGGCCTTGGATAATTGACAAGGGCATAAGCTTTTGGCATCCTCCGTAGCCGGGCTTGCCGTAGAGTTAGGCCTCCTTGATTGCGGCAGTGTTGGTGTGAGCTAGGCTTTTGTGAATTTTCACTTAGCCGGGCAATTTGAGGTTGGGCCAATTTGGCAAGGCTTGGTGTGGGCCTTTGTGCCTTTCTTCAAGGGCTGGGCCTTGGGTAATTTGTGCGCACGAGCTGCTGAGGATTCGGTGCAAATTGGAGTTGGGCTCGGGGCTTGGAGCTGGCCCGTGCCATTTTCAGTCCCCAATCTCTTTCATGAGTTGGCCATTCGTTGTGATCAGTTTGGGAAGCACTTTTGTGGGCCTGTGCAGCTGGTGCGAAACACTTGATCACGTGAAATTGGAGCTGGGCCATTTGAAATTTGGTGAAAATTTTCCGGAGAAGGTGGGGTATGGCTGCCATTCGGTGTCCTTGGGTGCGCCATTGAATGCCGTTGAATTTGAAGCTGCTTCCCATTGGGTGTTTTGATAGGTTTAGTGGCTAGGTGCCGTATGGCTTAGCCATCTAAATTGCTCCAGGCTTTCAGCTAGTTGTCATGTCGGCTTCTCATTAGATTGAAATGGTGGTTGGCCTCCTTAGCCCTGCAAAGTGATGCTGTCGGTGACTTGGAATATTTGGCACTTGCCAAATTGGAGCATCTTCAAAGTGGCCCGGACAGCTTTTATTCATATGCAATATTCATGAACCATATTGTTGAATAGAATTGTGCAATAAATTATTTAAATATTACATGCTCGTATGCAATATTTATATGTAAGAAGAGAAATCTTATCTGGAGTAATTTTTCCTTGGCCATGCGCAAGCCATGCATGGTGATATCCTTGGTGCATTTGGGATATTTGGCCACCTCTAAATTGAGACTCTTTCAATGTGACTGAAAGGTGGTTCCTTGGGTTGAAATGATGGCTTGGAGCTGTGATTTTGTTGAGCCTCGTGCGCACGGGCTGGGCTTTTTTCGTTTTGGTAGTGGTGAAGTTGCTGGGCCTTGGATGCCGAAAGCACAAGAATTGCATGTCGCAAGGAAATGGGCCTAGGCACGAGGGTGCCGAAGGCATAAGAATTGCATGTAGCAAAATGATGGGCCTAGGCACGAGGGTTCTGAAGGCAACACAAAGCTTGCGTGTCGCAGAGCGATGTAGCTAGGCACGATGGTGTTGAAGGTGACACAAGGCTTGCGTGTCGCAAGGCAATATGGCTGGGCACGATGGTGCCGAGGGCAACATAAAGCTTGCGTGTCGCAGAGCGATGTGGCTAGGCACGGGGGGTGCCGAAGGCAACACAAAGCTTGCGTGTCGCAAGGCAATGTGGCTGAGCACGAAGGTGCCGAAGGTAACACAAAGCTTGCACGTCGTAGAGCGATGTGGCTAGGCATGATGGTGCCGAAGGCGACACAAGATGTGGCTAGGCACGATGGTGCCGGAGGCGACACAAAGCTTGCGTGTCGCAAGGCAATGTGGTTAGGCATGATGGTGCCGAAGGTGACACAAGATGTGGCTAGGCACGGGTGTGCCGAAGGCAACACAAAGCTTGCGTATCGCAGAGCGATGTGGCTAGGCACGGGGGGTGCCGAAGGCAACACAAAGCTTGCGTGTCGCAAGGCAATGTGGCTGAGCACGAAGGTGCCGAAGGTAACACAAAGCTTGCACGTCGTAGAGCGATGTGGCTAGGCATGATGGTGCCGAAGGCGACACAAGATGTGGCTAGGCACGATGGTGCCGGAGGCGACACAAAGCTTGCATGTCGCAAGGCAATGTGGTTAGGCATGATGGTGCCGAGGGCAACATAAAGCTTGTGTGTTGCAAGGCAATGTGGCTAGGCAGATGGGTGCTGAAGGCATCTTTCATGCCGATTGATAGTTGGGTGCCGAAGGCATCGCTCAAGCTATATGATGAAGATTGTATGGGTGCCGAAGGGCACTGAGGAAGGAGAGAACGACATAAGCCTTTTGTATCGATTCCCACAGACGGCGCCAAACTGTTGATGCTCAAATTGGTTAGGCCAAGAATGAGTCCAACTTAGTGATAAGGTGTGATGGATGATGAATGAAGGTGAGGACCTTAAGCATGTGTGTAAAGACTTGGGCAAGCGATAAATGTAAAGAAGACAAGATATACGTGGTTCACCCTTAATGAATGGGCTACGTCCACGGAGAAGTATGTTCTCATTATAATAGTGTATGATTACATTTGTACATGGGGTTGGACCCGAATATAAAGATGACAAGTGAGATGCCTAGGCTAGGAATCTAGAAGAGAGTCCCCGGCCCTAGGGTCTAGCTCTGAGACCCGGATCCTCTTCTAAGTGGAGAGAGGAAGTCCCCTTTTCACATGGATACTATTCCCTATTTATAGGGAGGTGAAAGTGGGAGGTTTGTGTAGATTTCCGATGTGGGACTTTGCGCAAGTCGCTGTGGTGGTGACATGTGTCATGGTGTTGATGCTCTTGGTGCTGGGTATGCTCGGTTGATTATGGTGTAAACACACTCAATATTTCATATCTGCAAACAAGAAACGAAAAGAAGAAATAAGCCAACCCAGAGATCGAAGAAATCAAAATCAACCAGAAATGCAGAGCAGATCACATAAAAAGGGAAACAGAAGAATTTCATGTTAAGTTCTATTATGAATGAGTTGAGGAAGTTAAGCATGGCCCAACCATAATTCCAAACTGAAGAAAAGTCTTGCAGTCAACTTAAAATCTATAAATGAAGGGAAATTGCCTTGGTCATTCTAATCACCATAGTCAATGCCCGCAAATCTTGGGAAATTGCCAAAGTTAACCAAATATTGTACCCACATATACCAATATCTTCTACTTATGAATTCAAGCACCCATCATATGCAACAATTATTAGATAGTAAATTAGAACATTTCCAAGGTGCCTTAAATAGCAAATCACAAACAAAAGGAGTCAGGAATAAATCATATGCATACAAACAACTCAACTGAAACTTACAAAAGCCTTACTTTTCCGGTAGCATCTCGGAGCGGCCAGCACGTGCCTTTTTACGGGTCGACTCGGTGAAGCCTTTGGTGCCAGCTTCTCAGATTGGACAAAGACAGAGGCAGTTCCCCCATTGAGTTCATAGGAGTAGTTTGATTGTTTTATTTATGTTGTTTTAGTTTCTTACATATGGAAAACTGGCCTAGGTTAATTAGGTTATAAATATTGTTCCGAAAAAGCTCAATTGTGGTAATTGCTGAATGGTACAAAGGTTCACAACCTAAATTTCATTTCTTTTCTTTACAACATTATCACAAAAACTCAATGTTGTTCGATCTAATTTTCTTTTAAATTGTTCGATCTAATTTTCTTTTAATTTTCAATGTTGTCTTACAGCATTATCACAAAAAACTCAACCTAAGTTTGAAGATGAGCAAACTCTCTATGTATGTATTTTTCTGTGAGACTCAAAAGGAATTCATCTTCATGATCACCACGTCTTTCAAAATTAGCCTTACCTACCATAAACAGAAAAAAGAAGCAGAAAAAATATTACAATTTCGATTAAAATTTTGACTAATTGTCCTGCAAAATAAGAAAAATGATGAAATTTCGACGTTGAAATCACCGTAAGAAATACCAAAGAAATACAGGGAGCATTGCAAGTATGTATCATAACCACACCCGTGAAGGCTTTTGCTATGCTATGGAAGGTACAATTACAATATTTCTTAACCCAAGTCCTTTTTAAATTGGAATAATTAAAACTTAAAAGGCAGATATTTGTGAGGTTTGTGAGGGACCATGAACTGAGAGAAGGTGGTGCAGAAGCAAATGTGTTCTTCCAGCTTACCAATGCTTCTGCATGTGTTCTTGGTGATGAGGTGGCCTTCAACGAAAGAAATGATAGCCGAAAAATAAAAAGGAAAAGAGGAAAAGGAGGCTTGTGACCAAAGAAAGGTTTTGCCGTGATGTTGTTGACCAGTTAATGTTCCAAGCTTTATAGAGGATTGTGGGCCCCACTTGGTCCATTAATTTTAAAAAAAAACAAATAAAACAAAAACAGAAATAGAAAAGGCAAATAAAATCTTTCCAACCAAACAATCAATTGAAAATAAATTTTATATGGGCTTTCGTCGGGCCAAGAATCGATCTGGTCCGTCCGTCGCTTCTGGCTCGACTTGCTGAGGCTTTCGGCTGCGGCTCTTCTGATGTCGCCAATGGAGAGCTCGACGTTGCCGTTTCGGGCTCGTCCAGAGAATTTTTCAGATTTCTGAGGGGTTTTGGTGCTCAGTGTCTCATTGCCTAAGATATGGGGCTTTGGGTTTAGGGCTTTCTTTTCTCGGCTTCTGGGTGTCTGGGATTTGAAGGTTCCTAAGGAACTCATTGCAGAGATCAAATAGAAATGAGAGATTTGGAATCGATTGAAAGGTGAGATTTTGAGGGTTAACAGTCTCACAGAGAAGAAGAAGAAGAAGAAGAAGAAGCAATGACCATGTGGGGTTTTCAGGTATTTATCGGGGTCTCTTGCGGGAAAGATGAGCTGGCACTCTCTCGTGACCCGTTGCTTCCCGCCAAATAGATCCGCTGGCTCGCATTCTTCGGTGGGCTAGGGGGCTAGTGGAACACCCGTTGTTTATTGGGCCTAAATCCAATGTCATTTCACAATTTACCAAATTAACCAAAGATATTTAGATAACTATTAGATGTGTAGGATTTCTAGTAATAAATTGACCCCCCAAAAAAAGAAAAAGGATTGCTAGTAAATGAGTCACACAGATAATCCAAAAAGAATAGAGATGAGTAATTAGGATGGTGCAGAATTTTATTTTTTTAGAATGGACGGTGTAGATGTTAATGTTAACATACATGTTAATATATGGTATAAGAATTTCTCTTATACACAGAAAACTTTCCAACTAGTTTTATTTTTTTTACTTCTAGTTGTATATCCCCATCAGCTTGTTGATGGTTAGCATGCCAAATGGTTCGGGAAGGGAAGGCAGTCTCTGAGCTGATAGTTTTTGTGCCACATAAAGCATCGTAGGTCGAGACCCGGGACGCGTACGTATACAAGCCAAGGCTAAACTCATCACAAGCACCACTGCCTTGGCCAATTCATTCCTTGGAGCCTCCAGCCTTTGGTCTAACAAATCCTTCAAAAGCAACTTTGCATTGTCCTCCTTCATTGATTGTGATGATTCTGAAAGCTGGGATTCTAGCAAATCCCCTGGGTGCCTTCCCATCATAACTTCCAGCGCCACCACTCCAAAGCTATACACATCACACTTATCCGTGACTCGCATTGTCAATGCAAGCTCTGCACATGAAGAGAAAAACAAAACCAAATATCCTTAAAACGTATCTCAGTCACCTAAATATGATCCAAAAATGCACAACGTTAAATTGGTATGTTACCTGGTGCCATGTAGCCAAATGAGCCAACAATATGGGTCCAGTTGGATGAATTGGCACTAATCAGTCTTGCTGTTCCAAAATCAGAAAGTCGGGCTTCGAAATCTGACTCGAGCAACACATTGTTGACATCACGGTGCACTTGGTGGAGAGCAGTCATGGTGCAAGTAAGAAAGTGCATGAGCTAATCCTTTCACAACTTTGACCCTTGTAGCCCATCCAAGTTCAATTACCCCATCAACCCCATACAATGCCTTTCCCAGGCTGCCTCTCTCTAAATATTCATAAAGCAAGAAGATGCATCCCCTCCTTGAACAGAACCCATATAGCCGAATGATGTTCCTATGCCGGACATTTGTTAGAGTTCGGATTTCATTCTCAAAACTTTGGAGATTGATTGCTGGAATGTCGTTAGAGTCTGACATGTTAAGCCTCTTAACGGCAACAACTTGACCTGATAGCAATTCTGCCTTGTATACTCTTCCAAATCCTCCTTTTCCAATACAGTACTTTTCATGAAAATCGTCTACGGCCTTTACAACTTCCCCAAACGTAAATTTTACTTCTTCTTGCAATATCATTGACTCAAAATTCTCAAAGTTTTCAGCACTATTGATTTTCTTAAGAGCACGCTTGGTTTTCTTATGGAACATACGAATCAGAGCAATTGTAATTGCAACCACTGATAAACCACAAACAGGTACAAGGACACCAATTATAACTTTTTTATGTTTTTTGGAATTGTTGGGGGCTTTTTGGATTTCCGGTGTGAAATTGTTATTAGACAAATCAAAATCCCCCGGAGCCGGAATGGGCCATTGAGATTGTTGTTGGAAAGATTTACGCTCTGAATATGTGGAAGGTTCCATAGTGTTGGAGGAATTGACCCAGAGAGGTGGTTTCTCGAAAGATCCAAGCTTCTCAAAACTGATAATCTTCCTATATCTGACGGAATTGAGGCAGAGAACTTATTATCATTCAGATAAAGCACATCGAGTTTTCTCAAACAGTCCAATTTCTGGTGGAATATTCCCACTAAAGCTGTTGTGTTGAAGTTGCAAAGAGACCACTTCGGTCCAATTGGAGAGCAGAGAAGGCAAGAGTGGACCGGTAAACCGATTAGCAAATAAACTCAGATCGATGATGTTGGTCAGATTGGACAAGGACAGAGGCAGTTCCCCATTGAGTTTATTGGAAGCCAGGGCCAAGTAGGTGAGGCTGGTACAAAAACCAAGCTCAGAAGGGATTGAAGAATTTAAGGAATTGTTACTAAGATCAAGGTATAGAAGCCTCTGAGTTGGCCTATAGAAGGTGGAATTTTCCCTTCAAGGTGATTGGAAGTCAGGTTCAAGTAGGTGAGGCTGGTACAAAAACCAAGCTCTGAAGGGATTGAAGAGTCTAAGAATTCATTTGAAGATCAAGGTGCTGAAGCTCCCTGAGTTGGCCTATAGAGGATGGGAATTGGCCCTTGAAGGGAATTGGTGTGCAGTTCAATTCTTTGAAGGCCAGATATCCAAACCAATATCTTCAGGAATTGGACCGCGAAGGCGTTCACTGCTAAATGAAGGTGTTTAAGCTTGGGAAAATTTGATGGCAGTGGTCCTTGGAATCGGTTGTTGGTGAGATTGAGATATTCAAGCTTGCCCAGATTGGTAAATACTTGTTCTGGTATTTGGCCAGTCAAGAAATTTTCAGACAAGTCCAGGAATGTCAAGTTCCGGCATTCAGATATAAATTTTGGAAATACTGAATGGAAATAATTTCCAGAAAGATCAAGGTATGTCAAAGAAGGCATGCCTGAAAATTTAGACCACCCAGGAGTTTCAAAGAAGAAGTTGTTTCTTCCAAGAATCAAAAACTGTACGTTTTGGAGATTGAAGAGCTGATAAGGAATAGCACCAGTGAGACTGTTGTTGAAGAAACTCAGATACTTGAGCTTTGTTAACTTGCTTATCTCCACAGGTATTTCTTGACCGAAAAAGTTGTTGCCCAAGTCCAAAGTTGTGAGCTTGGAGAGGTTGCCAATGGCAGACGGTATAGGCCCTCCGAAATTGTTGCCATTGAGGTTGAATTGGGTGAGATTTAGGAATGGGGCGAAGTTGAAATCGGTTAGTGTTGCATCGATGTTGAAGTTGGAGAGGTCAATTTGGGAAACTTGTTCGCTGTTCTGGTCACAAACAATGGCATACCAGTTGCAAAGATTGTTGAGGTTAGTGAGGGACCATGAAGTGAGAGAAGGTGGTGCATCATAAAAGGTGTTCTTCCAACTTAGCAAAGCTTCTGCCTGTGTTTTTGGTGATGAAATGGCCTTGAATGGAAGCAAAGCAAGCAGGAAAATATGAAGGAGAAGAAGAAGATAAGTAGGCTTGTGAGCAGAGAAAAGTCCTCCTTCCATGGTGGTTTGAGGAGTTAATGTTATGTTCCAAGCTTTATAGAAGGTTGATTCTTATTGTTATCATTTTGGTTCTTAAAATTAACTTGTAATTTGCATTATTTTTATTAATTTATTTATGGTCGAAAGCTTTATTTTAATTTAAGTTAAGAAGAAAATTTAGTTTTTTGAACTAATAGTTGTTGACTGATGATGACATTTCATAATTAATGCCATTTGTCTGGACATAATATAAAGTCTAGGCCCTATGTTAAGTTAGAAATTTGATTTAACAAAAAACAGAAGGTCTATTATGAACGAGCTGAGGAAGTAAGTTTCCTACCTCTGACACATTGAACCTTCACACGCACAATGTTGGCTACTACATTGAATTGAACCTTCATTCTCAGTTTCACATTAGTTTCTTTCTTTACATAGACAAAGAAAAAACCCCAATCCCGCGTTTTAGAATAAAATTGAACTACATTTAAAAATAAATAAATATAAAAAACAGAACTTGTGGTAACAAAAGTTGTGTGGTTGGTTTCCTCCACTTGACTGGCATGGTCTAGTCTTCCCTTCCCTTGGCCCCAACCATTTGTCCGGACGGAATATAAAGTCTAGCCCCTATGATTATATGTACCCAGCAATAATATTTTCTTATGAATTCAAGCACCCATGATTATATGTACAATTAATTGATTAGTTTAGTAAGTTACAACATTTACACTACTACAAAACACCATTGCGCAACCAAATTTTGCGCGACGAAACTCAAAACTCCGTCGCTAAAAACCTTGCGCGACCAACTTTTGCGCGACGAATTTTTTTTCGTCGCTCAAAGCGACTTTGCGCGACCAACTTTTGCGCGACGACAATACGTCGTCGCTCGCGACCAAATTTTGCGCGACGAAAAAAATTCGTCGCTCAAAGTAACTTTGCGCGACGAAAAAAAATTCGTCGCTCTAAGTAACTTTGCGCGACGAAAAACAGTTCGTCGCGCAAAGCGACTTTGCGCGACGAAAAACAATTCGTCACGCAAAGCTACTTTGCGCGACGAAACAATTAACTTCGTCTCGCAAAGTCCTTATAAAAAATAAATAAAATATTTTTTAAAATATTTGTTAGAAAAATATATTATTGTTTTTTGGATTGGGTTTTTATTAGAAAATATATTTTTTAAATTGACGATCGAATTAGTTCATTGTATTCATATAGGGTCAAAGAGTGTAGCTATAAAAAAATCATCAAAATCGGAGTTAAAATAACCGTTAAATCGTGATTTTTCATTTATAACCGTCGAAAAGTTTTGTCCAATTACTTGATCTCTGAATGTTTATTTCTTCCGATTTTTAGCGTATATGATCTCGAAGTATAAACAAACAAGTTTGACGGTTGGATCGTTCAAACTAGTTTCATAGAATGCGTATGCCATCAAAACAATATATTCACTAACAATTAAGAGTTTATTTATACTTTTGTTAAATATAACATAAGATTTTGTGGTATCCACTAGTGTAAATATTTTAAATTGAAGATCAAATTCAGTCATTGTATTCATATAGGGTAAAGGAGTGTAGCGGTAAAAAATCATCAAAATCGGAGTTAAAATAACCGTTGAATCATGATTTTTCATTTATAACCGTCGAAAAGTTTTGTCCCGTTACTTGATCTCTGAATGTTTATTTTTTGCGATTTTTGGCGTATATGATCTCGAAGTATAAACAAACAAGTTTGACGGTTGGATCGTTCAAACTAGTTTCATAGAATGTGTATGCCATCAAAACAATATATTCACTAACAATTAAGAGTTTATTTATACTTTTGTTAAATATAACATAAGATTTTGTGGTATCCACTAGTGTAAATATTTTAAATTGAAGATCAAATTCAGTCATTGTATTCATATAGGGTAAAGGAGTGTAGCGGTAAAAAATCATCAAAATCGGAGTTAAAATAACCGTTGAATCAAGATTTTTCATTTATAACCGTCGAAAAGTTTTGTCCCGTTACTTGATCTCTGAATGTTTATTTTTTGCGATTTTTGGCGTATATGATCTCGAAGTATAAACAAATAAGTTTGACGGTTGGATCGTTGAAACTTGTTTTTTTGAATGCGTATGCCATCAAAACAATATATTCACTAACAATTAAGAGTTTATTTATACTTTTGTTAAGTATAACATAAGATTTTGTGGTATCCACTAGTGTAAATATTTTAAATTGACGATCGAATTAGTTCATTGTATTCATATAAGGTCAAGGAGTGTAGCTGTAAAAAATCATCAAAATCGGAGTTAAAATAATCGTTAAATCGTGATTTTTCATTAAGAACCGTTGAAATTTTTTGTCCCGTTACTAGGTCTCCGAATGTTTGTTTTTTTACAATTTTTGGGGTATACGATCTTGAAGTATATACAAACAAGTTTGACGGTTGGATCGTTGAATGGTGTGTGTATATATATATATATATTACTTATTAAGTAGCTTTAAATTTATTTATTTTGTACGTATAACACTTAAGAAATTGGTATATACATTTATTAAGTAGCTTTAACCTTATTTATATTTTAAATCGTAAAAAAAAAATTTATTATTCATAACAATTATTTTTATAAATATCGTGCTATGAACCAATTTTTCGTCTCTCAAAAGTTTGCGCGACCAACAATTTGTCGCGCAAAACTTTAAAAATTTGGGTGAGTACCAAAATGGGACGCGGGATGGAAAAAAAAATTTTTTTTAGACTTTGCGCGACCAATATATATTTTCGTCGCGCAAAAATTTGGCGGGTACCAAAAATGGGACGCGGGAATTTTTTTATTTAATTTTTTTAGACTTTGCGCGACCAATATGTATTTTTCGTCGCGCAAAAATTTCAAAATTTGGGCGGGTACCAAAAATGGGATTTTTATACTAATATTCGTCGCGCAAAACTTTGCGCGACCAATATATTTTTCGTCGCGCAAAGCTTTGCGCGACCAATACTCCAATATTTTTCGTCGCGCAAAGCTTTGCGCGACCAACAATGTCGTTCGTCGCGCAAAGTGATACGGTTTTTAAAATAAAAATAACTCCTCCATCATTTTCTCAATGTCTTTCTCTACTCTTTCCTCTCCTCTCTCTTTCCCTCTCCCCAAATCTCACCATTTCTCTCACTCTCACTCCTCTCACTTAATCTCTCATCATCTCTCTCTTCACTATCTCTTACTCTCACTCACTCTCTCATCTCTCTTTTCACTATCTCTCACTCTCACTCACTCTCTCATCTCTCTATCACTATCTTCTCTAATTCTCTCACACTCATTTCTCTCTCTCATTCTCACTCACTCTCAATCTTGCCAAAAGGTAGATTCTCTCCAAATTTTAATTTTTTTTTCATTAATATGTGTTTTTGGAGTTAGTTTTGAGTTTGTGTGGGGTTTGGGGTTGAGTAAAGGGGAGGGATTGGAGTTTGGGTTGGATTTGTGGTATAACAATTTTAGGGGAGATTATCCCTTTTATTTATTTATTGTACTTTGTTAATTTATGTGTACATTTTGAATATTATATATATATTTATTGGATAATTTGATCACTATTTTTCATATGTAATTTATTTTGAATATGTCAATTTAAATTAAAGTAATTAAATTAAATTTAAAAAGTAAACATTGAATAAATTAATATAATTAAATTAATATCAATTTAAATTAAAGTAACGAAAAAAATCATACAATTAAATTTAATTTAAAAATTAAAAATTCGAAATAATTAATATAATTAAATTAATATTAAAGAAATAATAAAACAAAAAGTCAAAAACCAAAATATTTCGTCGCGCAAATATTTGCGCGACATTAATATTCGTCGCGCAAAACTCTAAAAATTTGGGCGGGTACTAAAAATGGGACGAGGGAATTTTTTTTAAAAAAATTTTAAAATTTTTTCGTCGCGCAAAGTTTTGCGCGACCAATATTTTTCGTCGCGCAAAGTTTTGAGCGACCAATATTTTCGTTGCGCAAAGTGGCTTTGCGGGACAAATATTTTTTCGTCGCGCAAAGTCGCTTTGCGCGACCAATATTTTCGTCGCGCAAAGTTACTTTGCGCGACGAATGAAAAAATTTCGTCGCGCAAAGTCTTTCTCCACGATCTTTGCGCGACGGAATCTGCGCGACGAAGTTTCTGTCGCGCTAAAATTTGTGCGACTATAATGTATTTTGCGCGACGAAATTTTCTTCGTCGCGCAAAGTGAAAAATGTAGTAGTGTTAATTGATATGTACAATATCGATATTGCTAGTTGTGAACTGAGAGTCGTCCATAACATCATATTTTTCAATGGCTTCTTTAGTGCTAATAGTTTTTTAGATGGTTACCTTTTCAAAGCCAGATGTGTGATGGTGAAAAATGATTTACCATTTTCATAGACCAAGATTCGAAATTATCAATCGAGTTTTCCACATGTGAAGTGCACTCAGTCTCATCATCAAATTCAATTCACACGTGTTACAAATAATCCGAAAAGAATATTGATGAGATGAGTAGGGATATTATTACTAGCATCGAAGAAACATTTGGTTGTATTTATCATGAAAATATGGAGGACAACAAGAAGAAACGGAGGCGGCTTCTCAACTCCTTCCATGGTGTTGAGTCTGTTGACCATGGTTCGTTTCATAATCAAAAGTTGTGTGGTTACACACACAAAATACCACCCCACATTATAGAGTTTCTATCTAGTATTTTCATTCATGTGCATAGACTAATGGTATATTATTAATAAATAAATACATATGTCATAGACTTACGGTTCATTTCATAATTGAGATATTAATGCAATTATAACTCAACCAAAAAGTGTATGGTTCCAGTGTTTCCTCGACTTGACTGGCGTGGTCTAGTTTTCCCTTGCCCCCAGCCATTTGTCCGAACATAATATAAAGTCTAGCCCCTATGTTAAGTTAGAAATTTCATTTAACAAAAAACAGAAAAATATAAAGTCTAGCCCCTTTTATTTATTTATTAAAGGCAATTTTGGGATTTTTCATAAAAAAAAAGAAGAGGGGGGCGCATTTTCGGCATTTGAAAAGTATTATTATTAATGAGAGCCAAGTGTTTCCCGTATTTCTCCCATGCAACACTTCTATTATGTGATTCTTGAAAAACCAAAAGTATTATTAATGAGAGCCAAGTGTTTCCCGTATTTCTCCCATGCAACACTTCTATTATGTGATTCTTGAAAAACCAACTCAAGTGCTTTTGAATCCCACCAAAGCACTCCTAGATTATTTTAAAAGACATAAGTGTTTGTTCTAATTTAAAACAGCTTTTGACATCTCCAAAAACACTCCCAAACGTTCCCTAAATTATGTAAGTCATTCTTCATCATTAAGGTTTTGCATCCTAAAACTAAGGTGATGCTAACAGGTGTTAATCATGTTTTATTAAAAATTGTCAAATTAGAGGACCCTACTCCTTTTAGCCACAACATTCCGGGCTAATTAGAGTGACAGGACCCGTCCCGAATTTCCCCGGAACCCGAGACGAACCCTGCGGAGACCCCGGCATCACACCCACGCCGGGTTTACTCCTTAAATCTACGTCCTCGTTCACCATAGAGGATTAAGGGCACGAGACTTTCTGCCGAAATTTCGGCAGAGTCTCCCCTGTAAATTGAACATTCCCCAAAACTTCCACCTGCATAAAACACATTTTATAACCCAACCAGCAGCACGCACAATATAGTCTCATGCAATTTACATAAATGGCCTCCGGCCTTCAGACGATTCTAGCAGAACTACTCACACTGCTTTTAAAATAACTCCATGCATCAAACATGCACCTAACCAATACAGAATCCATCCATACACACCTTCACTCACTCAGTCCACCGGACAAGCCTCAATTCAACCAAGTTTCGGGACCAACCACGAGGTCCGCATCATACTCGATAAAACCACCTAAGTGGTGTCTAGGTCGTGGCTGCACCTAGGCGCTATCCCAGGCTGCCTACGTACCCTACTAAGGGATCAAGCCACACGTAGCTCTTTCCTATCAATCCTGGCTCCTGACATCAATTAAATCATTACGGCCATACAAATTCCTACATTCTAGGATTTATCCATCACAACACACCAAACATAATCGCATAGCTCCCACTCATACGTCGGGACGTACCCGGCCACGTACGGGGTCTGTCAACACGCCGGCTAACCCAAAGACGCGTGCGACCTCACACTGGGCCTGGCTACATTCTCACCAGCCATCATACCATCATATCTCCCACTCATACGTCGGGACGCACCCGGCCACGTACGGGGTCTGTCAACACGCCGGCTAACCCAAAGACGCGTGCGACCTCACACTGGGCCTGGCTACATTCTCACCAGCCCTTATACCATCATATCACCCACTCATACGTCGGGACGTACCCGGCCACGTACGGGGCCTGTCAACACGCCGGCTAACCCAAAGACGCGTGCGACCTCACACTGGGCCTGGCTACATTCTCACCACCCTTATACCATCATAACACCCACTCATACGTCGGGACGTACCCGGCCACGTACGGGGCCTGTCAACACGCCGGCTAACCCAAAGACGCGTGCGACCTCACACTGGGGCCTGGCTACATTCTCACCAGCCCTCATACCATCATATCTCCCACTCATACGTCGGGACGCACCCGGCCACGTACGGGGTCTGTCAACACGCCGGCTAACCCAAAGACGCGTGCGACCTCACACTGGGCCTGGCTACATTCTCACCAGCCCTTATACCATCATATCACCCACTCATACGTCGGGACGTACCCGGCCACGTACGGGGTCTGTCAACACGCCGGCTAACCCAAAGACGCGTGCGACCTCACACTGGGCCTGGCTACATTCTCACCAGCCCTTATACCATCATATCACCCACTCATACGTCGGGACGTACCCGGCCACGTACGGGGCCTGTCAACACGCCGGCTAACCCAAAGACGCGTGCGACCTCACACTGGGCCTGGCTACATTCTCACCAGCCCTTATACCATCATATCACCCACTCATACGTCGGGACGTACCGGCCACGTACGGGGCTGTCAACACGCCGGCTAATCCAAAGACGCGTGCGACCTCACACGGGCCTGGCTACATTCTCACCAGCCATCTTACTGCACTTGGGCCTGAGCATAATCACAATATGAGGGGTACGTGGGGTAGTGCGTATAGCACTGTAAACTAATATTCAATCTCCTTATATATATCATTACACATCCACACAATCAATATATCATGTAATTTCTAATCATACAATAACATCAACCAATAAAACATTCCATAAACTCCCACATTTAAATTCACCAATTTATATCCTAAACCCACAATATCCATTTAACTCAACAACGCTCAAGACCTGTCACTAAGGTCATCCTAACCCTCAAGGAAAGGTAAGACTATCTCGGAAGTCTCACGGTCAACCTAGGGTCAAACGGGCCTGCGGGGCCCACAACCTCCAAATTCCGATCCGAAAGTTTCCTATAGGTTCTATAGGCTCTAGGACACATGTCCTGCAAGTTTGGTCCAGATCGGACGGCCGGATCGCTCACGATCACACAATCGGACGATTACTAAAACCCTAACCCCAGGGTTGGCATTTCCGGAGTATCCGGGACTCCGTTTTACGATCCGTCGAATCCTACACGATCCTGGTAATACTTAGATCAACATATTATAACTCCAGGACCATCCAACGGTCCAAACCTAGCGAACCCGGAAAATACGCGATATGCGATATCCGTTCGGGACTCTAACGATATCCAAATTGAGATCCGAGCACACCTACGCGCTCATGAAAACCTGAGGATCACAGTGGGACAAAAATGCCCCTCAGCTACAGTGCCCACGCGCCGCCACACGCGCCGGCAGCGCGTGGGTGTCCAAAGCGATATCGCATCGCCGGAAAAACCACAATTCACGGCTCAAGACTCCTACCCTAGGTAAAACACCTAATTTGGAGTCACTTTTGTTCTTGGACGTACCCCAAAATCTGACCGGAAGTGGCCGGAATCTCATCCCGAAATCCGGCCGAAACCCAATTCGTAAATCGAGTTGCCTACGCTACAAATCGATCAATTCCTACCCAACAGGCAGCTAGAGCTCGGAAAATAGGTGAGAAACCATACCTCACTTGCCGGAATCGGTGGCCGGACGACGGAGAACGAAGCCGGCGAAGTTTCGTGCGAAAACCGAGCTTTTCTCTCGTTTTCCGGCGAAATCTCGACGGCTGACGGCGAGACCTGGCTGGGGTAGGAAGAGGACGGCGGCCCGGTCATTTTGGTACCGGCCCCGTCGACTTTGGTGGCCGGACGAGAGCACGGCCGGCCAAAACGTGGCCGGCCACAGTGGCTGTCGCGAAACCAGAGGAGAGAGAGGGACGCGCGGGAGAGAGAGAGTGTGTGAGAGACGGGGGCAATTCCGTCTTTTAACCAAAATCCCTCTTCACAATATTTACGATTTGCCACTGAGGGTATTTAGATCGTATCTCTCTCGTTACAACTCCGATTCGAGCCCACTACGTGTCTACGAACTCATCTCGCCGTGCCCTACGCAACGGTACCTCTGGAATTCTCAAATTCCTTCCGGGTAAGAAAATGACTAAAATACCCCTATCCCACTGGTAAATTCTTAATTTCGCTCAAATTAATTAAAATAGGGGATAAATTTGGAGTCGGGGTGTTACAGACTACCCCCCTTATAAAAATTTCGTCCCCGAAATTTCATACCTGCCACTTCAAAGGGTGTGGGTACTGGGCCCGCATCTACTGCTCGGGTTCCCATGCTTCATCCTCCACAACCAAGTTGGCAGCCAAGTCATTCCATTTGTGATTTGATTCTCTTTGTCAGAAAGGATCATTTTTACCGAATTGTAATCATCATCTTCCTCTCTCTACCATGACCCATTTCTGATTCCGATGAAAGATTTCTGCTCAAACGTGCTCACTGCACACAATCGAGGATTAGCAACATGTTCAGGCAATGGAGGATCCCCAGAAGTAGATTGATCAACTCCATGTCCTCCTGCCCATAAGAACTCTACAAACTTCATCCAACACTACTACTTCTCAACTTAATTTGTCACGACCCTCCTTGGTCGGACTCACAACTCCTCCATTCCCATGTAACTTGTCCATCAACTTCCTCTGACAATTTCGTCCCATCTCAGCGGATTCAATACTTTTGGCTCTTCCGTTTCCTCCCATAGGATATTGAGATACAACAATTTGGATAGACACGTTTCTAGGAACGTGACACCCTTAAGTGTACTCATCAATATCCTAAATCCATCCATGTCAAAGAATCCTCCGCATCAAAATGATGACGTCCCGTGACGGAACCCATCATGATCCCACAACTTAAGGATGCACACAAGGTGCGGGGTCCACAAGAAATTGAACCTAAGCTCTGATACCAAGCTGACAGGACCCGTCCCGAATTTCCCCGGAACCCGAGACGAACCCTGCGGAGACCCCGGCATCACACCCACGCCGGGTTTACTCCTTAAATCTACGTCCTCGTTCACCATAGAGGATTAAGGGCACGAGACTTTCTGCCGAAATTTCGGCAGAGTCTCCCCTGTAAATTGAACATTCCCCAAAACTTCCACCTGCATAAAACACATTTTATAACCCAACCAGCAGCACGCACAATATAGTCTCATGCAATTTACATAAATGGCCTCCGGCCTTCAGACGATTCTAGCAGAACTACTCACACTGCTTTTAAAATAACTCCATGCATCAACATGCACCTAACCAATACAGAATCCATCCATACACACCTTCACTCACTCAGTCCACGGACAAGCCTCAATTCAACCAAGTTTCGGGACCAACCACGAGGTCCGCATCATACTCGATAAAACCACCTAAGTGGTGTCTAGGTCGTGGCTGCACCTAGGCGCTATCCCAGGCTGCCTACGTACCCTACTAAGGGATCAAGCCACACGTAGCTCTTTCCTATCAATCCTGGCTCCTGACATCAATTAAATCATTACGGCCATACAAATTCCTACATTCTAGGATTTATCCATCACAACACACCAAACATAATCGCATAGCTCCCACTCATACGTCGGGACGTACCCGGCCACGTACGGGGTCTGTCAACACGCCGGCTAACCCAAAGACGCGTGCGACCTCACACTGGGCCTGGCTACATTCTCACCAGCCATCATACCATCATATCTCCCACTCATACGTCGGGACGCACCCGGCCACGTACGGGGGCCTGTCAACACGCCGGCTAACCCAAAGACGCGTGCGACCTCACACTGGGCCTGGCTACATTCTCACCAGCCCTTATACCATCATATTACCCACTCATACGTCGGGACGTACCCGGCCACGTACGGGGCCTGTCAACACGCCGGCTAACCCAAAGACGCGTGCGACCTCACACTGGGCCTGGCTACATTCTCACCAGCCCTTATACCATCATATCACCCACTCATACGTCGGGACGTACCCGGCCACGTACAGGGCCTGTCAACACGCCGGCTAACCCAAAGACGCGTGCGACCTCACACTGGGCCTGGCTACATTCTCACCAGCCCTTATACCATCATATCACCCACTCATACGTCGGGACGTACCCGGCCACGTACGGGGCCTGTCAACACGCCGGCTAACCCAAAGACGCGTGCGACCTCACACTGGGCCTGGCTACATTCTCACCAGCCCTTATACCATCATATCACCCACTCATACGTCGGGACGTACCCGGCCACGTACGGGGCCTGTCAACACGCCGGCTAACCCAAAGACGCGTGCGACCTCACACTGGGCCTGGCTACATTCTCACCAGCCCTTATACCATCATATCACCCACTCATACGTCGGGACGTACCCGGCCACGTACGGGGCCTGTCAACACGCCGGCTAATCCAAAGACGCACTGGCTACACCATCTTACTGTCACTTGGGCCTGAGCATAATCACAATATGAGGGGTACGTGGGGTAGTGCGTATAACACTGTAAACTAATATTCAATCTCCTTATATATATCATTACACATCCACACAATCAAATATATCATGTAATTTCTAATCATACAATAACATCAACCAATAAAACATTCCATAAACTCCCACATTTAAATTCACCAATTTATATCCTAACCCACAATATCCATTTAACTCAACAACACTCAAGACCTGTCACTAAGGTCATCCTAACCCTCAAGGAAAGGTAAGACTATCTCGGAAGTCTCACAGTCAACCTAGGGTCAAACGGGCCTGCGGGGCCCACAACCTCCAAATTCCGATCCGAAAGTTCCTATAGGTTCTATAGGCTCTAGGACACATGTCCTGCAAGTTTGGTCCAGATCGGACGGCCGGATCGCTCACGATCACACAATCGGACGATTACTAAAACCCTAACCCCAGGGTTGGCATTTCCGGAGTATCCGGGACTCCGTTTTACGATCCGTCGAATCCTACACGATCCTGGTAATACTTAGATCAACATATTATAACTCCAGGACCATCCAACGGTCCAAACCTAGCGAACCCGGAAAATACGCGATATGCGATATCCGTTCGGGACTCTAACGATATCCAAATTGAGATCCGAGCACACCTACGCGCTCATGAAAACCTGAGGATCACAGTGGGACAAAAATGCCCCTCAGCTACAGTGCCCACGCGCCGCCACACGCGCCGGCAGCGCGTGGGTGTCCAAAGCGATATCGCATCGCCGGAAAAACCACAATTCACGGCTCAAGACTCCTACCCTAGGTAAAACACCTAATTTGGAGTCACTTTTGTTCTTGGACGTACCCCAAAATCTGACCGGAAGTGGCCGGAATCTCATCCCGAAATCCGGCCGAAACCCAATTCGTAAATCGAGTTGCCTACGCTACAAATCGATCAATTCCTACCCAACAGGCAGCTAGAGCTCGGAAAATAGGTGAGAAACCATACCTCACTTGCCGGAATCGGTGGCCGGACGACGGAGAACGAAGCCGGCGAAGTTTCGGGCGAAACCTAGCTTTTCTCTTCGATTTTCCGGCGAAATCTCGACAGCTGACGGCGAGACCTGGCTGGGGTAGGAAGAGGACGGCGGCCCGGTCATTTTGGTACCGGCCCCGTCGACTTTGGTGGCCGGACGAGAGCACGGCCGGCCAAAACGTGGCCGGCCACAGTGGCTGTCGCGAAAACCAGAGGAGAGAGAGGGACGCGCGGGAGAGAGAGAGTGTGTGAGAGACGGGGGCAATTCCGTCTTTTAACCAAAATCCCTCTTCACAATATTTACGATTTTGCCACTGAGGGTATTTAGATCGTATCTCTCTCGTTACAACTCCGATTCGAGCCCACTACGTGTCTACGAACTCATCTCGCCGTGCCCTACGCAACGGTACCTCTGGAATTCTCAAATTCCTTCCGGGTAAGAAAATGACTAAAATACCCCTATCCCACTGGTAAATTCTTAATTTCGCTCAAATTAATTAAAATAGGGGATAAATTTGGAGTCGGGGTGTTACATAGAGCATATTCATTCATTGTCCATTACGCATAATCTATTTGACTCCAATATTAAATCAAATCTAAAATAAAAAAATGTTTCCATTTTCCTTCCCTTCGGATATTCCACTAATTTTTTTAGTGCAGTCCCAATTCCCACATATACCTTCAGCTTGTTGATGGTTAGCATGCCAAATGGTACCCACATATACCAATATTTTTGTTATAATTGCTAGTCTATCTATATCAGAAGTCTCATTTCCATACTTGAAGTTGAAGAATATTGTCTTCAATTAATTTCCTTGATTTGATATCTTCACGCTGGAGAAAATTAGAAAAACCCTATTGACTTTATAAAAATATAAATTCTTTTTCTTGTAAAATATTTTACACATACACAGTTAGAGCAGCCTTTTTTTTACTAGAGAGGAGCAGTATAAATAGATTCCTCACCATTAAGATATTGTTTTTAGTGAGAAATTGAAAGCTGGTACAACAGGTTTAATGGGAGAAGATTCATAGCAAAAGGAAGGAAATGGATGGATGCCCAATGAAATGGGAAAATTGTACACCATCTTCTAAATATGCTTCTCGTACAAGTAAACTTCAAAAATTCTAGCATTCTCCAGCTCAGTTTGCCTCTTCTAGCCTTGCTGAACGTATTGACTCGCGATCGACATTTTATTAATGCTGCAAGAGACGATAAGTAATAAACATCACACAATTGGGGAAAAAATGGAGAATTCATGATAGACGTACCGATTGCAAAAGATCCTCTGGAAGAATATCGAGGCTGTCATTATCGATTGATGTACAACCCATATCAGGAACTTCATCCTCAACATTTTTATTCTTCACAGGAGTGTCAAATTTCAAAGACCTGGAGCGTGGAGGAAGCCTAACCAACTTGTTCGGTGAGCTAGTAGAATTATCATCTGGGCTCATATAGCATCGCTTTGGTCGGTGCAATGCAGGCGTGTCAGCCATCAACCTAGCTGGAGTTGAAGCAAGCTTTGCTGGAGTCGACTAAATGCTATCACTTTGTGTGGGCAAACTACCATCATTTTCTATGGGGTCTATGCCTTTGGTTGGAGTCACAGGCACTTGGCCATACACGTGAAACCTTGCTCTGATACCATGAAGGAAGTTGAGGTTCCACCCCAAAACCAATTGGTAATGAGGGGAGTAGCTCAACTCCTTATAAATTCAGGCTATGTCCCTTAACATTTCAATGTGGGACAAACAAGTGCCTCATTACCTAAGATTTGGGGCTTTGGGTTTAGGGCTTTCTTTTCTCGGCTTCTGGGAGTCTGGGATTTGAAGATTCCTAATAAGGAACTCATTGCAGAGATCAAATAGAAATACGAGATATGGAATCGACCGTAAGGTGAGATTTTGAGGGTTAACAGTCTTACAGAGGAGAAGAAGAAGAAGAATATGCAATGGCCATTTGGGGTTTTTTGGTATTTAGCGGGGTCTCTGGCGGGAAAGGTGAGCTGGCACTCTCGCGTGACCCGTTGCTTCCCGCCAAATAGATCCGTTGGCAAGCATCTTCTGTGGGCTAGTGGAACACCCGTTGTTTATTGGGCCTAAGTCCAAATCTCATATCCCAGATTACCAAATTACCAAATTAACCGAAGATATTTTTTTGAAGAAAATTGAGCAAGATATTTAGATAACCATTAAAAGTCTGGTTAAGAAAATGAGGAAATCATTAAAAGTCTGGTTATTAATTTTATTTTAAATTAATAAAATTTGTTTTTATAGAAATCATTAATTATTAAAATTATTAAAATTATTAAAAATTATTAAAAATTTTAAATAAAAAAAATCTACTCATATTTCATAACCACACAAAAAAAAAAAGATTGCCAATGAATAAGATGGTGTAGATTTTATTTTTTAAGCATGAATGGTGCAGATATTAATGTTAACATACACGGTATAAGAATTTCTCTTACACACAAGCATGCCAAATGGTAAAGGGAGGGAAGGCAGACTTTGAGCTAATAGTTTTTGTGCTACATAAAGCATTGTAGGTCGAGACCCGGGACGCGCACGTATACAAGTCAAGGCTAAACTCATCACAAGCACCACTGCCTTTGCCAATTCATTTCTTGGAGCCTCTAGCCTTTGGTCTAACAAATCCTTCAAAACAACTCTGCATTGTCCTCCTTCATTGATTGTGACGATTCTGAAAGCTGGGATTCTAGCAAATCCCCTGGGTGCCTTCCCATCAAAACTTCCAGCGCCACCACTCCAAAGCTGTACACATCACACTTATCCGTGACTCGCATTGTCAATGCAAGCTCTGCACATGAAGAGAAAAACAAAACCAAATATCCTTAAAACATATCTCAGTCACCTAAATATGATCCAAAAATGCACAACGTTAAATTGGTATGTTACCTGGTGCCATGTAGCCAAACGAGCCAACAATATGGGTCCAGTTGGATGAATTGACACTAATCAGTCTTGCTGTTCCAAAATCAGAAAGTCGGGCTTCGAAATTTGACTTGAGCAATACATTGTTGACAGTTACATCACGGTGCACAATTGGTGGAGAGCAGTCATGGTGCAAGTAAGAAAGTGCATGAGATAGTCCGTGCACAATTTTAACCCTTGTAGCCCAGCCAAGTTGAGTTACCCCTTCAACCCCATACAATGCTTTTCCTTGAACAGAACCCATATAGCCGAATGATGTTCCTATGCCGGACATTTGTCAAAGTTCGGATTTCATTCTCAAAACTTTGGAGATTGATTGCTGGAAAGTCGTTAAGAGTCTGACATGTTAAGCCTAGCCTCTTAACTGCGACAACTTGACCTGATAGCAACTCTATCTGCCTTGTATACTCTTCCAAATCCTCCTTTACCAATACAGTACTTCTCATGAAAATCGTCTATGGCCTTTACAACTTCCCCAAACGTAAATTTTACTTCTTCTTGCAACTTCCCCAAACGTAAAGTTTTGAGCACTATTAATTTTCTTACGAACACGCCTGGTGTTCTTATGGAACTTAAGAATTAGAGCATTTTAGTTGCAACCACTGATAAACCACAAACAGGTACAAGGACACCAATTATAACTTTGTTGTTATTTTTTTGGAATTGCACGCTCTAGTTAGGCCCCTAGCATCTTCACACAAGTATGTGAAATTGTTATTAGACAAATCAAAATACTGAAATGATGGAAGTTTGTTTAGTGTTAAAGGAATTGACCCAGAGAGCTGGTTTCCCGAAAGATCCAAGTAGCTGAGGCTGGGACAAAAACCAAGCTCAGAAGGGATTAAGAACCTAAGGAATTGCGACTAAGATCAAGGTACTGAAGCTCTCTGAGTTGGCCCATAGAAGGCGGAATTTCCCTTCAAGGTGATTAGAAGTCAGGTCCAAGTAGGTGAGGCTGGTACAAAGACCAAGCTCAGAAGGGATTAAAGAGTTTAAGGAATTCTCTCTAAGATCAAGGTATTTAAGCTCCCTGAGTTGGCCTATGGAGGATGGAATTGGCCCTTCAAGGGAATTCCAAGCCAAGTCAATACGCTGAAGACCAGATATCAAACCAATAGCTTCAGGAATAGCACCACTGAAGTTGTTTTGTGCTAAATGAAGGTGTTTAAGCTTGGGAAAGTTTGATGGCAGTGGTCCTTCGAAGTCATTGTTGGTTAGATTGAGATATTCAAGCTTGCTCAGATTAGTAAATACCACTTCTGGTAATTCACCAGTGAAAGCATTGTAAGACAAGTCCAGGAATGTCAAGTTCAAACATTTAGATATAAATTCTGGGAATTCTGAATCAAGACTGTTTAGAGAAAAATCAAGGTATGTCAAAGAAGGCATGCCTGAAAATTTAGACCAGTGAGGAGTTTCTAAGTTGTTTCCTCCAAGAATCAAAAACTGTACCTTTTGGAGATTGCTGAGCTGATAGGGAATAGTACCACTAAGACCGCTGAAGTAGAAACTCAGATACTTGAGCTCTGTTAACTTGCCTATCTCCACAGGTATTTCTTGATCGAAAAAGTTGTGCCCAAGTCCAAAGTTGTGAGCTTGGAGAGTTTGCCAATGGCAGATGGCACAGGCCCTGTGAACTTGTTGCCATTGAGGTTGAATTGGGTGAGATTGAGAAATGGGGGTGAAGTTGAAATGGGCTAGTGTTGCAGCGATGTTGAAGTTGGAGAGGTCAATTTGGGAAACTTCTTTGCTGCTCTGGTCACAAACAATGGCAGTCCAGTTGCAAAGATTGTTGAGGTTAGTGAGGGACCATGAAGTGAGAGAAGGTGGTGAAGAAGCAAAGGTGTTCTTCTTCCAAGTTAGCAAAGCTTCTGCCTGTGTTTTTGGTGATGAAATGGCCTTGAATGGAAGCAGAGCAAGCAGGAAAATATGAAGGAGAAGAAGAAGATAAGTATGCTTGTGAGCAGAGAAAACTCTTCCTTCCATGGTGGTTTGAGGAGTTAATGTTATGTTCCAAGCTTTATAGAAGGTTGATTGTTATTGTTATAATTTTCGTTCTTTAAAATTCACTTGTAATTTGCATTATTTTTATTTATTTATTTTTGGTCGAAAGCTTTATTTTAATTACAAAATTAGTTAAACACCCAATCCTAGACATGAAATTATAAATATACCCAACACTATTTAAAACATAGAAACACACCCAAAATAAAACCAAAAATCAACAATTGTATATTTTTGAGTGTGTTCATAAATGGGTTTTGAGTGTGTTTAATAAATGGGTTTTGGGTGTGTTTATAAAGTGTTTTTCATGTGGGGTTTTTTTCTTATAATTTCAGCCCCTATTTTGGGTGTATTAGTGAAACTCCCTATTTTAATTTAAGTTAAGAAGAAAATTTGCTTTTTTGAACTAATAGTTGTTGACTGATGATGGCATTTCATAATTGAGATATTAATGGAATTATAACAAAAAAACAGAAAACCAAAAGTTCGTGGTCCATAATCATGATGTAATATAAAGTCTAGCCCCTATATTAAGTTAGAAATTTGATTTAACAAAAAACAGAAAACCAAAAAAAATAAAAATAAAAAAAAAAAAAAAAAAAAAAAAAAAAAAAAAAAAAAAAAAAAAAAAAAAAAAAAAAAAAAAAAAAAAAAAAAAAAAAAAAAAAAAAAAAAAAAAAAAAAAAAAAAAAAAAAAAAAAAAAAAAAAAAAAAAAAAAAAAAAAAAAAAAAAAAAAAAAAAAAAAAAAAAAAAAAAAAAAAAAAAAAAAAAAAAAAAAAAAAAAAAAAAAAAAAAAAAAAAAAAAAAAAAAAAAAAAAAAAAAAAAAAAAAAAAAAAAAAAAAAAAAAAAAAAAAAAAAAAAAAAAAAAAAAAAAAAAAAAAAAAAAAAAAAAAAAAAAAAAAAAAAAAAAAAAAAAAAAAAAAAAAAAAAAAAAAAAAAAAAAAAAAAAAAAAAAAAAAAAAAAAAAAAAAAAAAAAGTTTTTTTTCAAAGCAATTTTGAGAAGCTGGGTCCAACCTGCTTTGAAAAACTCAGTTGGCAAAACGCTTGCTTTTTAAACACCGCACTCCGAAACTCAGTTGGCAAAACGCTAGCACCCCACTAAACATAGGACAGGACTTATCCTAGACAATTCTTATTAACGGCGCCTAAAAAGATCTCTATTTAAGAAAACACTTTTGAGAAGCTGGGTACAACCTGCTTTGAAAAACTCAATTGGCAAAACGCTTGCTTTTTAAACACCGCACTCCGAAACGCTACCTTTTAGTCCCTCTATTTAAGCACACTAACACAGAAGGAAGGAATCACACATTCAGAGAGAGATGGCAATGAAGGAAACTGCAGATGCAGAGAAGGCGTTGAAGCACTTGAACCCAGATGGGGAAGAAGACCTCCTCTGCTCCAAAACAGAGCACCACCCAAAGGAGCCCATGAAGCTGAACTCGATCCCATCTGAAGATCAAAGCAAGGCTGAGCCATGGCAGTCGTTCAAACCAAAACCTGGAAGTGTCCTCCCGGCAAAGAAGAGGTCCGTGCTGAGGATGATGTTTGATAAAATTGTCCAATGCTTTTGCTCTGTTTCAGATGATACTAATAGTCCTTCAGCTTCTGCTGGAGCCTCTGAAACCACATCAAACGCCAACAAGGTCATCAGCAACCACGTTTACCCGAGCCCTTAGCCCACCGCCATAGATATGGATACAGGAGCCGATTTAGTCTGTTTCTTTCTGGTAATTTCAATGGTGTTGTTGCTGTAGTTTTTTCATGGCTTTCATAAAATGCTACTGGGTTTTCTTTGATCTCTTTCTTTCTGGTAATTTCAATGGTGTTGTTGCTGTAGTGTTTTTATGGCTTTCATAAAATGTTGGGTTTTCTTTGATCTCATCTCTCTCTCTCTCTCTCTCTCTTTTTTTTATTTATTATTTATTTTTTTTACAGCTTAATTTCCATCTTCTTTCTTTCCCTAGAAAATGGTGTTCGGGGTTCCACCCCCAATATGCATGCCCTGCATGCATGGATATTCTTCATATAACACTCCATTCAAAAATGCAGACTTCACATCAATCGAACCTGGCTCTGAGGCCATGTTAGAATTCAAACTATGATCTGAATTGTAACTTGCATGCTACTAAATGCTACTGAATGAATAGAAGTTTCAGAGGAATTTTCAGAATGAGAGAGAGCTTTTGGAAGGAGCAAAAGGACGAATTCTGTTATTCTTCTCACGCATACATTGTGCACTAATAACAGCTGGAATAAGATATTCCAAATTACATCATCCAAATCTAGCCATCCATTCTTCTATTATAAGATTAGATCTTAGCTGTCCATTGGACTATAATCCAAGGGCTCACATTTAAATCCGTAAATTTAAACTAAATACAAAATCATATCAGCTAAAACACTTATATTTCAACACAATTGTCATTGCTGCTGAACTCAGATGCCCCACAAGAAAAGCCAACCCAACTGCATGACAATATTGAATCTTTCAATCCTCAGCTGCAAAATCAGTTACATGGTATGGAGTCAATTGGATTGCAGAGAAGACTGGATTTGCCAAATTCTTCTCCATGTTTAGAATCTTTGGGCAGGAATGAACATGCTCCCAAAGGGAATGGTGATATTCCTGACAAATACTGGACATCTAAAAAGAAAGATTCTTTGACTTCGGAACTGACAAAGAAGTTCAATGAAAAGGATCCTTTCCTTCATCAAGATGAGACCCTTTATGGGACGAGATCACCTGCCACTGGTGTTGAGTATCGGAATGGATTGCCTAATATAAATCCCAACCCAACATCTAGTTTTGAGTCTGGGGTTGTCATTCCTGCAGCCATTAGTTTGAAACCTTTGGTAAATAACAAGATGGAGAAACCTAAGAACTTCCAACATGACAAAACCCCTATCAATCTTCTTGTCATGAGCCAAAGAACTGCCAATGATCAGGATTGTGCTTTGACAGGGACTGCAAATGGTGAACAAGGACAGGATGTTTCAGGGGCCAGGAATTCTGAAGTTGCAGGATTATTTCCAAGTACTAGACAGCATTCTCGTAATGAAAATTCTTTAGCAGATCTCATCTCAGGGTTGTCCGATGGCCCAAACTACCATGAACCTGCACGTCCGCAACTTGTTGCAAGTCAAAAGGATGTAGGTTTCCAAGAACCCCTGCTAATACACTCTGCAAAGATGTACCCGTTGACAGTTCTTGATGACCCTGAGTTGCAAGACAGTGACCATAGGGTGTTGCAGAACCCAATCCAAGATGCTGCATTTAAAAGAGGGGTCTCTCTCATTGATGATGACTTTGTAAATTGCCTCGATGAGAATGCTGAGAAGTTGAGCTCGAATGTTGTTGAAAATGTTGCTCTGAGACAGCCAAAACCCCTAACAATGAGTAATGATAAAAAGCAGTTGGAGTCGGTGATAATTGTGGAAGACGTAACCGACACTATTACTCCTGGCATCCAGTTTTCATCAGTAGTTTCCCCATATTCTGTGGATGAACCCATTGGTGATCTCATATCCCCTGCTGCAACAGAGGTGGAGAGCATCATTCCAGAGTCTGAATATGAGGTAGAATTGATTAAATTTTCTGGAACTGATTTTGTAAATTATGCATCTACTCGTGGGCTTGAATTCCGGCTTGTTATATTTGTAGGATGATAGGGTCAGTGAGGGAGACAAGAATGAATCATTTAGTGATGCAATGATAGCTGAAATGGAAGCCAGCATCTATGGCTTGCAGGTATTCCTCCAACGTCTTAATTTTTCCTGATTAGGACATGTTTTCATTTAACATACTGCAAATGCATATTTTGTTTCATGTTTGGCAAAATCTCATATATAAAACTAAAGCAACCCAGGAAACCAGTTTTTGAAAAGGGTTGGATTTGTGAAATTCAACTTTAATTAGGTGGACAAAGCCATCAAAACAAATAAATTAAGCATAGAGTTTTGAATTAATGGTACCATTTTTTAGTTTAATCATGATCATTTGGATTGGACTGGACTGGATTGTTTGTGATCAAAGTCTGCAATTGCTCTGGGACATCATCCTTCAGGCGCCAGCTAGTAGCTACAGAGCTATGCAGAACAGAGTGACATATCTGGATGAAATTGGACCTTCTGCCATGTTAGTTGCTGTTGCTGCTTGACAGTTGACACTCATGCATGCTAATGAACTTGACTCTTGAACATTATACATCTTTTTTTCTTTTTCAATACTAATGAACATTATAGTAAATATATGGGATCTTATCATACACCTAATCAAATCAAATCAAGAAGAGGAATTGAGCAGGACACTCATCCAACAAAAACAGCAACAACAAAAAAAGTGGAAGACAGTTTGATTTGCTTTGGGTAGCATCATGTGTTGCGTCATGTGTGTGTGGCAGTGGCAGTGGCAGTGGCAATTGAATAGTTACCATTGTAAATCTCATCTACTGCCTGGCCTATAGGATATGAATGCATTGGGATTTGGACCTTTTTCCTCATAGAAAGAAAGATACCAAATTGTATGTGCCGTGACATGACTTGTATGAAAAACCGCTTTTTCACAAGCACTTTCTCAACAACATCAAAATATCCTCACAGAAAGAAAGATACCATTGTCATGAGATTTTATTTTTGGAGGGAAGGTTGGTTTGAAGTCAGAAAGAACTTTATTAGTGCCTTGGTTGATTATCAGGGTCTTCCATATTTTTTTCCAAATCCCAACAGCTTTGTCAAATTGGCTTACATGCAGCCTAGCCTGGTGCCCTAACCAAAGAGGGACCCAGATTAATTGGCCTTCTCCTAGCTCTAGCTCTAGGTCACATATGGCAAAATCTACCACAAGGGGTGTGGAAATTTTCAGGTCGACGGGCCGAGGGCCCACTCCAACAACATCGATACTGTCCCCACTTAACCACCTGCACAATCCTCAGGTGTGGGGTTTTATCACAAAAGGCCTCGGTATTAATTAGAGTGGGGAA